TTAATAATATTAGTTTATTAATTTATATAAAACCCTTTCTTCTTAATTTAAAATATTAAGAGTATACTTATATAGCATTCTAGTATATATACTACTCTATTTAGTTCTAGAATATGCATCTAACTATTTATTCTAGTTATGTATATATTAATTCTACTATATCTAAGGATCTATACTATAGTAGTACTAAAATAGGCCTAATAATTATCTGCTAGCTTATATAATAGAAATCTAGATTAATTATTATAGATATAGATATCTGCTCCTAAATTAATAATCTAACTATCTTATAGCTTATATAATTTATAGCCTATACTTATAAATACTTTTAATATACTCTGGAAGATACTTATAGCTATATATAGTAGTAGTAGCTTTATATCTTCCTATTAATTAGCTTACTTATTACCTCTCTTAATAGCTCTCTCTATCACTAGCTTTATCTTTTATAATATTTACAGATAATTAAAGGTAGCCTAGATATAGGTATCTAGCTTCTAATTACTAGGGTATAGTAATTTAACTAGATAAGGGCATTTATTAAAGAAGTATTTCTCTCTATAGGGATAGTTATCTTATACTTATTTAGAGTATTTATTCTAGCTATAATTCTATTAATTATTCTAGCTATTACTTCTGTAATTCTAATTAGTTAAATTAGAATTAATTCTATCTAAGGATTTACCTTTATAAATTATAAAGATACTTATTTATTCTTTCTTACTAAGGCCTTCCTAGTATTTTTAATAATAGAAGATCTTACTAAAGACTTCTAGCTTATCTTTCTCCTTATTTTATAGATAATCTAATTAAATAGTAGTATATTATAATTCTATCTTCTTTAATACTATAAGAAAGATCTTAGTAGCTAAATATCTAGTATATTATATTAGATTTAGCTCCCTATATATACTTAGCACCTTCTCCCACTTACTAAGCTAGCTTAATATACTATGATTAGCTGGTTTAGATAAGAGCTTTTAATATCTTTTATTAATCTAATTCTTCTATATTTAAATTAATAGTTTTAGATTAGTCTTAAGCTTCTGATATCTCTTAATCTTATTATCTAATTAGCTAGTAAGCTACTGGAGGTGCTCTTAGGCTACTATTTATTCTATAGTAGTCTAGATAATTATAAGGCCTTAATAATCTAGCTAATATTACTCCTTATCTTTCTTATAGATTACTAATTCTTTATTATAGATTACTATCTTAAGGTTAGTTATCTTAGCTAAAGCCTTTGGGGCAGCTGCTATAGCTAATAGGTTACTTAATTAATTTAATTTAGTTAATTAAGTATTTAAATTAGTTAATAGAGTACTTACTAGAGCTAATCTAGCTTACTATTTAGCTTGCTAATTAGCTAGAATTATTAGATTAACTAGCTAAATTAGTATAACTAGGTAAGGCCTCTCTCCCTAGAGTATATTAAGCACTCTATAGGTTTAAGCTAGGCTAATTATATATACATCCTATATCTACTAATTATTAGGCTGATTAAGTGTAATAGGAATCTTTATAGTGGCTTGGGATAATAGTTCTATATAATATTCTATATCTAGTAGGTAACAGGTTAGAGGTAATAATAGTGTTTAATATAGCTTCACCTCTTCTAAATTAGGTAGTTTAATCTTGAGATATCTCTCTAGTGTGAGATATAGCTCTTTTAAACAGGAACTACTGATTTTTAGGTGCTTAGAATGATTAAATCTATAGGTCTTAAAGGCAATCCAGGCTTATAACTATTAGAAATTATGGAACTATATAAGATTACTTAATCACTAGTAATTTGCCTACTAATGAGAAAGTTTGGAAGGTATAATTCTTTTTAATCTATCATCTAACTAGCTAGATTTTATACCGCCGGATTCAGGGATCCAGATAGGGGTAAACGACCGATTTTCGGCCATTAAGGGAACATAATCTATCTAATCGAAATCGGGAAGGTCCACGCTATAGGCCCAATTGGGCAAGCAGTAATCTATATCAAAAGATTCTCTCCCTCCATGACCTATATTACGTTACGCTGAGACTTGTTCATTTGTAGGATGTGGGATTTTCTGTCTGGCATTTTACAGTGGGGAGACCGATTGTTAACGGACCTTCTTCGATGTACATTGTCCCACTTTCCGACAAATGCAGAATAATTCCAGGCGATCCATTGACCGAGGGAACTTGTCTGCATATCACTAATGAACCTCTGCTATCTCCGGATTCAACATTTATTTTATTCATGAAATAGGGCAGCGGCAAACCACCCTTTATTCTCCAATACTGTCTGGATACAATACACTGGCTGGGGCAAAGTCTGGACAATGTTTGTATCATCATATTGATCCAGATAGCGCGGCGGTCTAATAACAGCTTCACCTGGTCTATGCCTCCATCATGACCAGCTGGTGGTGGGCAGCTGGATATGTTTCAAGCCGATGCGGATCGTTCGTTCCACTCTGTAGCGTTCTGTGATCCATTTGGTCCTGAGACTGGTTTACCCAAACTCGAATTTGATTTTGAGGGCGACGTTGGACCTCATTCTGGTATCCATTAGGCTCAGCCTGCCCATCGTGGAGATCCTCTAACTGCGGATGGAGTACCATGTACGCCCCGCTTCGGCCTGCAGGCTTTTGGTGACTGGATAATGCCGAAGGCTGAGCAGCTGGCATGTATGTGAGGTATGGCTGCGGGTTGAAACGATCAAATGTTATGTTCATCTGGTTCTGGTCGGAYTGGGTGTCTGAATGGGCTGATGTCATATGCAGCTGTTGGAAAGGTTGATTTCCTGTAATTCCAAACTGAGTGGAGTCAGACATTTCAGGAGGCCTGGGAGCTGGCATATATGTGAGGTATGGCTGCGGGTTGAAACGATCAAATGTTATGTTCATCTGGCTCTGGTCGGACTGGGTGTCTGAATGGGCTGATGCCATCTGAAGCTGTTGGAAAGGTAGATTCCCTGTAATTCCAAACTGAGTGGAGTCAGACATATCAGGAGGCCTCGGCGCTGGTGTGTATGTGAGGTATGGCTGCGGGTTGAAGTCACCAGATACAACACTTATAGATCAGGACATGCTTAATCCCATATTTGGGAAATAGCACTCTAATTGCAGGTTCCTTATTATATATGGTGTCCAGAGAATCTGGGGCAACATAGCCTAACAAAGGCCATAAGCATACGATCTGCAAACTGTTAGTCTTGGACTCACTGGTATCTGCGCTGTTTGTGTCTAGAGTGTCTATAAGGAATCATTTAACTAGGCATTGAAGACCATGCCTCTTACCTTGCAGGTTCCTGAGCGCGCCAACATGTTTAGAAGCATCCACCACAACTCTACGGGTGTCCTGCGCTATCAAGGTTGCCATGAGGGCCAACCAAATCAAGAGAGTCATATCTCATCCGTCTTCCCCAGAATCTCCGCATATCAGGCTGGGTAGTTCGCCTCCTCAGTGTTGCTCTGCACCGAAGAGTTTCCGCCAAATGGAAGTGAACTAATGCTACTATGGAGATAGGAACAGTACATACATGAGGCGCGGTGTAGGTCTATCATACAGATTTCCAGTGTAAAAATTGTGTATCACCACCAAATTTGCAAAACTCGTATACGCCTTGGCAGACTAGTAAATGTGTTGAACTTTCCCCGGAATCTTAGATTACCCCAACCAGATCAGATGATAAAGGATCCACTAAGAACTAGCTCCCCCATAGCCCTAGCCTCGATAGGCCGTCTATACGAATACAAGATTCCTATTTAGGTTAAAGTCAGACATAACCACATTAGGGCGGCGCTAGAGTCCTTCCAATGTCACCTTATCCATACCACAGAACACATGTTCCAGTCATCCTTACCACTGTCACCAGCGCATCTTTAGATTCAGGGCCTTTGGCCCTTAAGCTAAAGATGAGTTCCCAGTTGCAAGTGTTTAGGGCTTGTTGATTGTGCCTGAGCTCTATGGACACCCACTTTGGCAAATGCCGCCTACTGAATACTATACCAAAGCATAGTCATCTATCCCTTCAACTAAACTACATCTAAAATGAAGGTTAACTAGTAATTATATATGGCAAGATTAATAGTCAGGCCTAATAAGCCTCCTTAAGACTAAAATACGAGTCTAGACTGGGCTTTATGGCTATTTAGCATGGCTAGTTAGGCTTAAGTTATGGCTGGAGGCAGAGCAGGATTATCCTTTCCCTAAGGGGGCGCGTAGGCATGACTCGGCGGTTAACCTGTGTCTCCAGCAGACTTTCAGTTAGATCACTCCTAACCTTTCTCATTAGGAGCAGATAGGAAGGAGATGGTAGAAAGCTAGTAAGGAATAGGCTACCCAGGCAGAAGGTAGAACAGGAGGGCAAGAGAAAAGGAACCAAGGAGGCAAAGAAAGGGAGTGGCTAAAGCAGGAGGTTTAGGCTGCTTAATTTCTAGAGTAACACACCTAAAGATAAGAAGCCAAACTCTCTACCCTCAGCCTCTAGTATAATACCTTCCTGCTCTTTTAGTTTTCTTCCCCAGTACTGCAGCGTTTGCAAGCACATTTGCAGATGCTGTCACCATAAGTGCCGGATGATGCTCTACCGAGATGTATCTACCTGGCTAATTCTGGTCTGAGCCTCAGCAGTAGCACGAGGTCATCCGGACTGAGACAGATCCAATCCCATATTTTGGAACGCTTGCAGTTTGGTTGGCGATCACTAGTGACCCTTGTGAGATGCGGGGTATGGCATTATGAAATAATTTAAAGCTGCGTCTCTTACAGGTAAATTACACTAGTAGACACCTAGGTTCTCCCAGACTCTATCATTCCACCCCCCGCGTTGTCCCCCGCCATCATTCCAACGGATCTGGTCATGGATGCTTCTCGGAGAATAGTTGACCGAGGGCAAAATGTTAAGAGAAATGGCAGTGCAGCACTCTTTTTCCTTTCTTTGAGGAAGGTCGTTTACCCAGAACTCTATTAACAAAACCAATTAGAAATCAAACATCTACAAGGAAGAATTGGCCGAAATGCAGCCGCTGCTGACCGCACCATCGTTTGAGCAACACCCTACCGGTTTCGGTATCGGTACAGCTACTCCGCGCATTTCGTGGCGCTTTATCCCCTCTCCTTCCACTATCCAGGCGTGGGAACAGTGTGCTTACGATATCGAGATCGTCCACCTTCCCGGTGACCGCCAAGAATCGTACCATGTGGTCAGCACGGAATCAATGCTGGTCTCATGGCCTAGTAAGCCTCTGCAGGCCCGAGGACAGGCCCGTGTTAGGGTCAGAGCGCACGGGAGAGTCACAGATGGGGAGACAGAAAGGGTCCTTGGGCCAACTCCTTGGTCCCCATGGGCGGTTGTCGAATGTGCGTTGCTGAACGTCGCCGACTGGGTTGCCCGTCCGATTACCACGACCACTGCGCGAGAGCCGAATGGACCTCAGCGACCGCTGTACTTTCGCAAATGCTTCAAGGTCCCATTTGCGGGTAAAGTCTCCCAAGCAAGGCTGTATATTACCAGTTTGGGCAGTTACAGATCCTATATCAACGGGTGCAGAGTGGGGGATCACTGCCTGGCTCCTGGTTGGACGAGTTACAACAACCGTCTCAACTATCAGATCTTCGACGTTGCATCTCTTATCAATTGCCGACAGGAGAACGTTATTGCGGTTGAAGTTGGTGAAGGTTGGTATGCGACGCGTCTGGGTTTCTTCGGAGGAACCAGGTGCATATACGGCAACGACCTGGCCGTCCTCGCCCAGGTCGAGATTGTCACGGATCAGCAAGAGACATTTGCCCTCCATTCGGACAGTTCTTGGAAATGCGCTCCTAGTGCTATTATTCGCAGTGAGATCTACGATGGCGAGCTCTATGACGCGAGAGAAGAGCAGCAAGGTTGGAACATTCACGCCACTTTTGACGACCGCACCTGGCAGGCCACCAGGACACTTGATATGCCAGGGGGTAGACTCGTTATCCCGAGCTCGCCACCTGTTCGAGTGACGCAGGTCATTGCTCCTACGTCTATATTTTCCACAGAGTCGGCAAAGACGATCATTGACTTCGGCCAGAATCTGGTCGGAAAGCTACGCATCCGGTCACTAAACAAGCCAGCGGGTAGCCGAATCCGTTTCGCGCACGGCGAAGTCTTGGAAAATGTAGAGCTCTGCGTGAGACCACTCCGCGACGCCAAATGCACCGACGAAGTGATTACCTCGGGGCAGAAGCTGCGAGATTGGTCCCCGGGGTACACGTTCCGTGGATTTCGCTACGTACAAGTTGAAGGCTGGTCGGCCAGTGACGAATCAGAGCCCCTCTCAATGTCGAGTATTGAACGCCTTGGTTATGCACACTGACATGACTCGCACCGGGTGGTTCTCCTGCTCCAATCCGATGGTGAATAAGCTGCATGAAAACGCAGTGTGGAGCATGCGCGGCAACTTTCTATCCATCCCTACAGATTGCCCGCAAAGAGATGAACGATTAGGGTGGACCGGCGACATTCAAGTTTTCTGTCCCTCTGCCAGTTTCTTGTACAATACTGCTGGTATACTCGGCGACTGGCTCAAGGACCTTGCGTTGGAGCAATTTGAAGCAGACGGTGTCCCCCCATTCGTGGTCCCTAATGCACTGGGGGAAATGTGGGAAGGTATCCCGCAAGCTGTTTGGGACGATGTGACAGTGCTCACTCCGTGGGATCTATACCAATATTTTGGTGACCGGGAAATCCTTCGCTGTCAGTATCAGAGCATGCTTGCCTGGATTGATACAGGAATTCGTCGTGGGCCAGATGGCTTGTGGGATCCCGAGCTCTGGCAGCTTGGGGACTGACTGGACCCAACGGCGCCACCAGAGGATCCGGGTAATTCACGCACAAACGGAACTCTTGTTGCTGATGCCTACCTCGTCCATGTTACCCAGATTGTTGCGAAAATAAGTGCCATTCTGGGCGAACGGGCTAATGCTGCTCGACACTATGCAGATCACCGCAAGCTGAAGGCCAGGTTTCAACACAAATATATTGCGCCCTCTGGGTTAATCATAGGCGATTCTCAAACGGCATTGAGTCTTGCTCTTTTATTTTCTCTCCATGCTGCGAATCAGACTGAGCAAGTTACGACGGCAGCGGACCGTCTTGCCCACCTAGTACCCCTTGCGAAATTTCGCGTTTCCACCGGCTTTGTTGGAACTCCAATGATCACACACGCCTTAACTAAGGCAGGGCATTCTCAATTGGCATATCGCATGCTTCTGGAGAAAGGCTGCCCATCGTGGTTATATCCAATCACCATGGGAGCAACCACAGTATGGGAGCGATGGGATAGTCTCCGGCCGGATGGCTCTGTCAATCCGGGAGAAATGACTAGTTTCAATCACTACGCTCTTGGCTCTGTCATTAATTGGTTGCACGCCGTGGTTTCTGGAATAAGCCCGATGGACTGTGGTTGGCGAAAGATCAAGGTACAGCCCATTCCTGGGGGCAATATCACTGCAGCACACGGCACGTACGAAACAGTGTACGGAAAGTTGGATTGCAAATGGATGATTCAAAACTGTGACAAGTTTTGTCTTGATTTGACTGTTCCGCCCAATTCAAAGGCGTTGGTGGTGCTTCCTGGCGAGAGCAATGAAGGCAGCTGGGTCGGATCCGGGACATACACGTTCTCAAGGCCGTATACAGCTCCTCCGTGGCCCCCAACGGCAATTCATAACATCATGGGTGCCCCTGTTGAGGATGATATGGCATAGGTGGCGAGTACCGCTGTTTGGCCTTCTTGCAAGGCAAGATGACGAATGGTGTACTCGGTGAGAAGATGATCGGATGGATGCCTTCGCGTAGCAGGAATGTACTCAATAGGACTTGAATAGACCATATCCTAATCCCAAAAATCACATCAAATTGCGCTCTAAAGTCACCAATCAAACTGGCTATACAAAAGCATGTTGGAAGAGAGGTCTCTCCTGCAAGAGACAACCAAGTGTTGTGTGTATCTGTCAAACAACAACAATAAGGCTAGAGTTCCTTGCTCACATGTACTATCATAACTCCTCAGTCCCAGTCCTATAGATGCACTACCAGGCCCTCGTCATAATAGCCTAGGCTACTTCCACAGACTACCTAGACAACTTCAATTGTACGGACTCGTTAAAGAATACCCCGTGGCAGTTTTGGAGCAGGTCAGACTACTAGCTCGGCCTAATGAAGCTTAATTACATAACATCTTGATTCCTCGTGCTACTTGCTATTACTTACCATGTGTATCGACCAGTAAATGCTATACAGGATCACCAAGTGCGATATACTGCACAAGTGGTACCACAGGCTCCTGGGGTAGACTCGCCTCGTCCCGGCCGGGTTAAATGCCCAGGACAGGGTCCTGAAAGTGGCGAAGACAAGCGAGTGCTCATCCAGATGGCGCCATTTCTCCAACATCAGCAAGTTTCGCCCAACAAAAGATCATCCCGCAAGTTACATGACCGCTTATTCTCCTTTTGAGTTCATTATCACAGCCAGTCTCATTCATCCCACCGGAGTTTCTACCATTAGCGTCAGTGAGACATACGAGCTTTGCTATTCTATGTCTCTGAATCACCGAAGAAGCATGCTTTTCTGTATAGCGTCTAGTAGCCAGGTTTTTCAAGACGAAGCTGTATCCTTGGCCATGCCTCTGGGTTAGCATACGTAATGCAAACACTGCAGGGCATCTTTGCACTTGTAATGCGATTTCTTGAGTGTTGTAATATACAAGATATGCCAACCCCTGTCGTACTGCCACAGCGAGGGACATAGGTCACTCGCGACACCGAGGCCATTATCCGGTCAGAAACACTGAACTTCGAGACTCCGGCAAGAATTATACCGAACTAGACACTGATGACTCTCTCAGGCCGGCAACAACTTGTCACCTTTAAGTTTACGCAAGGGATCTACAGATAAATGGCTGCCACTTGCTCAATGAGACAGAGGACCCAAATTGACAGTCTGAAATCCCTCCGTTTGATTGATAGTCCATATTTGAAAACAATAACTTCGATGCAGAACCAATTTTTGAAATTTCTTGCCTAAATCAACATTTTTTAACCTGGAAATTTACCTAATTTCTCGTGACGATGACTGCTTTCAATTAATCCTAATTTTATAGGATCTTAATCACTATGTTATTATTAAAGCTAGGGTGGCCGCCCCTAATAGCCTCCCATAGTGGTAAAAAGAGGCTATAGAAAACTCTATATAATTATATCCTAGACCTTCACCATAATACAAGCATCTATTTAAACTATCTAAAGATTTATAATTAAGGAATCCTAAAGCCTCTTATTAAACTAATTACTAATATATATACTATTATTAAGGAGGTCCTTAAAAACCCCCTAGGTAATAACTAGAGGAAGGTAGTTACTAACCTCTATAAGATTACTCTTAATATTAAGAAGAACACCACCTCTACCCAGCATATCTTAACTACTTAATCTATCCCTATATCTACTAAGGTTTACTTATATATAGCCACCACTATAGGGGCACTATCCCTAGGCTATATAGTCTTCTTTTATAGTTTATTAAGTAGCCCTAGGGCCACCCCCTTAGAGCTAAGTAAGGATTATAAAGTTATTATTAAACTACTAGATACTAGTATAGTAAGTATGTTCTACTATCTAAAGATAATAAAGATAAAGAATAGGACTAAGAAGACCTATATAAAGGCCTTAAAGGAAGCTATAGCAGCCACTCTTATATCTAAGTTTATAGCTACCTACTAGCTAAAGTTAGGTAACTTAAGCCTTAGCCTATAGACTACTTAATAAGTAGAGATTATATACTACTACCCTGGCTAAGCTAAATTATTCTACTAGGGGGCTATTATTTACCTACTAACCTAGGGTATAATAGTTTATAATATCTAGGTTAAATTAATTAGTGACCTGGCAGACCCTAAGGAGGTAAAGTAGATAACTAACTAGTTACTAACTATAAACTATTTTATATAGGGTAATTTAGTAAAGATTATCTATATTACCTAGCTTATAAACTAGCCTACTAATAAGAAGTCTTCTACCCTAGTAATTAAGTTTTTAACCCCCTAGGCTACTAATAAAGCTATTAATAAGGGAACTATCTAGGATTCTATTATTCTAATTATAATCTTATATAACTAGTCTACTTATATCTACTAGTGCTTTAACTGTCAGCAATACAGCTATATAAGAAGTATCTATTCTAATAAAACTATCTATAGCCTCTATATAGGTAGCTATAAGACCCATGACTACCTACTCTAGCAGGCTGCCACTAGCTAGAAACTATAAAAGTACACTAACTACAGGGATATATATACTATCTAGTCTAAAAGGTGTAAGAAGTATATAGAAGAGATAGATAAGATATAGGTAGCATTCTACTACTATTAGTAATATTACTATATTCTACTATACCTATAAGACTTCTAAAGGGAGTCTAAGAGTAGTAGCTTAGATTCTACTATTATATTAAGTATCTCTACCCTAGTATCTACCTCTATAGATATAGACACCCTAATAGAGGGCTCCCTAATATAAATTAAGGGCCCTAAGGGAATAGAGGGATCTAGGGATACTAAGGGCTTTACTATAGTAAAAAAGACTACTAGACTATCTAAGGGGTCTAAGAAAGTAAGATTAGAGCTATCTTATAAGTAGCCATCCTATAGCTAGGTGCCTACCTTAATATTATTACTAATATCTATACTAGACTAGAATATTAATAATATCTTATTTACCCCTCTAGTACCTTACCCTAAGGCATTATCTATATCTATAAAGAAGAAGGCTCTAACTAATTAAACTAGCTCTACTAATTAAACTAGCTCTACCACCTCCTACTATTCTACTTATATTATAGACTACCTAAATAATATTAATCTACTAGACCTAGCTAATAAAGATGATATCCACCCCCTGAAACTACTATAGAACTAATAAACTACTACTATATGCAGGACCTATCTTAATATATATTAAGATAATACTACTACTAATAATAAGAATAGTTATACTAAGCTCTCTAAAGCCCCTAAGAGTGACTAGTAGCCTAGCTTAGTCTTATAAGATAAAAATACTAATACTAATTTAAGTACCTAGGCTAAAAAGAAGAAGTAGAAGTAGGGTATAGATATCTCTATATAATTAGAGAAGGATCCCTAGGTTAACTTCTCTATAGGAATACCCTAGTTTACTAATAGCTATTAAAAGAGTATATAGAATACCCTATACTATACTTTCTATAGATAGAACATTCTAAATACTATAATATAATATATACTATTCTAAGAATATAGTAATAGCTTAGTTCTTATATAACCCAGAGGTCCTAAGGGCAGATATTATTACTATCTAGGAACCCTAGGATAACCTATTCTAAGATACTACCTACTATCCTACTTAAGTAACTTACTAGCTACTCTACCCTAAGGTAATAGAAACTAATAGCTATATTTAAGTCTACCTCTATATCTCTTACTAGATAGACCCTACTAAATAGAAGCATATAGCCCACTTATAGGACTACTAGTAGCTTAAATTATATTATAATACTAGAATACTTTACCTATATAATATCTATAACCCACACCTAGATACTAACACCTAAACTAATATCCTTGACCTCCTAGAGTAGACCCTAGACTAGTAGGATAGTAGCTACCTACTCCTAGGAGATTTTAATCTCCACTACCCAGCCTAGGGTAGTGACCATATCTGCTATACTAACCCTAGGTCTAATAGGCTACTGGAACTAACTAATACCTGGCTTCTAGACCTCTAGATTAAGCTAGGTGCAGTAACTAGGGATGAGTAAGGCTACTAATTAATTATTAATCTAATATTTAGATCTATAGACCTAATAGCCTATTTTATAGCCTGTAAGGTAGCCCCTAATATCTATACTAATTCTAACTACCTACTAATTTATCTACTTCTTAATATTATAACACCCCCGCCACAGGCCCCTAAATACTATAACTAGAAGGCTATAGATGTACAGAAGCTCTGTATATTTATATCTTTTAATCTTAATCTATATAGGTAGACTAGGAACCTTAAAACCCTCTATTAGATTAATAATACTACTAACTACTTTATTAATATTATTTAGTAAGCTATTACCTACTCTATACTATAGGCCTACCTATCTAAGTAGGCCAACCCTAACTAGATACCTAAATATACTAAGATGGTTAAACTAGCCTACCTCTACTAATAAATCTATACTAACACATATACTAAAGACAACTGGATTATATACATAAAGGTATATAACTAGAAAGGAAAGGTTATCTCCTAATCCCTATAGTATAGCTATTATAAATAGGTGTAGTAGATAGTTAACTAAGGCCCCTAGGATATATAGTATATTACTAAGTAGGCCTATAACTATGCTAGGGGCTAGGCAGGCATCATCCCTACCCTCTACTATAGAGATTATATTATAGAGATAGCTAAGTAGAAAGCTAACCTACTTTATAAGATCTTCTTCCTAGCACTGCTAGCTACTGACCTCTTAGATATAGAGAGTAGGATATATAACTAATTATAAGATATTACCTTCCCTAAGATTAATAACTAAGAAATTACTAAAGCTATTAGATATATGCCCCCTAATAAAGTACCTAGACTAGATACTATCCCTAATAAGGTCTGGCATGCCCTGACTATAGTCCTAGCCTTTATACAGGCACTATAGACCCTCTTTAATACTTATATTTATATTAGGTATAATCTATAGTACTTCTAAGTATCTATAATAGTTATCCTCTGCAAAGCAGCCCCCTAAGATTTCTACCTCCCTAAATTATACCATCCTATCATCCTACTTAATACCCTAGGTAAGGTCCTAGAGTTAATTATTACACTCTATATCTCCTAGGTACTAGAGGAATATAGCTTACTCCTAAAAGACTACCTAGATAGCTAGAAGGGCATCTCTATTAACCATACTATCTAACTAATTATTAATATAATCTATTATGCTTAGGGGTCTGGATAGAAAGTTAGTATACTACTACTAAATATCTCTAGGGCCTTTAATAATATCTCCCTCTAATATCTACTATATAATCTCTAAGCCATGTAGCTAGGCTAGATTACTAACTAGCTATAATCCTTTCTATTAGACTACTATACCTACCTATAACTGCCTGGGTTTCTTAGTAATCTATTTATAATTATAATAGGGATCCTATAAGGCAGCCCCCTCTTACCCATCCTTTTCTTAATTTTTAATACCCTACTAATCTAAACACTGGTCCACCAGCTTAGTAATATAAAAACTATATTAATTAGCTAGATAGATAACTCCTGTGCACTTACTATTAGCTAGATCTATACCTAGAATATTATAGTCCTAGAGAAGTACCTAGAGAAGATAGATTACTAGGCTAGTAGGTATGCTGCTAAGTTCACCCCTAATAAGTTTAAACTAATATATTTTACTAATCTAAAAGAACCAGAACCTTCCTATAAGCTGACCCTAATAGGCCCTAATAATATCTAGGAGCTATATAAATATAAGGGCCATAACTAAATACCCATCTACTATAGATAGATAACTATTCAACCTACTAAATTAGCTAGATACCTTAGTATCTAGCTTAATAAGACCCTCTCTTTTAGCACCCACTGCACCAAGGCACTTAACCATATAAATAATAGTCTAGAAGCTCTATAAAGTATTACTAAATTAATATAGGGGGCTTTACTAAAGGCTATATATATAATCTATTATAGGGTAGTTATTCTGTAGTTCTTATATAGGGTTACTATATAGTTCAGCCCTACCAGCAGGTTAATCCCTGTGATAGAATAGATTAAGATTACTAATAAATTTACTAAGATCTAGAAATAAGTAGCTATACTAATTAGTAATACCTTCTAGGGGACTACTATAGCTACACTTAATATAGAGTTATACCTATTACTAGTCTATCTGCAGATATAATAGATAATTAAGAAAACTGCTATTTAAATCTAGATAGGGCCATGGTTTACCTGCCTCTAAGAACTTATAGAGAAGCTATAACTAACTAGAGAAATATAGTAGGGTGGCCTTACTCTACTAGAAGTACTTAGGAGGAGAGGTAGCCTACTAGCCCTCACTCTAAAATACCTAGAAGAATAGAAAATATAGAAAGTATATATACTCCCCCTATAGGAGCTACCCCTCCTTTATATAATTAAGGACTATGAAGCTATACTAATAATCTATAATAATATATATAAAGAGGTAGATAACTAGTATATAGTTATCTATACTAATAGCAGTAGCTATTAGGGCTATATAGATACCTTAGCTATCTATCTTTAAGCTACTAATAATATATAATAGGTGTAGCAGAGCTACCTAGAAATAGAGATAGACTTAACTATATATACTACTAAGCTAGATAGAATCTGCATAGTACTAGATATTACTATAACTATAAGATTAAGCCCCTACTTACTTACTATCTTTACTAATAGCTAGGCTACTATCTAGGTAGTCTAGAACCCATGCCACCCCTCTGATTAATATATTTTAGATAAGATATATAAGAGAGTAAGGGCCCTAGGGGCATATAGGCTACTATTAGAGAATATTAAGATATACTAGATCCCTGCCCATATAGGTGTGGCAGGGAATAAGGCTATAGATAAAGTAGTAAAAGAGGCTACTATATAAGGTAGTAAGGTTTAATTAAGCTTAGTAAGGTAGCCTAGTTAGCTAGAATAACTAATTATCTAGCTTACTACAGTAGCTAAGCAAGCTATTTACTAATAAGTCTAGTAATACTAGAAGAAATAGTAGGAGATAAAGAAGGGGGCTAAGCTAATATAGTAGCTAATTAAGGCCCCCTATAAGAAGAATCTAGGGCTCTATAAAGGCCTACTAAAGCTATATATATTAATTATTATCTAGATATAGACTATATAAATTAGCCTGCAATACTTCCTCTTTAAGATTAAGGCCTATAACTCAGACTAGTATAGCTATAGAGAGAGGTCTTAGACCTCTAAATATATTCTCCTATAATATTTACTATATGTAGAGGCCTGTAGGAAGATAATAACTAAGCTATAAGATATAGAGGGACTCTAGGGGAAACTATTAGATTATGATATACTTATATCTAACCTATAGGTAATCCACTATATTACTAAATTTATGTATTAAATAGGCCTGCTCAGCCAGTTCTGTCATGCAGAACTAGGGGAGCTATTAGAGCAGGACTAGGAATGAGGAAGCCTCCTATAAGGCTCTAGAATAGATATAGAAGATAATAGTTAGAAGGATCACTAAGCAGCTGCCTAGGAAGGGTCTTCCTAGGCATAGAATCATACTATGTTTAGAATGACTATATAGAATAAGGTGGGATAGGTGTTTAATATACTAAGATAGTGCAGGGGAGACTATAGCTAGATAGCAGGCTGCTTTAGCTATGTTTTTACTTTTAATATAGCTATATACTAATTTCTTATGTCTCTTCTGCATTTATAGGTTTTATGGGCTTCAGGCATTTAGATACTAGATTCCTGCTTCATTCAGCAAAGCGCCTGCATAGCTAATCACTTCAATAGATAGGCTACATCAGGTTAATAGAATCTTGATTGATTGATTGATTGATAGTCCATATTCTTTTGAGCTTCTCTCTGGAGTTGGCAGTTATCGTTGATTCCGCATTCAGCTTCATAGTAGCCCATCAGATCTCTCCTCTCTTTGTCCGCCTTTCACCAGTAACACTATTATGGCTACAGAGAATAACCAAGACAGACTCCAGGAGCTCATTCGCGAGGAGCCACCGTGGTGGAAATCAGCCAGCTTGATCAAACTGTACTTTCTACTCATCGCTCCGCTCCTGACCTCGACAGCATGGGCTTTGACAATTCTCTTACCAACGGGCTGCAGTCTGTCAACCGGTTCATGGAAAACTTCGACCACCCCTCTGGCTCACGTCTGGGCTTTTTCGGCGCCGCAGCATCCGTCGGCGGTATTGTGGCTTATTTGATCGGTGGCCCACTTGTTGAACGTCTCGGTCGACGAACCATGTGCTCCTTTGGCGCTTTGCTCGTCATCTCCATAGCAATTATGGAGACCTTCTCTACAAGCTTCGGGATGTTCACCGGCGGAAACATGTTGCTTGGTCTAGGATCATACTTCCAACAGATATCGTCCCCCGTGCTAGTTGCCGAGCTTGCGCACCCAAAGCAGCGTGTTGCGATCAGCTCGCTGTACAACACCAGTATCTTCATAGGTCTGATTATTGGCAGCTGGGTTACCTTCGGCACCTATAGGATCGACTCTCCGTGGGCCTGGAAGCTCCCGTGCATCTTGCAGATGGTGCTGCCCACATACCAGATGTTCATGATATGGCTGTGCCCTGAGAGCCCGAGATGGCTGGCTTCGAAAGGACGGATCGAGGAAGCCTGCGCGATTCTTATCAAGTGGCATGGGAACGGCGTTGAGACGGAGCTTGTCCGCCTTGAATTACAGGAGATCATCGCAGGCATTGAAGCCGACAATACCGTCATGCAGATCAACTGGGAAGGCGTCAAATCTACTTGGTCCACGAGTGGTAACCGCCATCGTCTATGGCTCTGTGTGGTGACCGCAGTGGCCTGGCAAACGATCGGCGGCGGCTTCACGGCCAACTATCTTCCGCTGATCCTCGACCAGATCGGCCTGAAGTCGCAGCGAGATAAGACCCTGATCAATGCTCTTCTCAATATCTTCAATTGGGCCTGTGCCTTCCTCGCTGCGTTTGTGATCCCCAAGGTCGGACGCCGGACGATATTTCTCGTCTCCGCCGCGGGTATCAATGTGACTTTCATCATTTGGACTGCCCTGACTGCCCGGTATACCACGGACGCGCATCTCTCGTACGGAATCGGAGTCCTCGTCATGATCGTTGCCGTCTCCTTCTTCACCTGCATATGCTGGGTTCCGTTGGTGGTTGCCTACCCGGTCGAGACCGTCACCACCAAACAGCGGAGTATCTATTTTGCCATCACCATGTTTACCATCAATGTGACAGCTTTCATCAGCAGCTACATGAGTCCTGTCGGGATCGACAACATCGGATGGCGGTACTATATCCCCACATGCGTCTGGAACGCCATCTTGTTCGTTGTCATCTACTTTACCTTTGTGGAGACCAAAGGCTTGACATTAGAGGAGATTGCAACCCTCTTTGACCGGGATGAGTCGTTCACTAATACTGCTGTTGCAGTCGGTCATGACATTGACATGAAGACCTTGGAAATGGTTTCTCATGAGCACGAGGAGGATCATTACCCTGACAAGGCCTCTCGCAAGTCAAGTCCTCATATTGACTGGTGTTGACCTTATGAATCTTTTTCGTCTGGATTATTACCATGTCGCTGGGAGCTTCGGACAAGTCCTACTGATATCTCCGGAAGCCATTTTGTGTCAAACATATTTCTAGCCTGCTCATCTAGGATAAATAACATTGCCTTCACCCCATATCAGAATCTCCGCGTAGGATTACCGTAGCAACAGTAACACGCGCAAAGGAATTTATGGAAAACTGAGCGGCCAATAACCACCATTTGCCCAATTAGAACATGTAGTCATGGCCCGAGGGTTATTCACTGGTCAAACGTGCCAGTGAAGAGCCTCGAAGTGCGCCATAATTGCAAGCGTTCTAGACGCATTACTTCTATATGCACGTACGAGAGAGAGGGGAAGAGCACGAAAGGCAGATGGTCGGTCTGGGCCAGAAGAATCCCCAGTGCAAGTACACGATCAAGTATGACCAAGGGGTGTGTTCCTTGTGGACTGTTACGAGACAAGGATTATTTTAGTTTCCAGTACTGTATACCGTCATTCGCTTGCTGGCTTTCTAAAGACGAAACTCTCACAGGAACTAACATCCGATTAGGAAGTTGACGGTACGAATACGACATTCCTCTTTTAAAATAAGGCTCTTTGTCTAACGCTGTGTCAAGAACCAATCACTAACATCGGTAATTCAGGTTATGCAACTAGGGAAGGGGATGGAATTTCCGTCTTGGGGCGTAAGATTCTGTTAGATTGGCTGATAGTCACTAATCCTGGCATAACCAGTGTTTACCCCGCAAGCCCTAACGGGGGAGAGGTTTGAAAGTGGAACAAGTATGAATAATGAATGGAATTTTCATTTCTACAAGAACGGTGTATTTGACGAAGGACGGCGTGCGAATTTATTGGATGTATGTTTATTACAGTCATAAAAAGTCAACAATACTAGCCAACCTGCTTCCATTTCCTGGCGACATCCACCGGCAAACAGGGATAGGTGAAAAATTGAGCCATCCAAGTATCAGGATGACTATTACCGGTTTTTGCAGTACTGGTGCAGGGCCTTGTTCAGATCATCCCGCAAAACGCACTGTTCCAGACAAAAACTCTTCGCCAATTCCTCTAGCTCCTCATGCGTTTTGCCTCGGAACAGCTCCGCGAATTCCTTGTACAGGGATGCAGCAAGGAAAGTATGAAAGACCGCTCGTATGATGTGCCGCTTTGTATCCCAGTTGAGTGGATACGTTGCTTTCGCATTCGGCGAGACCTCATCAATCCACTTCGCCATCCGCTCCAGCACGGCCTCGGCCTCAGGTGAGCGCTTGATCAAGCACCCGTCGACGTAAAGGCGCTGCTTCTTCTCCACAAAAGGCCATACGAGCTTGTTCCAGGGGGAATCTGGCCGTGTAGATACCATGCCCATGAGGCCAATATCCTTATACGGCCAGGTTGACCAGGAGATTCCATGGCTGTCATAAATCTGCAGCTGTTTATGGATCAAGGCGACCCGGCACCGATTGATCTCCTCCACGTTCGGGTCATCTGGAAATGCATAGGTCGGACCAAACTCGCCATTTCAGATCGGCACGTGGTGTCGGAGGTTGAACTCGCATTTGCGCAGGAATTGGCTCTCGAGTTTCTTGTCTTGTTCTGGCGTGCCGCGGTACAGTTCTCCCTCTGGAAAGCCCATCATGCTGTAGTCGTGGATACAATACACCGAGTTGGGGAGCACATCGTGGAATCCATCCCACTCCATTGCGTACGTGTTTCCGTCCAGGTAGAGGATGTGGTGGGGATCAATGGCTCGGACGGCCTTCTCCAGACGCGCGTAGAACGGCGCCAGGAGCTTCCGCGAGGGGTCAGCCGGCTCGTTCATGGGGTTGTAACCTGCAACCCATGGATTATCCTTGTACCGCTGGGCAATCTGCTCCCATAACCAGACCGTTCTGTCTGGGTGGTCTTTGTAATCCCAAAAGGCGGCGTAGTTGGTCCGGTTATCGGAGTGCCAGTCTTGATTCTGCGCCCCTGGGACTGTATGCATGTCGAGGATAGTGTAGATTCCATGCTTGGCACAGATGTCGATCACACGATCCAGATGCCGGAATCCGCTTTCTTTGAGAACGCGGGGGTTCATGTCGTCCTCGAGGTGTCGGTGATTAAAGGGCAGGCGGAGACAATTGAGGCCGAGAGACTGAAAGAATTTGGCGTCTTCCTCGGTGAAGAAATAGTATAGCCAACGGTCGAAGAAGAAGTTGCAGCGTTCCTCGCCCATCACCTCTTGCATCGCCGCGCGGACGCCGGATTCCATGCCTGGAAATCCAGTAAGGAAATTCTCCATGCTAGATATCCATGTTAGCACTACGCTTTCTTTTGTTGGTGATGGTAGACCGAGCAGAGATGGAAGAGAGGGGCATACTTGAGCCATCCTCCAAGAGCAGAGCTACGCAGGATTATTGGGGTGTCATTGCCATCGACAATCTGCGTCCCCTTCACACGTAGAAACCCGGTGGCCATGATGAACGATGAGTTAACACAGGAGCGCGAGGTAGATGCACAGCTTCAAAGTCACAGCTTGAGATTGACTTGGCCAGCTGGTCATACATAACATAATGGGGAGAGCACGAGATTAAACTGGGCCTTGCTCCAAATCACCCCCGCAACTAACTCGAGACTTTTCGGTCAGGAATTGACCGAAAGTGAGCCTCCTCTCACGGTTTGATGTCACCTGTGGCTCTAGGGGGATCCGCCCTGTCTCAGAAGTCATGCGGGTCACACTTCTTCTCCAACTTCCAACTCCAACATCTTCGAATTAGACCGGTGGTAGTCTTCGGGCTTTCTGTTCTCGCCCTTCTCACCTGAATTCGGTTCATTACTGGCCGAAGGCGAAAGTGACTGCTTGAATCATGCGTTCATGGGCTAACTTGTCGGGCGACCAACCCCTCAAAGAATTAATTCTGTGATATAAATACGCTTCTTTTTTTCTTCGCGCAATCCCTCCAATAATCTGACCCCATCTATTGCAGTAACTCTCTCATTAATCACGCAAATGTCTCCTACATTGTTAGATATCGAGAAGTTTATCGGGCAACTCAGCTTGGACGAGAAGGTCTACCTTCTTTCCGGCCTGGGAAGATGTCGAACGGCCGGCTTAGAGCACCGCGGAATCCCGTCATTGAAGGTTAGCCATGACAGAACAGAGAGCGATATTCAGTCACTTACTTGCGCTGTTCCAGCCTTCTGACGGACCTCATGGCGTTCGATCCGAAAAGTTCTTTAACCAGGTGAATATATCTGACCCTCTTCCTCCCTTGGGGCCCCTCTTTTCTTTTTGACCTTTCGCTTTGTCTTTCTTTTCTGTCAAGGAAACCTTCTGACCTTTGACACAGCCTAAAGCCGCTTGCCTGCCATGTGGAACTGGAATGGGTGCCACGTTCAACACGGAGCTGATCCACCGCGTCGGCTGCCTTTTGGCGGAGGAAGCAAAAGCCCATAATGTCCAGATTTTACTCGGCCCGACAGTCTGCCTCCAGCGTTCCCCTCTGATTGGCCGTGGGTTTGAAGCCCAATACAAAGTGGCAGCATCGCCGCTCAGTATGTCAACGGACTGCAGGAGAATGGAGTCGGTGCTTGTCTCAAACACTATGCAGCTCACGACCAGTCGGATAATTCCATCGAAGACAACATTGCCATGACGGAGCGAACGTTGCGAGAAATGCACACGATGCCCTTCCAGGTGGCGATGCGAGACTTGAGCCCGTGGCTTGTGATGACAGCATACCACAAGATCAACGGGGTTCATTGCGCCGAGGATCCAAAGCTGATCCGGGAGATTCTCAGGGAAGATTGGAACTACGACGGCTTAGTCGTGTGCGACTGGTGGGGTATGTATAGTACCTCCGAAGCCATCAATGCTGGCTTGGATCTCCAGATGCCCGGTCCGACTGACTGGAGGGGGAAGCTTTTTGTCTTGGGCCGTCCGTTCTCGCAAAGTCACCATGGAAAGACTCGATGCTTCTGTACGGCGAGTTCTCCAGCTCATAAACCGAATTATTGCCGGCCAAGCCGAGCCCATCGAGGATGCTAACACAGAGCATGCTCGTTCGCTCATCCGCGAACTGACTGCCGAGTCCGTCGTGCTGCTGAAGAACGAGAATAATGTTCTTCCATTGACCAAGGGCACCAAAACGCGCTATGGGCTGATCGGTGATCACTGGAAGAACCCAGCTGTGGCTGGAGGTGGCAGTTCTGAAGTAGAGCCGTACTATGTCTCCACACCATACGACGCCTTTGTTGAGGCTGTGGGAGAAGAAAATACATCCTGTGAACTGGGCTGTTACTGTGGGTTTTCCGACCCATCGTCGAAGAAATTGAATATACTAATGAGGCCCTACAGCACACAAATTCGCACCACTATTATCGGGCCTGATTACGCAGCCGGATTCCGACGCTCCTGGCATGCTCCTCGAATTCTTCGACAAGGACCCTACTGCCTCAGATGCCAAACTGGTCTATACCACGACAACAGAGAAGACGACCATGAATTTCGGGGATAGCTTACCGGAAGGCACGATGCCCGAGGTATACTTCCTCCGGATGCGCACCAGGTTCAAGGCGCCCAAGTCTATGAAGTACCGATTCGGTATGTCTGTCGCCGGAAAGGCAAGATTGTTCATCGACGGCAAGGAGATGATAGACTTGTTCACGAGTCATCCCGAAAAGACGGACAATACTCCCTGTTTCAATGGCTTCACCATGGAGAGGTTTGCAGAGATAGATGTTCGGGATGGCGCCACGTACAACCTAGAAATCCACTTGATCAATGAGGACCTTGGCTACAGAGTCGGCGCCGCCCCTGCTGGCGGCGTCCGGCTCGGCGGCTTCGAGATTGTTGATGAAGATGAAACGATAGAAAAGGCCGTGGACCTCGCCCGTCGTGTGGATGTTCCGATTGTTATGATGGGACTCAGCCCCGACTACGAGTACGAAGCAATTGATCGTAAATCGCTTGCCCTGCCAGGCCGCGTCGATGAGCTGATTGAGCGTGTTGCGAAGGCAAATCCCAATGCTGTAAGGACCTATATTCTGTGACATCTCAGCTCCTCACTGGATGGCCGCTAACCTCTCTCAAGATCATCATCACAGAGGCGGGAACAGCAATCGCCATGCCCTGGGTGGATAAAGTAAAGACACTGGTCCATTCATGGCTCGGGGGCCAGGGAACCGGTCACGGCATTGTAGACGTGCTGTTTGGAGAGGTCAATCCCTCTGGTAGGCTTCCGCTGACCTTCCCACGCGCTCTGGAAGACACACCTGCCTTCCTGAACTTTGCAAAGTCGGATGCGGATATTGTCTACGGCGAGGGCGTCTTCGTAGGATACCGGTGGTACGAGAAGCTAAATCGGTCGCCGCTTTTCTACTTCGGCCATGGACTCTCCTACACCAAGTTCCAATATAGCAACTTGGTTGTGCCGCCAGTGTTCAAATCAGATCCAGAGCACATCATGTCAATTGCTGTGGACCTTGCAAACATTGGGGAGAGGTCGGGTGCCGAGGTCATCCAGGTGTATGTCAGGGATTTGGAGAGCTCCGTCCAGAGACCTAAAAAGGAGCTCAAAGCGTTCAAAAAGGTCCATCTCCAAGCTGGTCAGAGCCAGACTGTCAATATCTCTCTTGACAAGTACGCTCTCTCGTTCTGGTGCCAGAGAGCCCACAAGTGGGTTGCTGAGGCAGGTAAATTTGAGGTGATTATCTCCACCAGCGCCAATCCCAAGGACGAAGTGTTGCGACGCACGTTTGAGCTCCAGGAGACCTTGTCATGGACCGGGGTTTAGGTCTAGACTCTGCACGCAAGTTAGATGAGCGGCATACAGTGTTATAAAAAATCAGGCGTGAGTACTATTTGATTCAACTACTCTATCCATATCTAGGAAAGTAACACGTAAATGGACCGCGGACAGAGGTGGCTGCAGTATCATCCAAATGGCCCTCATTGGACCAGTCCCAGAGTGCCTGTCCTGGATTCATTCCGCAGTGAGGTCATTTGTCATTGCTCCCAACCATTTAACAATGAACGATACTCGGTCCTTTAATCTGGCGGAATGAGCCCCAGGATGTGTTTGACCAAGCCAGTGCCGGTTTTACTAACCTACGCAATAGATTTAGTCGCACCTACCCGACTTTTTTTGCGTTGGGCTGTGGGAGTATCTTGACGGAGAGAGGATGCGGCAGAGTATTCAAGTTGCTCCAGATTTACATTATCATTTTTATTTGATCCTGTGGTGATATCAGAATCCATATTACTAGTGGCAGCTTCGTTTCTGCCCGAAGTAAGCAAGCATACGCTCATTGGACCTTCAGAATGGGCTATCTGCTGAAATGCTAGCTAAGCTTCTGAGGATGTTTGTTTGTTTTCTCCCAGTTTCAATCCTTTCATCATCCACTCGTCGTATAAAAGGTCCATAGCTGTCGGTCGGTCTGCAGGATCCCACTGCAAAGCTAATCGGAGCCACCGCAAGAATCCCTCCTTGTCCTCCCCTCTAACGTTGGTAGCTAGACTCTCAAGCGTCTTGCCAGGGATCGGAGCCAAGTTTTTCCAGTTGCCTGACTTGCCCCAGAAGACAGAGCTGAGACGATGGCATTCAAGAAATCCGGGTGGCGGAGGGCCTAGGAGTGCAACCAGTTCTGCCAGATGGACCCTGTCATCGAATATTCCATCGGCGTTCCTACCGTCAATAAGGGGATCGGGGCTGACAATATCCCATGCCTTGATCCTGGATATTAGCATATGCTGTTCAAGTCGTAGCGGAGCGAGTTTCGGCGCGTGGAATAGACTCACGACCATAGCAATATTCCAAATATCCACCTTGCAATCCCAGTTCGACTTCAGAATAACTTCAGGAGCTCGGTATGGGTTCGGCATGATATCCGCATTGTTCTCTCCGTCAGCAAACCGGGCTTCTCCGAAATCACTGAGAAGGGGTAGCCCGGCGCCTGTGGGAAAGCGTGAAGACACGTAGATTGTGCGGTCGTTGAGCATTTTCCTAGCGGATGGCTGCTTGATTTCCCTTTCTTCGAACTCAGATAATGCTTCCAAACTTGGCGTCGGAAGAAGCAAGTTCTTCAACTGCAGATCTGCATGAGAGTCAGCCGTGCAAGGCAAGCCATATCTAATGACTGGTAAGTACCTGTGTGGATTATATGGGCTGCGGAATGCAAGAAATCCAGTACCACCAGTAGCTGCCGGATACAGGGTTTAAGGCTTTCAAGCGTCATTGCTTGTCCTGGGATGCATTTCAAAAGCTCGCTTGCAGTTACTCCTAGAGGCTCATGAACAAGGCAGACATGCTGACCATGAGGGCCCTTGATAACGAATTGATCGAACAATTTGCGAATGAACCTTTTTCCTGGATGCGTTGATTCGACTGCATTCATACGATGATAGACATCCAGCTCATGGTTCTTGCGTTCACCTGTCACGTATATCTTCAAGACGACATATTTGGCGTCGCTGTTCCAACCATTGTTAAAAGAATGTGAGATATCTATGTGGAAACCATGCACTCACACTAAGTCACGGCTGAACCAAACAGTCGAGGTGACACCGTACCCCAACTTGGCGAGAATTTGATACCTATCATTGAAGACTTCTCCCTGTCGTACTGGGTAGTACTTCTCAGGGCAGTATGTCGGCAGAGTCTCCTCTTCAATATGAAGGGACGGGTCCAGTACTTGGAATCCAGACGATGGAAATATTCTGGGAGCACATGTCCACTTGGAAGAGGACATCACTGTTCTATATTGTGTGGTTGTAATCCTTGAGCTTTGCAAAGAAGTCCGTTGGAAAGAGAAAGCTGAAGACAGATGTCGTTCCGAAGTTAGACGAAAGAATGGGAAGAAATGTTTCTTAAGACATTGTATAGTTTGGATCGTCATGTCTTTTGACGAATTCGAAGATGTGTATTGAAGGGGTTCCAGATAGACAGACGGATCAAAGAACCTGGCGTTTATCATTCGATTAGTCTGTAACTCACATGACCTGGTTGTTCCCGCTCCCCACAACCTAGAAGGCCTTAGGTAGAGTTGGTATGGAAACTGTATTACTAGTATTCCCCACTGCCTACCAGGGTCCGTGCCGCGATTGGCCTTGGCTGATTGATGTTCTCGCGTCTATTGTTAAAATATGATACCGGTATCATTCAGGTTACCTATGGACATGAAAACCCATAACCGGCGTGTACATTTTCCGGAGTCCGGACGCCTTTTTGGCCTAGTGGGTATTATATTTCTATATCTGTCACAAAATCGCTGCTGCCTCAACAATCCTACATTGCATAAGCCCCGACACTGTCTCAGCATTACTCGGTCAGCTTTTTCTTTGAGGAAACTACGATTTTGTACACTTTTGGTTATGGTACCAGATAGCTAAGCAATCGCTCCTTCCCGTAAATACACAAGGTTTATCTGCTGTCAGACACAAATCTTCACAATAGACCTGATAATGCCTCCAGGTCCAACCTCAGTATACCTCAGTTTGAAGTATAGCCCGGAATATTGGCTCGTGCGATATTATCAGCATAGCCTCCCTGCCTTCCAGCGCGGGAAGGGAAGAATTTGAAAGTGCCATCCTGATGGACATGGAGTGAACCGATACGAGTGCCTGCATTAGTGTGCAATCCCACTGTAATGACCTGTTGCTTGTCCTCCCTATCCTTTGAAGATGGGTGGGCTTTAGAACCCCTTGTATAGAAATATCAATAAACATTATCTAGAACCAGGAAGCATTAGATAATCACTTACTGGATGTCTGCAACTGTGATCCGTGCATCCTGAATGTAGTTAGCCATAGGCCTTTGTTTTCCTTATTCAGAAGAGGAGACTCACGGCTTTCTCAATTGCGTTGCATATACTATTTGTCGACCCTGACCATTCTGGTCCATCAGCGCCGTTGCTTGCTACCAGGTCCTCAAGAGAGGCACCAGCATATCGGATGAGAGTTTTTGAGGCGCTTTGGAAGCCCCTAGTGATGTTGCGGCTCATACTGCTAGTCAGGAAATCACTGCTTGGAGTAACGAATATCTTCTTGCTTGATGCATTCAGAAGGTTGAAGGTGTGGTCTGGTGCTGGAACTACGATAAGAAATTTGAAGGACATCACTTCATCTTAAATATTGTACAGGATGATAATCAAAGTTCTGCTATGCCTCTGGCAGCGTCAAAATGAAACAGCAGACCTCGCATGTGAAGTATCCTCATTTGGTACCTATTGAAGCTCTGCATCCTGATAGCCGCTAAGATATGTCCGCGCGCCAAGTTTGTGGGTGGTATGCACTTAATGCTAATGTTTACAATTAGCCGCTGAACCCATGTTTCATTTTGTATTTTGCATTGCCCTTATTTGTTGCCACAGATGGCCATCCATAAATAGATGGAATCAACTAATGCAAAGAGCTTTTACTTTTAAGTCATAGGCTCAAATCTCCTCATCGTCAGCCAATTTGCTTCGCGAGACGCACAGTAAGTTCCCCTTTGACTCAGTTGTATTACATAGTCTTAAAGCCCCTATAGTCTGACTTTGAACCATTTCGATTCCACCCTCATCTAATTTTGTACACAGTCAGCCCTGGAATTCCCGAGGCACCGAGAAAATCATAAGAGGTCCTGAGCCGCAGATGAATGTCATGAGGCTTGATCCGTAGTGGTAGACTTCTCTTCCAGCGCAACATATCTCTGAATCAGAAATTAACTACTGACAAGATCCACTTGCTTATAAGATTGGCTGCTTGAATCAAGGACTTTGATACTTATGAAGCTGTCCATCAGTTTACCTAATTTCAAGGGAAGACAGCAGTATTTGGTCGCGGCAGATTGCCTGCGGCCACGCATATAAGGATCGAAACTTGCATGAGATACTGTACCAAGATCCCATTTTTCGAAGGTATGACGTTCATATCGTACCAGGCGAACTCGATCGTCAGGATTACCCCTGGAACGTCTTGTCCCTGGAGACCTTTTATCATGATTAAGGCTCCGTTGGAACTCATTGTAGGAAAGGAAGATGCGAAAGCATCCAATCGAGTATTTCAGCTTGACAGTTTTAACAATCCAGATTTAACTAGACTCTAATACAGTTATATACAAAACATATAAAACCGAAGCTCAGCAATGAGGCCATCATCGGGCACATCACAATTGACACTATCATAAAGAGAAGACATAGAAACAGCTAACAGGGCGTCAGGGCCTCAGAAGACTGGCTATCGGCGATAGGCTTTTCAAGATTACTGAGGAGAGTGGAGTATTATCCAGTGTACGATATTTCAGGGCATGAGGATTTAAGGTGGTTGTTGTTGTGGTTGCTGTTGTACTGATTAGCGTCCAGAGGGCCTTGGAGCTTGAAGCCCTCTGATGGGGCATAGGCTATAGCCTATAGGGACGTGCTAAGCTATGGGAATTACATACATCAATAATGTGCGACCGAAGCAGTGGGTCGTGACCAGTTGGCCGACCTGCCGACATGTGGGATGGATTCATTGGGCGTGGCCGCGTGGGGCTGTGTGGCTGGCAGGGTGGGGTGCTTCAACAAGGGGCAATGAAGCTTTGCTTCTATCGGGTTGGAACTTGGGGGTTTTCAGGTGGGGATTCGGACGGATAATTTAATCAAGCCGTCACCGTTGCAGAAATCCCAAGTTTCCCAAATTCCGTTGTGGTGGATCCCTGCATCTCTAATGGTGGTTCAGGATTACATATGCTTCCGTTTGAATCATCCGATTTCTAAGCCGTTCTGGAGCAAGAAAGCTAGTCCGAGTGAGCGACGCTGCTGTTTGGATATAGGAACACTATTTTAATTCCAGCGAAAATATTATATATCTCCTCAACTCCGGGTTCTTGAGTCCAGAATTCTCTATCTTAAAGGCACCCATACCAACATGTTGTCGATTAACATTCCTGCCTACTCGAAACCCTCCGGCTACCAGCTTTCCGAACGCCCCAAGCCGGAAATTCAGGACCCAAAAGATGTTCTTATCAAAGTTCACGCTGCCAGTATAAACCCAATCGACGTGAAAAAGGCCGATGGTATTTTTAAGTTTCTGCAGAAAGACGCGTATGTGCATCCCGTCCTGATGGCTAAAAGACGACTGACTTGGATTGATCAGGTTCCCATACAAGATCGGCTATGATTGCGCCGGTACAGTTGCCGAGATTGGATCAGGCGTGACGCGGTTCAAAGTCGGAGATGCAGTCTACGTTAGATTACCGGAGGCGTGTCGAGGTTTGTAATAATCGAGAAAAAGATGGCCGTACTTGAGCTGACAAAATCAAATCTAGGAGCGTGGAGCGAATACGCCAAATGTCCAGAGGAATACATCGCTCTCAAACCACAGTCGTTGTCATTTGAGAGCGCAGCCTCGATTCCATTAGCAGGATTGACAGCTCTGCAGGCGCTGAGGAAATATGATGGCGATCTTTCCGGAAAGACTGTATTCGTACCCGCTGGATGTATGATATACCCCCTCATCATATTTACGTGACTGCTAACTGAATGGCAGTGAGCGGAACCGGCCTATACGCATGCCAACTTGCGAAGCATGTTTTTAACGCCGGGAAGGTGATCACGACTGTCTCGACATCGAAAGTTGCCAAGGTAGACGAACTCTTAGGAGAGGGAACCGTCGACCAGAGTAAGAAGTCGATCCCATGACTCACCATGCAATAACTGCTGACTCGATGCAAGTAATCGGCTACAAGAAGGTCAACCCAAAGACTGCGATTGAGCACGGTACTGTTGATTTCTTGTTCGACACAACCGGGGCCGCCATGGAATACCTTTGTTTGATGCGGCCAAAGACCAGCTGGGTCGTGTCTATTGCAACGGCACCTGCGGGGAACCAGCTACAGGATTTTCTTGGGCGCGGCACCTCTGTCCCAATATATGTCAAACTCGGACTGAATTTACTGGATTTCATCCGCAAGATGCGCGCTCGACGCTACGGTGTTAGCTATACATATATGTTCCTGCATGAGAATGGCAAGGACTTGGACGCGATGCGGGAATATGTTGAGGATGGTAAATTAAAGGCAGTCGTGGGCACTACAGTGGATATGTCCGATATTCAGGCCGTGAGAGCCGCCTGTCAGGTTGTATACAGCAACCAAGGGGGCCTTGGAAAGGCTGTGATTGAAGTTGCTCAGTCTGAGAATTGAGCATGAGTACTTGCGATGTTTGTACGCATCAACAAACCCGGAGGTGATGATGGCACCTCTCTTGAAACAGTGTTGCGGAATGTTTCGCTTTGCTTTTGGTCGTCATTTAATATTTTTGTGACTTTAGTCAACTTGTATACTAGTCTAATTTCATAATATATTAATAGGTAGTAGCGTATCAGCACCATTAACAAATGCCAGTAATAGAACATTTTCCCCAGCTCTAGTGAGGAAGTATCAGGCGCTACAAACGACTGATCCTGATTGACCTATTGTTGTGTCGTACTCGACACTGCATATGTTCGCGCGATTTACCTCAATTATTTTGAAGATAATCCGGCGGTGATCGAGCCTAGAACTGGTTAGGTGGAGATTGCTACCACCGCATCGTGTAGGTAGGAACTAGAAGCTCCAGAAGCTGCTGATCAGCACTCTAAAATCCCAGGGGATGTATAGGGAGCTTAGCCTCCGGGAATCCGTTCTCTTGGATATCGGAACGCCTACAAATTGTAGACTGCTTTGGTAGGTTAACGTCCAACTTCTCTCAAGTATGAAAGGCCAAATGGGGCGGCCTGGGCGGCCGAGGCACGGAGTATATACCGAGGATCCACTGACTAGCCCTAGGTTCGGGGCAACAGTCTATCCGTGTTTGCCACGTGGGGAATTAATCAGGGACCTACACGGTGGAAGATCTTATAGTTTGTTCTGCTCATACAACGATCATTTCGAGATCTTGACTTGCTGGATCAAGACAAGGTTGCGAGTGTCCATGAAGACCTTTTTGCCACCTAATGCGAAAGAGGGAAAAAAGGGACGAGCATCTAGATATTTAGATACCGCGCCAAGTCACGTGATCCTTCGTATAGATATCTTCCGCCCTCCCCCTTCCTACCCCTTCCTAGGGGGTCACCAATATCATCGTTCTCTCTCATTTGGCCCCACAGTAGGCCTGAAATATATATGAGGACTGTGGAGAGTCAAAGTCTCTTGATGTATAGAGCTCTAACCGCAGTTTTCCTTTTATTATTTGAATTCATTCAAGGACAGTGAAGAAACAGGAGACAACAGGGATAACACGACCCCCTGTGATAATGGCAGCGTTTGTTACGGAATTTCTAAACCCTTACAATTATATGGGAGGAGTGAGTTTTGACCCTGAGCGAGATATACAAGACTTATCAGGCAAAGTTGTTTTGGTGACCGGGGGTAAGTCGGGCTCCCTTCTTTCCACGAGAGTCGTCGGGGAAGATCCTAACGTTTCTAGGAAATGCTGGGCTGGGGAAGGAATCCATCCTCCAGTTAGCGAAGCATAACCCGGAGAAGATATTCCTTGGAGCACGGTCAAAAGCAAAGGCAGAAAGTGCTATTAGCTCTATCAAAGACCAAATTTCGAATAACGTGAACATTACTTGGCTTCCTCTGGATCTGACATCCGTTCAATCCATCAAAGATGCAGCCCAGCAATTCTGCGCAGAGTCATCACGACTCGATATCCTAATGCTCAATGCAGGTGTGATGGCTCTTCCACCAGGAGAAACAGGAATAGGCCATAAGATCCAGCTTGGTACAAACCATACTGGCCACTTCCTTCTGACAAAGCTCCTGCTCCCGACCTTGTTGAAGACTGCTCAGGAGCCGAATTCAGACGTGCGAGTTGTCTCATTATCTTTAATTGGACATAATCTCGCACCACCCTTTGAATCCATCTTGGATCAAGACAAGTTGAAAAGGGTCTATATGAACCTTAGATACAGCGCCTCTAAGGCAGCCAACATTCTGTTTGCTGCTGAGCTTGCAAGATATTTTCCTTTAATCACTACTGTATCTATCCACCTAGGTATTATACTTATAGATCTTTATAGCCCTTTAAGTGAGCACTCTATCATTATTATCTTAAGTTTGAAATTACTAGGCCTTTTTAGAATACTAGTCTATATAGGAGCTTATAACCAGCTATAGGCTACTGTAGGTGTGAAGAAGCAGGAGCTTATTAATAGAGTATATTATATCCTAGTAGAAAAGCTTAAGGCTTATAATAAATACACTAAAAGTAAAGAGCAAGGGTGCTGTCTCTGGGACTAGACTAAGGCTGAGTTATATAATTTTAGAGCTTTTACTTAAATCAGTTCCATATCTCACTATCCACTTTGGCTTCCTTTTGGATGATACTTAACTATATATTGCATGTTAATATATAAGGAATACCTGACAGACAAACTTTGCATTTGTAAGTTCCACTTATAACTAACTTGTATCCTCTGTTTCCAGACAGGGTTTTAGTCGCTTACTAAATTTCTAGGAAGGCTTCATTCTTTAATCTCGGTTGCTTCAGAAATCAGGAGTCTAAGGTAGGGCACGACATGGGAAATGGTGTACAACAAGCACAATAAGTAGTATGTCACCACATTGCTCCTATTGGATAGTATTAGTAAATAATACAGGAGTAGTTCAAAGTGAATCTTTTTAAAGCATCCCCGCGTTTCCGTCTGGCACCGGAGATCATTGTGATCAGACAGGACCAAACACATCAATATTCCACACAACCACCGTTGCAAGCATCAACTGGAGCTTGCTAGCCATCTAAGTAGTTCTATCGAAATCTCCTAACTAAATCTGCATTGTCTACCATGCCCGGCGTGAAACGAAAGACCAAGGCAAAGACACAGCCCGTTCTCTACTATTACAACATCTGACCCTCCTACTAGGACGGGGACCTCAAGCGGGTCCGTGACAACCAGCGCAAATGTCGGCAACGAAGGCGTGACTACGTGGCCGAACTGGAAAGCAAAATCGCATCTTATGCAGAGGCTGCCGCTGAGGCAGACATGAGGCGGCAGGCTATGGAAGAAACCCTCCGCGGAGAAAACGAGGCACTGCGGACCCTATTGGCCTCCAGCAGCTTTAGCCACGATGTCCTGGAGCGTGATACGACCGAGACGCAACAAGAAGTTATCTTAGACGAGATACAAACGAGTCTCAGCTTCGCGGCTACTGTGCCGACCACCCTTGAACTGCACGCTGACTCGATGGCCCTGCAGTTGCCGAACGTATGACTATCTGACTATCCACCGCGTGCACAAGAGGTGATCGGTGCCGCTCGCAAAAGCTATGACTGACTAAACATATGTCAGGTTACTCCTAGCTTTGCATTTCCCACTACGATACGTGAAGTTGCAGAGACTGGACTTGCGGCGCCTTCCACTCGAGATTTTACGCCTTCGCAATCTACAGATCTTAGCACTTGCCTGGACTTTCCGGTACCCACTCTACATGAACCGACCGTACTGGACAGAGACTCGCAAACCCATGTGCTTGAGCTCCTGCCTCCGACTAACCAAAGTACAACCGGTGTTGATATCACCATAAGGTTACCTGATCCTATTCTACAAGACACAACACTCTGCGCTGTTGCCATTCAGATTGTCCGTCACTGTAATAAGAAGGACCTAGGCATGGCCGAGCTGGATATTAAGCTCCGTCCCGGGTATAGGAATGCTAGGTCTCCCTTGGAAGGTTGTAGGGTCACTAACTGGGTTTTACTGATGGTCCTTGCCGAAATTATACAATAGACCCATTTGTTTCTTTGCTCATCTCTTGCGTTACTCTCATCAATCATTGATGTCGATAAATTTATTGAAGGATCATCGATAGAAGGTGGCCAATCATACCAGACTAACTGAAAAATACTGCGAAAATAATAGGAAGAAATACGAAGCCGGTGACATATCAGTCATCTTTGCTGGTTGATGCTTTGGGAGGGGTAAGGAATAGTGGTGACATACCAGTTATACGGCTGCCCAATCATGAGGTAACTTAGCCGTGCCTCATACATCGCGTTGCTTCCGATGTACGGGATTCCTGACTTTGGCAGCTGTATACTCTGGCCTAAGGACATAAATACGGACTAACTTCCTCTTCCCTGCTTGCTCTCGTGGTTTTGAATCAATTTTATGTTAAGGTGGCCCTGTCTCTTTCCTTTTTGCTTCACCTATCCACTGTCTAGGAGCATTGAAATTGCCGGATAACAACCGTCAGCAAACGAGACCGTTGAAATGGCTGAGGATACCTATCAACAGGTGCAGTCCCGCTATGGTGACATCGCCAAACGCACAGGCGTCACAGTCCATGACAAGGAAGATGATATCGCATTAGCGTTTGGGTACAGCGCGAAAGACCTGCGTGCTCTTCCGGACAAAGCAAACCTGGGACTGAGTTGTGGCAATCCAGTGGCACATGCCAACATCAAGGAGGTACCTAATCCATGATATGTGGTCGTAGACTCACAAATTCTAACTCTTTGACAATTGAACTAGGGAGAGACAATTGTCGACCTCGGAAGTGGAGGCGGCATCGATGTCCTTCTAGTCGCTCGCAAGGTGGGGCCAGAAGGAAATGCCATCGGGATAGACATGACGAAGGCTAGCTAGCGATTCTGTCGCCTGAGGAGCTATAGACTAATACCTCGACCAGGATATGATCAATCTCGCGAAGAAAAACGCCGAAGCGGCTGGCCTGTCCAATACGCGGTTTATAGAGGCGTCTATCACCTCGATCCCGCTTCCGGATGCCAGTGTCGACTGTATTATCAGCAACTGCGTTATCAATCTTGTCCCATCAAAGGATAAACCATCTGTATTCCAAGAAATTGCTCGCTTGCTGAAGCCGGGCGGAAGGGTTGCTATCAGTGATATCCTGGCCAGGAAGGAGCTCCCAGCGAACATCGTCAACGATATAGCTCTCCATGTAGGGTGCATTGCAGGGGCCAGCCAGGTTGCGGAGTATGAGGAATATCTCAAACGCGCAGGATTCAAAGGTACGTACTTAGGTTCCATGCACATATTGCTGTTCCGTTACTGACATGACTTCAGATATTCTGATGGTCGATACTAAAGCAGACCTCAATCTCTATAAACAGTCCTCCTATCTAGGTCAGAGTAGTTGCTGTGGCCCAGCAGAGTCCCGCAAAGAGTGGCCAGCTGAATATACTGAGATGGACTTCAACGAATGGGTTGGTAAGTTGTCCTTTAATTCGGTACTGCTTAGATGGAGACGTTAATGATCTGTACAGCCTCTTTTCAGATTTATGCCGTCAAAGATAGCAGCGTTGTGTAGGACGGGCCTTAGACTGCTGGTGTCTACAATGGAGAACTGACGTACTTGATATCGAGCGATTCAAGCTGGTTATCTAATTCTTTCCTTCTCTTCCGGTTGTCCTGAATTTCACGCTTATTATGAATTAGTCTTTTAGCTAGGGGCAAGCCATAATATCTATCGTCAACAGATCTAATCTTTCCAATCTAATCGCTTTGCCATAGCTTTCACGGCGTAGACAAGTCCCAACAGCACTGGCACCTCAATTAACGGCCCCACGGTGGATGCAAGAGCCTGGTTGCTGTCCGCTCCAAAGGTCGCAACGGCAACAGCAATAGCCAGCTCAAAGTTGTTGCTAGCTGCAGTAAAACTCTGCGTCGCCGCCAATTTATACCCGAAACCCAGCTTATATGTGATGAAAAGAGTCGTGAAGAATATGACAGCGAAGTAAACAATAAGAGGGGCCGCAACGCGGACAACAGAGACAATCTGATGCACCACTTGGCGGCCTTGAGAAGCAAACAGCACCAGGATAGTGAACAAGAGACCGATCAATGACCAGGGGCTGGCCCATTTCAGAAAGACTTCATCATACCATCTTGGGCTTGCAACCCATCGGAGGGTGAAGCGCGTGAGGATCGCGGCGCCCAGAGGGATCCCAAGGAACACAGCCACACTTTTCGCGGCAGTATCATATTCAAATACGACGGAATCGCCGCTGATAACTTGAATAAAAAGGACCCCCATAGGGGCGAATAAAACCATCTGGAGCATCGAGTTGACAGCAACAAGGATGGCACAGTATTCACTGTCTCCTCCTGCTAATCCGGTCCAGATTAAGACCTAGTAACAATATCAGTACCAGTACGCATAGGGATAGGTAGAACTGTTGTGGACTGCTTAGAAATGCCTACCATAGCAATACACCGAGCCAGTCCAACCAGAATCAGCCCCTGCCGCAGCTCTGGCTCATCAGGCAGAAACGCCCAAGCCAATGCCAACTGAAAGGATTCCACGTCAGCCGATGGTCTATGAGCGACACATCCAGATCAACATACCATGAAGAACGGGGCTATAATCCAATTGACAAATATGCTAAAGGCAATCTGTATCCAAATCTGACGTGTCCGGAAAACATAATGCAGGCTTTCATATCGAACCTTGCATAGAATGGGGTACATCATGACAAGAAGGCCGATAGCTGCTGAGAATTAGTACATGGGAGAACACTATTTGTCACCAAGAATACTCACCAATTGGGACGGAGACCCCTACAAATTTCCCTTTTTGCAACGCAGGCCCAGTGTTAGGTACGAAGTTACCAAGGATGATTCCAATTGCCATGGCGAGGAATATCCACAAAGCAAGGAATCTGTCGAGTAACCCAAGATTTTTGAACGCGGATTGCTTGCATTGGGCGCCGTCTGGTAAACTCGGTTCTCCCTGCTTTTCCACGTCGGACGCTTGCCCTGGGGATGGGTTGGCAACGTCAGGCATCCTTTCCGGAAGTGCTTGAGACACTGTGATCTGTCGTCCCGTGATGATCGTGAACGGCTCGATTTTTGGAAAAATCGAATTCGTCATGATCCATTATCAGACTGGCGGGTCATGCAGGCAAAGATATATAGCTGACCGCTGTGGTCCCTCCTGCTCATCATTTTCATTTGCTTTTTATATCATCTCTCTCAGTTGGATGTCACTGGTAAATGCTGATTGGATGTTACTCAGCAGAAGAATCCACTGTATGGTAACCGCGGCGTAATATTACCTTATCAATCTATCCCATTCATCAAGGTGTCACTAGCAAGTGTTCATTGGACAGACTTTACCCAGCTAAACAATTCTGTACTACCTTACGGGAGAACCGTGAGTTGAGAATATGGTGGATATATAGTGTATCTACGGTGTCTTTTGAAATATCCAAAAGTCTAGCACATCTTAAGCATTAGTAACAGTATTTCATGTACAGATTCTAAAGACACTGTACATCTATCACTTTAATAATATTAGCGCTCAGACAATATTACATCAAGTAATATTTTCTGGTCTTGTAAATTCCCTTGCCCCTGATGCTAAACGAGCATAGCCTTAAATAATGCGCCTTTTGGAAGAACCTCGTCAGAGACCGCTCTTTGAAGCTCCTTCGGTCCCTGAGCATTCCTGGCTCGCTAGGTCTACGTAACAGCCCTTCAATGTCAGCTTATCCAAGCCCTTGATTTACTACGAGATTGCCTGGGCAAGCAGACGCAAATACTGGGACTCAATCATCCCAACGCCATTTCTAATTCTGAAACTTTGCTGCAGTGGGAAACAGAGATGTTGAATATGCATTGGTAGATGGGCAAGATCCTTGCATTTCATATCATTCCTTCGCAGCGGGCCCTGCATTATAATGTAATATGATAGGATACTGGAATATTTTATCATACAAGGACTTTGTATAAATTAGGCGAAAAAGCTTGCTTTGCACTATCAACGTATTAATGTGTCAGGGTATTTCCAGGATTTATAGAACTCACTGTCACGTAGATTTGCCTTTCAATACATTTTGACCTTTCGAAATAGAGCCAAGCCAAGGATAGCTTAGCGTACTTCGGAATGGGGTTCGAGAAAGAATCTCTGTGTGCAAGTGATGAAGATGATTTCGATCCATTCTGTAGGAAATAGAATTAAGACAAGAGCACCTCTTGTTTGAAAATCGCGAAGTTGAATGGAACAGCCACCGTACGATAACATGTCTTTTTTCGGGTTAAGGCATCAAGACCAGATCCAGAATCTTCTCTGTAGAAAGCATTGCCAAATAAACATGCTTCTCTTCACAATAGCATGTAGGTATCTTCGCCAGGCCGGCTGAAAGCGGAGAGCCAACTCAGGTCCCAGCAAGCCTTTGCGAACCAATTCTTCACAGGTCTTTGTCTCCTTTGCAGAATCAATGAAGATGTATTCTGTATTCCTGATCATATCCTTTGTCTTGCGTTTGAAGTCGTACGCTAGCAAGGCCATTGTAGGATAGACATTGTGCCAACAAGCAGAAATAAGACCATCGAAAACTTCATTGCGGTTAAGTTCTGGAAACTCCATTTCCCAAAATCGGCGATCCCATTCTGCGGCGCTGAGGATAATGTCGTCATAGGGTTCATGGCCGTATACCATAAAGTATAGAAGTGTCCCAACCGCAAACTGTTCAGTTCTGGCGGAACAGAGCCCGTATGTGCCTTTCAATGGTCCAGCAAGTATTGGTCTGGCCCGTGGAGGTAAGGTACCTTCAAGTGGTTGTCCGATGGTGGTGGCACGACCAAAATCAGTCAGCTTCAAGTTGAAGTTTCTGTCAAGAAGACAGTTGCTCGCATGCAGATCATTGTGACAAAAGCCCACTTTCTCCACATACTCAAGAGCAGAGGTGATTTGTTGTATCCACCGAGCGATGAGAGCAGGATCCTCGTATTCCTTGACCCTGATAAGACGCCCATGAAAACCATTTGTTCCTGTCTCTCGCTCCTGGCGTTCATAGAAGCGAGGGGCGATTGCCTGATGCGTGCAATATGATAGGAAAAGGTAGTCCGGGAGCATGAGAAAACATTCAACAATATTCGGACATCGATCGCGGCACTCATTAAGACGTTGGTAAAACGAGATCTCCTTGAGGAAAGGATGCTCCGCTGCCTTTTCTTCAGGGGTTCGGTTGCGACGAACAGTTTTCACCACAATAGTTGGAGTGACGCGGTAGATATAAGCGTCGAGTCCTCCGCCAATCCAGTTATGTTCCTTGAGAGCATCAGCGTTGTGGAAGCTCATGGCGAATCAAAACACATGTAATTGTAGTCATAGCCGTGTAGAGTTTTGGCAACGATGTACAGAAGTATTAGGACGGGGTGGCGGCACGGGTGTGAGAACAGGGTGGTGAGGGAGGTAGGGGCAGCAGACACAGAGAGAAGCAGAAAATGGAGAATTTTGGAAGAGATTGATTGTCTTACTAATGCCACGCGCGCTATGCCTTTTTCATCAGAGCAAGCCCTTCTCTCATTAATTACAAAATACTGTAGGGACATTCCTCATTGAAGGAGAATCAATTCTCTATAGTAAAAGTGCACAACAAAAGAAGTCAATACCAAAGACACAGGCATCCATTGTAGATGATAATTATGGATCATAAATACAAGCATGCAAGTACTCTGTAATTAGTTACACTAATTTAGCGCGTCCCAAAATTCTCACCGGCTCGCTCTTCGGACCGCCCTTTGGTCCACTAATACAGAGAAGAGCTGGACAAGACATTCCAAAAGAACAACAAACTTGATAGCAGCACAAAAAACAATCAGAAAGAATGACTGCCACATTATCTAACTCAGCACAGAGTAGCTCGTTGGCCTTTCCTAAGTAACAAATTATTGACACTTCGCCACGCAATATCCAGGAACAGTCAAAGTTGCCAAGGAATTCTAGAAGGGTCGTCAGATTACAAGAAATTTTGAGTATTCCAAAGGTATTCCAGGAGAACTGACACAGAAACTTGAAATCAGCTGTAAATTGCTGAGGCCCACCTGTTGCAACATCATACCACTTTCCATTGGCTGTCTGGGCCCAAAGGCCTCTATCCTTGCAGTCATTGCAAGGAAAATGTGAGGTAGTACTGGCAACATTATTGTTCCTGCCTTTCTCTACCCTGCAGTTGTTACATCCATCACTAGGGATCAGACTGCTGGGTGTCTCAACCTTATGATGGCAAGCATGCATAGTTATATTATAGGTTCTCTTGCACATGTTAATATGATCTGTTCTTGTTAGTTATGCTCTTTCTAAAAGACCTAGAAGAACAAATACCTTATGGCAGAGGCCCTGTCTGTGCTAGAAGCTTTGTGCCTATTGATTAAGGAGAAGAGGTTTGATCTGTGTCAGAAGCTTGCTGTATATCAGATCAGAAAATTTGAGGAGGAAGAGTCCCTTTTATAATCATGAGCCTCCCTTGATATGAAACCATTAGGACTACTACTTTTAAGAGTGTATGAGCCTTGCTAGGCGCCACCTGTAGACAGGAATGTTCATGGTAAGAAGACTGTTTATTGGATGAGAGACATATCTGGAATATATTAAGGGCTGAACACTTCAAAATGGCCCTATGAGGCTGCTCAATAGTGGTGGCACCTTGTCTTGATTTATAGTACTGTAGTGGATTCACGCAAAAGGTGGTGGCCATAATTAGGGCACTAGCCAGGCACAGGCCAGGCTGCCTGGCATTGTGGCAGGGTAAGGACCCATTCACTCATCATTAGCAGTTGTCCCTCCCAGGTCCACTAAGGCTTTCTTGACCCCAGGCTTAAATTAAGAGAGCTAGAACTGCTCTCCCTAGCTCTAAAGCTTTGCTTATAGCACCTTCTGGACATTGAACAGCTAATAGTTAGAAAAGCCTAGTAACTAATGACCTATGATATGGCTAGTGGATGCACTAAGCTATAAGGCTTCCTCCTACTCCTAGCTTCTATCCCTACCTAGTGTCTGCTTCTACCTACTTCTACTACTCCTACTACTTCTACTACTCTTACTACTTCTACTACTTTTATTACTTCTATTATTTTTACTACTCCTACTACTTCTACTACTTCTATTACTCCTATTACTCCTACTACTCCTACTACTTATTCCCTTTACCCTTTCTTTCTGGCCCCACTGAGAGAAAATGAAGAAAATACTTTAACATATTCATAATGTTATTAAAGATCTTAATCAATGGTAATTCATACCTCCCAACTTCAAAGTGATACTGGAAGAACAGCTCTTCCTTGTCTGCAAGCTACCAGATCAACTGAAGCATGAGAAGACACCACAGTCAAAGAGTGAGTATAATTCACATGCCTGACAGAAAAAGGCTCAGGAAATCTACCTTGAGGTCCTTGCAAAATCCCCTCTTAATTTTTTGCCATTTCTTTTAGTAGTATCCCCCAGGTCGTGCCTGAACTGGAAAGCTGGCGAAGTGGGAGCGACTTTGGAGGACTGCAAAGGAACTTGACTAAGCTGTGAATTCGAAGCCAGCTTTGAAGGCATTGCCAGTAAAGGGCGTTTACCCAGTCCGTCATTTATCAAAAGATAAAGCGCCTTCTCTTTTCATCAGGTCAGTGGAAGCAATCTGTTATGGGGAACCGCGCTGACCTTTAGCATAGTGCCCTGCCTGAGGCCTACGACAATCCCAGAAACAGATGAGGTCTGGCTATACAACGCAGCCGACGTTGATAAGAGCCGGAAATTCTTCAACAAGAAGTTATACAAAGCCATCGAGAACTCTCCACGGCGAACCCATGAGAAAGAAAGGAAACTACTCAGAACAACACAGTGCATCTGTATGAGTTTTTCTCATTCCAATCAGCAAGCCGCCGTTATTCGACTAGATATCGGATTTGATAGTGGAATCATTAAGGCTTTGTTTCCAAAGGCCTGGGAACAATTCGTGCAGATATATGGGGCCGAGGCTCCAAGCACACATGTCAACCTAGTGTTGTGCGAGGAACACATCTGTAAGGAACACAATCTTGAACCTCAAGAACATCAACTGATGATGCTTAGTTGATAATGCCTACTTCACATTCCAAGGGGCATATGTACCAAACATTCTTGAGGTTTTGGGACCTCACATCCATCAAGGTATTGAAGAAAGCCAACTTCGGAAGTGGGAGACTGACAGCTTTTTCCTGAAGACAATGGATACAAAGCCTCCAAGGCAGCCAACATTCTGTTTGCTGCTAAGCTTGCAAGATATTTTCCTTTAATTACTGCTGTATCTATCTATCTAGGCATTATACTCACAGACCTTTACAGCCCTTTAAGTAAGCACTCTACTATTCTTAAGTTTAAAATTACTAGGCCTTTTTAGAACACTAGTCCATGCAGAAGCTTATAACCAGCTATAGACTACTATAGGTATAAAGAAGCAGGAACTTATTAATAGAGTATATTATATCCTAGTAGGAAAGCTTAAGGCTCATAATAAATATACTAAAAGTGAAGAGTAAGGGCACTATCTCTAGGACTAGACTAAGGCTGAGTTACACAAGTTTAGAGCTTTTACTTGAATCTTTTTTGTATCTCACTCATCTAAATTCATTGGCTATCAATGCAAATCTTAGCCATATCAATGAATAGTTAGGGGGAAATGCATGCGATCTAGCATTAGCGAATTGCACTTCGCCCAGGCTGGGTTGAAGTGAGAATGTTTTTGATAAATGATTACCGCCAGAGAAAGTCCAGGCTGGCTTGAACAGCATCTCGCGAGGAGCAGAAAAGAATAAAGCTCTCACTTGCTCTATACAGATATTGGATTGCAAGCCAGAAACATTTCCATTGATTTGACGGAGAGTTGTTCTCTCATCATACAGGGCTCTGCGTATTCCTGGCCTTAAAAGAGCAACTTGTACCTTCCAGAAAGCACTAGTGGACCGCTATTCCATCTGTCTGAAACGCTGAAAAGTCACTGGTCCTAACTGTTTAATGACTTCCTCTAATTGACCATCTGCCATCAGTGCCACAGCATCCCTCCCAGTTTTTGTGTGCTTCTCCAAGGAGCCAAGTCCAAGTCTATAAGCAACAATGATGACAGTGTGGTCCTTTTCAGTAAATTGGGGACCTGGAGATCTTACCAGCTGGATCCAGACAACGTCAAGAGAGCGTCCACAGAAGTCTATGAAATTTATTAGCCACCTGAGGGCCTGAGGGTCGGTGGAGCGCGGGGTTGAGTAACTAAGGTAGTAAGATCTGGGACCCCTGTACCCTCAAGATTGGCTTGAGCCGCTTGGGTCTTGATCTTCTGCCCAACAGCTTACATCACGTGTCACAATTTGCAGATATATGACTCTCATGGTCGACATGGTGTCTACGGCTGTCTACGATGTAAGTGCCGCTGCTCTAGCCCGGGAGGGTGCTGAACCTGAAGCAAAATACTAGTATCTTCATACCAAGAAAGTATCAGTTCGAGGATGGATGTCTACTACCTCGGCCCAAACCAACTCCCACGACTCTATCGCGTACAGTATGCCGAGTCCATGACAACCTATGACATTCGAAATGGTCTCGAGGCGCAAGATACAGATACATTCTACGATGAAGGGAACTATATGTCCGCCGATTTTGGAAACGCTGTTGAACGACACCTGAACTGGGATAACGACTACAGAAGCATTTTCATTTCACTCTTTTCCGACAGGGTACACGCAGAAAATTGGCTGCGGGATAGACACCGGCGCTTTGAGTGTGGAAATTGTAAACTACTTGAGATCGACGCAACTCAACTGGGATATGTTTATAAAGCACAGGGGCTTGTGGACCGACTCTCCCTATTCGTCCCGCGCAAGGCAAAATCAACTATTTCCAAGGAATACCTCGTCGCTCACCGAATTCCCGCTCGCGCTATCATAAAATGGCATACTCTTGATATCTACCCAGCCACCCAGACATAGTTTGATCATATGGGCTAAGTAGATGACCATTCTCTTTCACTCAGTTCCTCCAGATCTTGTACTATATTCTCTATATATTTGTCTGTAGCACTAAGTTTTAGAATTTGTATAATAGCATAGTAGACGTTGAATAGCCGTGCAGAGAATAGATCAATAGGGTTGGAGGGCTCTCGTACGAACCCCATGACTCTAAGAACTTGGCAACAGGGCAGCATAACTGCTTACCCTTTATTTTTGTTTTCCATTCTTTCTTTCTTGCCTTGTCTTAATCGTTCCTTTCTGTACACGGCACCCTTCGGTTGAGGCGTGACCCAACACCTTTACATACATAGTCTTACTATATAAGTGCAGCTTTACAATCTTAATAATAACCTTTAACTATTCTAACTATTGCTTCCTCTTTAATCTAACCCATTTAAGTTCTTAGCTATGAACCCTATAAATCATAAAAAGATTCGATATTAGCCAAAGGGGATGGCTCACGATAAAGTTTAAGAAACCTATATAGGGACACTAAATGCCTAATAATACGTAGGGAAAGGGCAGGGTACACTAACTAGTAAAAAGTTAAGAAGGCTGATTTCTCTTTTCTAGTGGTAGGACCGTTCATGGAGCTCGTTCACCTAGCATGAGATCTGCCTCAAACGCTCGAAAGTTGCCGCTCCTAAGGCTTCAATGACTTCCTCTAATTGACCGTCTGCCATCAGTGCCACAGCATCCCTTCCATTTGTTGTGTGCTTCTCCATGGAGCCAAATCTATGAGCAACAATGATGACAGTGTGGCCATTTTGGGTGAACTCATCGTCAATGATACGATGAACGGTGGATTCCGTAACTGGGTCGAGGGAGGATGTGACTTCGTCCAAGAGGACTACAGGCTTCACTCCAGAATCTCGTAACGACCTAGCTTTGACAAGCGCTCGACATAGTGCGAACAGTTGACTCTGTCCTACAGATAGCTTTCGAAATAGTGAGACCTTCTTGTCAAGGATTGGATGACGACCAGAGCCTGAGATGTTCAGGGTGGGAGCTGGCTCTCCCCCAGAGTACGTGTGGCCCTCGAAGAAATGTGACCACAGTCCGGCTTTGTTTAATGCAGCAACGAGGACATCGTCTGGCATTGACGCATCCGGGTCTAGGTTAAACCGCAAGTTCTCGTTGGGCAACACTAGAGGCTCTTGGGACACCGCGACGAAACACCGTCGCCGTAGTAAATCTAGCCTCACATGCCTGATATCAATGCCATCGAGCTCGATCTGGCTGGACTCTAGCTCCAGAAGCCGTAGGAGCGAGAGGAGTAACGTGCTTTTGCCGCTAGCATACATAGTGAGCCGTCGGATATCTCAACTATATTTTATGTAGAGACTCACCTGCCTGTACGCCCGCACACGATGAGTTTCTGACCTGCGCTAACATCCAGGCTCAGATTCCGTAGAGCAACCGACCCCGGTCTTGATTGTGCACTTGTCAACTATTAGTAAGAGCAGCTTTGGGCAGGATACATACTCATAGGATGCAGTGACATTTTTGAGTTTTATATGTCCCCTGGAAGGCCAGTTTTCCGGGGGTTCCAAGTTCCACACTCTTTCACCCTCCACCGCAGTCATCTCTTCAAGCATTTTCAACCGAGCAATGGCACCGAGGAAGTCTCTAGTGTAGTCCAATTCTCAACAAGCTTTAGTAATGTCGAGTTTGCTACGAGCATAATGTTAAGCGCAATTCCGACTTGCCCACCACTGACGCGCCGTCGAAATGCTACAGCTCCCGCAACAACACTTGTTGCAACAGCCGCACTCAAAAGATTTAGGACAAGGTTGAGCCATCTCTGGAGACACAAACGGAGAAATTCTGGACGTTGGGAGTTGTCAACGCTACGGATGTTGTCCTGTGTTGCAGCCCTAGACCAACCAAATGACCGTATGGTTTCGAGGCCCTCAATCTGGGAAATTAATATCAGCTGGTTACAGCGATCAAGCGTTGAATACCTACACATTCCAAAAAGCTCAAGAAGACCCCTGCGCGAGACTCCAGCTCCAAAAATTGGAGTTGTCTCGACGTCCGCAGATAAACCCTTTGAACAACATAGACCAAGAGCATGCAGGCCGGTAAATATACTGCGAGCCATTTTTCGGCCATGCAAAGGAGTATGATCTGCATGAGCAGCTTGAATATTTCTGGCAGCTTGTTATGTCAACAACTGTTTGAAGAGGGGACTCAGATACCCACGAGTTACAACTGTTTGAAGCGCTAATGGCAACTGTTTATCAATAAGCTGGATGTCTTGACTAAATCTTAAAACCATTAACAGTAATAGGACCATGCGAGCATACACCCTTACCGGTTTAGTATTGAGCCATTATCGGTTTTGGAGAAATACGACAGAGGCGCGCTATGTATGGTTAGCCATGTTTTGAATCACCGTGTTAGGGTCTTCAATGTAAGGCATAAAAACCTCAGACGTCCAATAAACGTTGATGTAACCGCGACCCTGACTGCGGAGCAAGTCGGATAAGAATGGACCTATTGGGCCTTTAATGACAATGCACAGCTGGACATCTCTTGGAAACTTACCACATCTGAGCGCTGGTCGAGATCCACGACAAGGTTGATAGCAAAACAAATCCGCAAACGTAGAACGCGGTGTTTCTGCCACCGAACTCTGTCCACAACCGAAGCCAGTACTGGGGAATACTGATGAAGAAAGCATACGATACGGTGCTGGTGATAATGAAGAAAATGTTCATGAAATCAATGGAACTCAAGTAGTAGCCTAAGCTCATATTAGTCGCATCCATAAACATGATAGGGAAATTACCATATAGAGCCGGATCTCCAGTCTGTCGTGCCAGGTCTATTTCAGTTTCTCCTTTTGTTCGCAATCTGGCGCTGAGTTCATCAGAGTTCGCCGACAGGACGGCCTTGTCACTGGTGTGATGTCCGGAAGAGAACTTTGCTATGGATGCAGCTTTCACCCTAATGTCCTGCCAACTCCCTTGATCTATGATTCTGTGGTTTCCCAGAACCACGATGTTATCCGCAGCTTGGAAATACTGGGCTATCCCGGAGTAAGCCAGTAAACTCAGGACTGAGCAAGAACGAACTTACACGAATTAGAAACGAGGACTACAGTGGTCTCCAGCCGTCGGGTTAGGCCTAACATCCCGAATAGCTTATCAAAGATGGTTTGCTCAATTTCGCCATCTAGCCCACTGAAGGTGTCATCCAGCAGAAGTATGTCGCATTTTGCAAACAAAGCACGCGCGAGTGCCTGCAATTATTAGCTCGACTCAGACCGGCAATTCTGAAACTTACTACACGCTGCTTCTGTCCTCCAGATAGATTGAGCCCCCCGCTGCCAATTCGTGTTAGATCTCCATGGGGAAGGGAGTCGAAGTCATGGGTAAGACAACACATATCTGTTACCTCATGATACCATTTTTCATTATCTGGGTCACTGGCGCTGTAAATTTCAGTAGCACCGCGAATAGCGTCTTTGATAGTACCATTAGGGAGCCACGGTTTCTGAGCACAATATGCTATCTGTCGTGTTGATAGACTTATTGTCCCTCGGACAGGGAGGACTTCTCTAAGAATGGCGCGCAGCAGAGTCGATTTGCCGCTGCCAGTAGGGCCCGATATTATGGCAAGTGATCCAGCAGCTACTTCAATGTCGATATGCTCCAAGACAAGCTGTTTATAGCTAATCCTCAATTGTTGTATTTGAATAGCGGTAGAACCTTTCGGTAATGTTCCGCGATCAGTTTGTAAAGATTCCCGGAGCAAAAACGCTTGAATTTTTTCAAACCCGGAAAATGCTGTCACTGCGCGCGGCACAATAGTCATGGCCATATTTGCAGGATGTGTAACCATGCTCAAGATGGCCATGGTAGTGAAGGCAGTTTCTGTCTCCAGGTTGCCGCCAAGAGCAACTGATATCACAGCATAGACGGCCAGCGTGATAGCTGGAGAGAATATTCCAAGGGCATTGGCTATATGCACGTCAACTTATGCATCACTCTTAACCTCGTTGGGAGCTCGTACATACCAGAGGCGTTATAGTACACCTAAGTTTCGACGCTGCCAGCAGGTCAGCTTCCCGAAGGTCTTGAATGCGACGAGTGAAATTGTGTTGAAGTCCAAGTATCTTGACGACTTGCATTGCGCTTAGCATAGAGCTTATAGCAGCTATGCGTTTTTGGGTTGCGTTGCCCCAAGCCTTTTGGCGAGGCTGTAAATGCTGTGCAACAAATCGACTCATGTGTGAACATACTACACATCTCAGCATCATGGCAAAAAGTTGCGGAATACACTTACAGTAAATCAGTAACAATGGAAGCGGCCAGATCCGGCCAACTTGACTAGCTAGAAGCCTAATACCAATCAACTCCTCAATAACTTGGGCCCAAGTTTCGTGGATCATTTCCGCGATCCCCTTGTGACTCTCTGTATCATTACTCGAGTGTGGTTGCTTCGCCATTGTCATAAGCAATGCTAGGTGACTTCATAATCTTGTCATGAATAAGCCCTACGAGGGCACTCCTAGTCATAAGCTTCAGTCTGTTTATACGATGTTGGTACATAGCGTTAGATAGCTGAAGTTGAACGTTAGCACCCAGCTAGAGAGAGCGAGAACGGACCTTACAGCAAGGCAAACATAGATGAAGATGGCTGATAACACAAGCCAGAACCTATGGTTGCTTTCTATGCCGGCAGGGTATTCCACAACGTATCTGATACACTCTTTGATCAGGATAGGCTGAGAATAGCGAAACCTGATTAAGAATAGTCGAGGTATAACAGCAGCGAGGAATGGTCTCCCCAGGCATTTTATTAAAGTGATAGGTAAACTCTTGGTTCCAGGCTTGGCTAGTCTCGTGAGAAGTAAGAAGATCAGGTTGAGAATCCTTACTTACCTCGCTGAGACCACTCTTGCAGTATTGCCTTTCTTGTGGACTCTGGCTTCATGTCCTGACTTAGGGGCGGCAAATCTTGACTGACGAGGATTTTCCGGTGCCCTCGAAGAAGGATTGGATTAATCCATGTGAAAAAGAGGCTACTTAATACACCGTGGAGTTCCTCGGGAGACTGATGCTTGTTGACCTCGCCGAATGCTGGGCCTCCATTGGTGCAACATTCAAGTATCAGAAGCGCCGAGTGCATGCAGCAACGAAGCAGTATTGGACGCGATGTATCCGCATCTCCAGCGATCTTCGAAGCCATAGCTACGCCGACGGCATCGCACAGTATCGATACGAGAAGATATAGTGTAGCGAGATCTGAGGCTCTATGGGACTGCTCGTGCTCCTGGACCAAAAGAACGCTTAGGCCCAAGGCAGCAGGTATAGAAGCAATCAGTGAGGCCAAAAACAACGCCTTGTGCTGCACATCCAAGCTTGAGAATTTTATGTAATACAAGGATAATATGACCGAGAGCAATACCCCAAGACCCTATGGCAGTTATTGTTATGAGATGTAGAACACGGAATCTTGGAGAAGTACTGACGGCCTTGAAGAGTCCTTGTCAGCTTGGGGTGCTGCTGATGCTCGAGTTACGAAGCTCCCCGAGTCCGGCAGGGAGGATTAACAGAAATATCGCGGTAAAGACTGTAGATACAGTAAGCAACACCTCTGTTGGCTCTGGAGCCATTGTGGCTGCGTCAGAGGTTTTGGTGGAGATTAGTAACGGCGAGCGAAGCTCCTCTCAACAATTTATAGGATTAAGGTATCTCTAAGGGTGAGATGGCTGACATTCAAAGGAACGAAACAAGCGGTCAAAAGCCTGTCATAGCGGACGAGATACCCGCTAGAACTTGTTCAAGGTGGGCCTCACATGTCCCTGTTGGAATGCAGAACACTAGTCGAAGGACCAATCGACGTCCCATGTCTTTCTGGCTTAGCGTTTGGAAATTCTGAGTCCCCATGTTGGGAGTTGTAAGCAGGCTACTGGGATCCGACATAAAATACAGGGGTTTTTGTCTTTGATTGGCCGCCTCTGGCTAGATATGCTAGTGGGTGATAAGGGATTCATTCTTATGAAGCGCATAGTAAGGCCGACTGTGAGGCTTACAGTAATCATAATTCCTGGCGCTAGGGTAGTCCCTGGGATGACCAGCTATATAAAGGTCGGTCTTTTGTATCTGGAAACTTGAATTAAGAAATATTTGCTACTGCAACTGTTGCGTCTCACTTCTCAAGAGTCGTGTATCCAGCTGGTGACTACTTCCCGGATAAGCCTTCACAGGAAATTGGCTAACGTTGACGCAACTAAAGCCAACGATGAGCACATGGATCTAATGTGCATGACTCGAAGCAGACTTTAGAACTCAAATGCCTATTGGAAGCCCCTGACGCGGAGTCAAGAGGTCAGTCATCCGGATTGCCCATCAAATACCGACTGATCGCCTTCTGTAGAGGTCCAAAAAGAAGTGACTGGTGAAAACCACCTTACTTTTCGTGAGGATTATTTTGGGCCAAATCTGGTAGTACACCTCCAGAAAGGTTCTTGCTGTTAATCTCACTGTTCAAATCCCGGCTTGATATATTAGTGCGTCATTTCTTAGTGGGGATTCTAGATCATATGAAGCGTGGGATATTATTCTATCTTGGTTGGATGAGACCAGAATATATAGATCCTTTGCTTGATATATTTTTACTTCGCAAACTTTGATTCCGGGATTTGATTAGGTTTGCGGGGAATAAGCATAAAAAAGATAGAAATGAGTGGCGCTGCCCGGAATCGAACCGGGGCTGGCACGGCCACAACGTGACGTCCTACCACTAGACCACAGCACCTGACTTTGATTTTACACATCGTCTTACACTACAAAAGCAATCCCCGATTCGATCCTCCTCAGCCCTTCAAAATGAGGCCACTACTCCGTACGTTCCACGCATTTTTGTCCGGTGGAAAGTTGGTGTTTCATTGACGAGGTAGTCACAGTAGTGGTTGCCTATGTTGGACGAAGCCCTAATTATCTCCATAACACGGTGTCAATGTCGGCTAAAACACACTACGAGGCTATTCGCCACATATATATATTAAGAATTTAGAGTACAGTGATTCTACCGCCTCGTAGCGTTAATCCGCATACGGAGCACAAAGAGTCAATCTATCCAATTAATAATATTACTTCATCTTGTATGATAGACAAGTGGGACCGATCATCGCTCCTCTCTATGTTGAATTCCTTGCATTGGATTACCAGAACGTGGGCCCGTACAAGAACACCAGCCATGACATTCTGCATTGACCACCTGACAACATAGGACGCCGTGCCGCTTTTGAAGGGTAGTGTCTTAGTCGAAGTCTGGCCTATAGGTTAGAACTCTTAAGTGATCCTCCTCGGCGAAGAACACGATGCCAGATTCGATTTTCCCGTAGAATACGGCGACGGAGCAGGTCAGCGGTCAAACCCGCAGTAGCCTCCGCATTAGTAGAGGATATGGCTACGCCTCCTCCACTCGCTCCTGGTCTGCGACTCCAGTCTCACTAGTAGTGGAAGTTGTTCCAGCGACGGCGGAGGCCAACTCGACAGGATTGGCCTCAAGACCGCAGGCGGTGCCAGCCTTGGACACCGAATCAACGTAGTATTGCCAAACCTCGTATTTTAGGGCGCAATCCATGCAAAGGTTCAGCTCAGTTTTGAATGTGTCAGAAGCGCAGTGGCCATCCCTGCGGCTGGCAACAATAACACCGCCTAGAGATACCACTATATGAGCGCACTGAAGCAGGGACCCGATCATAGAGTCACGAACCCCAATTGGCATGGCAGTCATACTCCTGAGTGCCCGAGTCCTGGCATCGGAGCAAAGGGAGAGATTTTGGATAGTAGAACGTCTCAGCACCGATCCCAATTGAGAGAATCCTCCCAATAACGACAAGATGCAGCAGTAAGTCAATAACAATATACCACTGATGGCAAGACTCAAATACCAGTCGGTCAGTAGAGGCTGCCATTCATCTCGTATAGAAATAAGAACCTCCTTAAGTACGCCATCGCTCTTCAGCCTGCCACAGGTCATTACGATACAGGAGGTGGTCCGATTTTCGGCAAACTTTCGAAATCATACCAATCTAGAACCACCGGTCATGTCTCACATCGCTGAACCATCTAGATTCTCGCCAATTTCGAGCAGAATGATAAATTAATCGTGGATACCTTGTGTTCGACTAGTCCCTTCCCGGTAGTGGGCGGGAGCACGAAGATCGATCGTCACTGATGCCCCACTGACTATCTTATCTCATCGATTGATCTTATCTGATCCGAACCCTGGTTTGCCATAAGCCACTCTATTACGGCACCGTCCCTTGGCACGCAAATGAATAGCGATCCTGACAGCATTTGCCTTGATGAGAAGTCAATAATCACACTCCATAATTGCAATCAAGGCATCAGGGTTTAAGTGGAGTTTACACCGATTTCAGAATCGTGCCTTTCACTGAACCGAAGGCGTTGTTAGTTACGCCCTTGCCTGTACTATAGGTTTAAGAATCGAACGTGAATTGGCGTCCAGAATCTATAGCATCCGTGATACATAATTTGGGATAGTTCCGAGGACAGCGTGATATTCTGTTTTCTTTACTCTTCAAAACGTCGCCTTGAGCAACAGATTCTTAAGTCTTCTCTCTATGCAGCAATAGTGCTCGGGCATGGGCGATGAGCAAGCCGAGGACATGGGGCCCGTCAACCTTCTTGGCATACTGGATAGGCATTGAAGCGCTGCGTACGATAACACTGCACTGTGCAGCCCCTCAATAGGACCAGCGACTCGAACTGCTTATCCTCTTAGCGAGTCATTTGCCTGATATGAATCCTTCGCCACTGACATGTCCTGCCAACTCAATGTCAGTTAGTACTTTTCGCCAAAGACGAGTCATGGAATGTATAGGTTGCGGTCTTTCATAAAAATAGTATGCTGCCCTCTGAACTGTACAAGATGTCCGTTTAACGACAAACATTGATGACTTCGAGTCCTTTATATTTGCCATGCGTATCCCCGCTATCGAGGTCGGACATGAATACTACCCAGTCCCTACTGTGTCCGCTAACGTCGAAGCAGGGTCGAACGCAACCGTCCGGATCATATATACAGCCGATGAACACGGAGCCACCGAAGACGAGACATTCTACGCTTGTCCTAATATCACCTATACGCCGACGAGGCGATTCACCGATCAGGTGCCGAGCTTCAATATGGCGGCTACAAGTTCACCGCAGTCCCGACAACCGCTTCGGCGGGTTCAATCGCTACAACGGGAGCTGCTACTGGCTCGATGGCCACCGCAAGAGATGCGAAAAGGCCTATCTCTTGTCTATCTGGTGGTGCCATCGCCGGCATGGTGGTTGGTTCGGTTGCTGCGGTAGCAACTGGGGTCATCCTGCTGATTGGATACAGGAGACTGCTACAGAAGTACAGGTTGATGCGTTAAAAGGCGTCGGCCCGTAACGCTAACTAGGATGGGAATAATACATTTCCTAGAGGTGATGATGATGCCCAGGATTGCTACCGGTTTTGTGAGCCTAAACGATTGTCATCGCTTGAACAGGAGACTATTATCCGGGTCACCAGCCTTTGAGTGACTGGCTAAATTAATATCAATACAATTATGAACTTTATACCCTAGCTCTTATAATAACTTTTGAGAGTGCCTAGAACCCTCAGGTGTTGTACACAGTGCCATCTCATCTTCACCGCGCCTTTTCTGGACCGAAGAACCGAATCAATGAGGTGTAATAGATCAATCAATATTCGCAAAGGCGCTCAGTGCGATCGATTCTAAGGTAAAACGCGCGTGTTAGCTATACTAATTATACGGTAGAAGCTCATAAAGTCAAGACTCACCGGACACATAGTTGTAACGGAGCTCTTGTGCTTCGTAATGCGCATCAACATTGTCCACTCCCAGGCAGTCATGGGAGGATGTTGGCAAAATAGGTTCGTCGGCTGTGCCTGAACGAAGAATAGTTTGTTAGAGGCAAAGATGGATGACTCTTTGTGATGTAGGTCTTGGTGAGATATACGACTTCTTTTCTTTCTCAAGCACTGCAGTAGGGCTTTGCCTCCTATCAGAAAACCAGGAATAGCCAAAATGGCCGTCACGACACTCACGGCGAATGAGGTGATTGCTGATTGATCCGTCATGATAGATGTTAAGGAGATGGGGATGAGTGTGATATTTTTTGTCGATAGCAGAGGGGTGTGAAAATCTTTTCCTGTGAAGAGAGGGTGGTGCATTTTATATGTCCATACACTGTAGAGACACTCGCAGACGCAGCATACTCTGCCATCATGGCATCTTTTTCCACAGCGAATACCAGTCGTTCCACACCCAAGCATTGCGCAAGCTGCATACTTACTAGACAATTTTTCGCTTAATGCATTTGGCGGTGCAATCGGGCTAGTTACACTCTAGTCTGGCTAGAATATAGTAGCGCTCAACGGAATAATCCGCTGAGATATTTCTGATACATCGCATGGCAGTTGCACGGAACAAGGAGTACTGGCTCTGCTTCGAAGAAATTGGGCTTGTGCAATGACCTCTTGCGAAGCTGATTGCAAGCCCAGGCTCCGCGTCCACATAACCCAAATCAGGAACAGCCCAATGAGTTGCTCTATTTTAGGCTAGTGTTATAGCAACAGGATTTTCCTGAGAAACTCGACGGGCCTTAGTTTCATGCAAAGCATATCAGAAATTTCCTTTCGATTCAGTGCCCAGCTCCAAATACGAGTCTTTGCTCGCTTTTACGGTGTTTATTCGTAAGTTCCCTCTATTTTGTCTAACTTCAGGTTTTCTAGGATGATAACCCTGCTGGATAGCACCAATGCTTACTAAATGTTTATAATTCCTGAGCTCGCATCTATTTGATGAGTTGGTGAAGGGGGGCATAGGATTGCGTAAAATCTGTTCGTGACTACTGCGATAGCCCTGACTCTTAGCTACCATGTCACTATCTCGAAACTCAGATACACTCTCTGGAGTCTGGACCACTTCTCCAGGCTGCAGCCAGCTTGACAATTCATGATTGGCTAGCAGGTCGACGAGGCTGAAATGCCGGCGTCCCAAAACGTTGGCGACGAACGTGGCAGATGTCCTCAGAATATCCGCGTACTGTACCTAGTACTATTTCGTAAATGGCGCCTACCAGACCCTTGGGATGATGCGTGCGGGTGGCTTGATCAATGCAGATCGCTATGAATGAATGAGCCTTGATGAGACTTGATGAGAAGATGGGGATGGTTGCAAATGGACAAACAAGCAAAGGGCAAAAAAATATGCTTTACATCGGGTCAGGTACGTACCCTAGCATACTGTATGAAGCCCAAAAAGGAAGTTGTCGTCGTAGCTGAAGGCCGTCTGCTCTACTACTTCAACCTGTCTACTCTGGGTATTTCTATGATCTACACTTCTTAGTTTCAGCTTTATCGCTGTACTCCTCTCGATACCCTCTCGGGTGTTCTTTCCTAGTGATATGTCGATCATTATTGCTTTAAAGGAACATCGTCCCGTTCCGAATCCTGTAATTTCCTTAACCCTATCTACCGATTGGAAATCGTCGGATCTTTAACTCGGAAAAAAAAAAAAAAAAAATTAGTCTTTCGAGCTTCAGGGTTCTGTCACTAGAACAAAAATACCGTCGATTGGCTTTGATAAACTGCTACGTCGCACCCAGCAACGTCCTACGCCTTCATGAAATCCGTCGGTGAGGCAGATAGCTTTGGTCAGAAATTATCCCAGACCCTTACCGTTGTTCTGGTGTTTTTGCTCTAGACTCAGGGTTCTCGTTCGATAGCTGCAAAGTCATCTTAGATAAATAGAATTTAATATATGAGCTTGCCTGCTTTGCCAAAGCTGATATAGTGAAACTCGGAGTCTAGTCAAAGGTTAATTTACGGCACAGTCCTCGCGCGAACAAAGGTACTGACCCACGGAAAGAAAAAAAAAAGGGGGGGGCGCTCTGCTATGCTCCAGCCTCAGCCCCTGACAAGAATACCGTGAATAAATGCTAGGGAGATGAGGCTCTCAAGGCTCTATCAGCCCTTCACCGCTTGTTTAGAATGATTAGGGGTCAATACTCCAGGTTTCAGCTGAGACATCCGAGCAATCCTGCAAGCTACCAGCATTCGGCCTAGCCTTCAATTGGTCGACAACACCTTCAGCATACGTCTTGGGCGGTTGTGGAAAATTTGAAAATTTTCCTGTTCGTGGCACGAGAACTACTGATCGTCGTCTTTAATTTCCACAATGTCCTTAGCGATTAATAGCGTCTTTCCCCATACTTTGCTACTGTTGGGTAAGCGAATCCAGACCCGTCAACGGAGTGGTAGACTGGTAGCCCTCTAGATAGCCTAGCTCTTGTCAGTCATTGACGATCCCTAAAGCCGAAATTGAAGGACACTTGCAGTTAGACCTAATTCTTCCCGACCAACCACAATGCACATCAAATTTCTAACTCTGGTGGTGAAGGATTTCATTCATCACCTGAAAGAGCGGCAGATTTCCTCAAGCTCAATGCAGAGGGCTATTTCCAATCATTCAGCATTGGAACTCGTAGTAACCACACCTCATTTCATTTTGAAGACCCCTAAGCAGGTTGTGATTCCTGTTCTTCAGCCTTCCCAGAAGTAGATCCATTAGTAATCAGTAGTCTCTTGCTATCTGAAATTAGAATCAGAGTATACATAAGATTGAGTTTATTACGTACTAAATAGCAGGGGTTTGCTTCAGTCTACAAGAAGGGGCTTTGAACCTCATTGCTAGCTATATTGTAACTGAGCTCAAATGTCTCGCTTGAGCTACTATATCTAATCAGGTCAAACCCGTCCAATTTAAGTGTGCTTGAAAACAATTCGGCAATGACGTCTTTAACTAGGTAAATAGTGAAAGAATGTCTGTATGTAAAAGTCCAAAATTCATTACAGAATATGAATTCATTCTTCAAGGTCAAATGGTTATTATTTAGCTGAACTTCACCAAAGGGAGACCATAGTCGTCATTATATTCTCCGTGCTCCATATTTATAGTTGTGGGGTTAAGCTGGCCCACTTTCCATTACCCAAAACCTTAGTAAAGGTGAGGTCAACTCTAAGTTCTCTAACCTGCCAACAAGCAAAGTTGCATGACCTAGATTCCTATAAAGGAAGGATGGTTGATATTGGGGGGCATATTAATAATCTACAGAAGTCAGGCATTGTTCCAGCCTGGCATTGCATGTTTGATGTAGTCACGATACTTGCAAAGGAAGTTATAGCATAAATGGCCACTATCTGGCTTATCAAGTTATCATAGGCCAAGGCTGTAGAGATGTCTCCCAGAAGAAACAATGTAAACACAAGCTGTATGCAGTAATGTTGATAGTCAATCTCCATCTCATGGCAGATCATGGAAAATTAATCAAACTACATGCGCAGTATAGAAGACTTAGATAGCACAACCTCTTTTATATACAGCTGTTCACCTTTAAGCCCTAAACCATTGTCTGTCTCCTGTCACTATCCCAGGCTCGTATTTCATCTGAACCAAGTTCGGTGCGTTTAAATCTCTGTATAGTCATTCTCACCCGTCCTATAAAAGATGAAAAAAAGAGAAAGCAGTTGACATAAAAAGGAATAAGAATATCCTGTGTTTTCCTGTTCTGCAGCAGACCTGCATAGGTAGGTATGCTTGGTCCACTGGCGCCCGCCCAGTTCAACTAGAATGACATTCTGACTATTCAAAATTCTTCGTCATTACTGCAAAGTTGAAGTGATCAGCTCATCCATGGTTTGAACCAGCGCCTCTCGGCGTTTTTGGTTCGGGACGGATGTGGCCTAGCTCTCTACCTTCCACCTCTTCACGCCCTCTGAGATTGGCATCAATCTGCTCACCAAGAACCTCACAGCAAATGGACCACACCATAGATCAACATAAAATAACAAATTCTCAAAGCCAGGCTTCACTCATGAGCGCGGCAAGGTAGTGAAAGCAACACGACATGTACGTGGGTCTGCCAGGACGGCAGCTTGCATGAATGGACAATGGCTCTCAACTGGCGGGCGTTTGATCGGTTGTATTTTACCATTGCCGCAGGTCTAGGTTTTTGATAATCCGCCGATGTCTCAATTATCATTTCATTCACAGAACCAGATTTTCAAAGTCCACGTGCAAATACTGATGGTGCAGAGACCACATAATGTTGGCGTCTGGTCTTTGGAGCGGCGACAGTAAGGCGAGGAGCATCGCTGGCCCTGAGCAGCCGCCATAACCTCTGCTTACTTTTGCACTCGGACTTTGAGGAGTTATCGGTTTTAATGAAGCAAATGTATCTGCGTATGTCCTACCTTTTTGAAGCTGCCGAGGAAGACTTCCGCTGGTTGTCCGTAGGCTCGTAGCTCAGTGGGCGCACGCTTAACCGGTTTCGGAAAAGCCAAACCTTAATGCTGACTGCCAAGCCTTTGGCGGGTGGATTAGATGACATAGATCTACTCGAGGTCGATATGTAGCTGCCGTCGCTTTCATACTTAACAGGAGCAGGTCCTCCTCTGGAGGGAACGACGGAATATAACTCAGTGTCTCATTCTGATCTTGTGGTTGAGCATGGGTGCCCTAATATCTTCCCAAACACCTCCTTTGACTGAGAGAAATCTCGGAGATCAAACCGGCAAGGTGAGCGTCGTTCTGGTATCCTCCAATGACCTACTCCTGTTTTAAAACTAATTGCGCGAAAAAAGGTCTTCATAGTGACTGGTGCGACGTCGGGATACGGGCTTCGCTTAGTCAGAATTCTCTACCAGCGCAATGGCAAGGTGTATCTTGCCGCTCGCAACGCTAGCAAGGCGCAACAGGTGATTGAGGACATGAAGAGAGATTTTCCTGAATCGCGAGGCCAACTCCATTTCTTGCATCTCGAGCTCAGTGATCTCTCAACTGTCAAAGGATCCGCTGAAGAATTTCTCAGCAAGGAATCCCAGCTCCATGTTCTTTGGAACAACGCCGGCGTCATGATTCCCCCTCAAGGCTCCAAAACCCAACAAGGCTACGAGCTGCAGCTGGGAACGAACAATCTCGGCCCATTTCTGTTAACCAAGTTGCTCTATCCAGCTCTTGCCAAAACAGCAGCAGTCTCGCCAGCGAACACGGTTCGAGTTGTCTGGGTCTCGTCCTCTGCCGTCTCCATTGCTCCGAAGCCTGCAGTTGACTTCTCCAACATGGATTATCGCCGTGAGGAAGGAGCCTGGACAAAATACGCAAGGAGTAAAGCGGGTAATGTCCTTCAGGCTGCAGAGCTCGCAAGGCGCTCGAGGAAGGATGGGGTCGTGAGTGTGGTGAGTTTTCTGACCGAAAAAAAGTTTGTTAGAGCTACCCTGCTCAAATGTATATCAGGCCCTTGATCCCGGAGTTGCCGCCACAGAGTTGCAGAGAACAATGCCTGGGTGGATGTCAATGCTTATAGTAAGTGCTGGTCCCGTTACTTTTGCATTTGGACATATCTGACCCGTCTGCAGACGCTCCTGGGACAGAAGCCTGAGATCGGTGCTTACACACAGCTTTGGGCGGGGCTTCAATTCGATCTTGACTGCCACAAGGCTGACACATGGAGTAAGTCCCGAGTCATCCATGTCCAACTGGTGGTGGAGTTTCTAACATGTCTCCAAGTTGTTCCTCCCGGAAAGTTGGCGCCTGGCCGCAAAGACCTTTTCGACGCTGATCTAGGTCGGAAATATTGGGAATGGAATGAAGAACAGATCTGTCCATATTTATAGATCAGTTTTCTGGCGTTTTCCATCCTAGGGAATAGTTCTGAAGAATACTTATCCATATTAATATACGTGCGTGTCATGGCTTCATGAGTGCAGATAGTCAATCAGAGAAGACCCCGCAGCTTGACTTGGTGAGCAGAACAACTTACGATCATTCCTAACTAGGAAGCGATGTGAAGCGGTTGATTGGAAAATGCTGAAGGGAGTGCTTACCATAAGCGCTGTCCCTCCCAGAATCTCAGTTGTGTGACCCCCACCACAAGCTAGTCCTGTACATTGGATCCTCAGGCCCTTCAAGTAGGAAAGCCCATTTCCGTAGAAACCAGGGGGAAGCTTTCCAGCTATGTGAGTCCCAGGCAGCACCCTCGCCACGACCATGTAATGATGTTCTTGAATAAGCCGCTGGGCATTGTAGGCCGCCATTCATCAAATCAAAACATAGCTCATCCTCAATAAATTGCACGCGATTGGAAGCTATTGCTGTCAAAGCTCTCTTGCGGAAGGATGGAAATGGAATTAAATCCAAATAGGGATGATGGGGAATCGTCATTTGCTCCGAAATCGGTCGCAGGTCAGGTTTCAAGTTCTCAAGATTGGGCGCTTTCGACCCTACAGAGGTACTATCCATAGATTAGTAGCTTTTTCTTAAAAGCACTGGTGCAACATGCACCAATCAACACTCTGCTAAGCGCATACCTGGCTACAAAGGGTGATACCGATTCGTCATGGACGAGGTCGCGGAAAGAGAGCCCTAATTGCCGGCCATTCTCTAGAAACGCTGATACGTGAGATACTTGTGGTAATGTTACCACTCCAGGGATGCTGGCCGATAGTCCAACACAGAGCGTTGTTTGATCAAGCACGGAATCAACAAGCCCCCTCTCAAAACGCCAATTTGAAGGTCCGCTTAAATGGGAGAGAATGAGAGCACCAGCACGGAAGACAGATTTGATACAGACATCCGCATGTCGGTATGACCCAACAACTTTGTGTAGCCAACAAAAAAAGCAAGTTTGAAGTGACTCTTCATAGAGCCGGTCATCCATGGAAAGGCCCATTGAAATGAGACCGTATTTCACAACTGCCGCGAATCCAAGGCGCTCTGTTTCGATGATTTTGCAAGCGTTTTCATAGCTCTGCAGAGAGGCAAAACAATCTATAAACTCTGAGTATGCCATTTGAGCATCCTGTGTTTCATTTATGCGGTTACAGCAGCAAAGCCTTCTGGGAAGCGTTAGCCGAACACCCCTTAGATTTTCCAAATTCAAGATGCCACCTTGTGAGGGTAGTTTGACTCGAGGCTGGAGAAGTGCTAGACGAGTCAAGCAAAGTGACGCCGCTCTCTTCCGGAGCGTTCGGTCGCCTTGTCTTCTGTCGCTGACCTTATTGGGCGTTTTGAGTCGGCGAAAGGTTGAGTACATTTAGGGCGGTGCAAACTTACGACTTCGTCGCTTGGCAAGCCTATTCTGCTCCCGTCTGCGATCCCGAATCCATTCCTTGATGCTGCCATCGGGCATTGTTATCAACTTAGAACAACTGGTAGGAAAAAATAGCCGAGAGAAGGATAATGCGAGGAATGACTGAGAGAAGAAAGCCAGAACTGTTGATATAATTTACCGCTTACCCATTTGGCTAGATCGTATGACCTTATATAGATCGTCTCGAGCGAGAGGATATCCCGCCGGAGATACAGATCTTGATTCTTGGGGCGCGTCTTCTCGGAGATAATGCGGGGATAAACTAGAGACCTATTGGCACTGAGATCGGCCTCCATCAAATCAGAAAACGAGTGATGAAATAGAAGATCACAGTGCAGAAGTTCAAGTTAAGTTGGCCCAAAGAGATACGAAGCTACTCCTTAGAAAGCACCTACTACAGCCACAATCAAGTAGAACTCCGAACTACCCTACTCTCCGAGTAATCCATCATACATGATACCTAGTCTTTCGGGCTCCTTGGTTATGTCATTGGAACAAAATATAAAAAAGTTGCTGGACTTTATAACCTTGATTTCACTTAATAAGGCGCGATATCACACCAAACAGGTTCTAGGATAACCACTGCATCCAGTGAATGGAGCAATCGCCTATTTGAGATGCTGCTGGATCCATAAGATAAGTGTCATGATATAGATGAGATTTAAGGTAAGTGACAGATCAATTAGCGCTGTCGTATAGCAGAATAACGAAGAGAGCCGTATAGATCCTTCCTCAAGACGCAAGTCCTAAATCACCGTTTAGGAAGAAGCATGTGTAAAGTCATTATATTAACGCAAAGATGGCTTCTGAAAATACAATTTCTCCCATAGTATTGGTAAACTGAATCCCATGATCTTGGAATCCAACGGGTCCGTTAAAAGAAGAATAAACATTAAGAATACCAGAACCTAACTTAGCCGGATCCTATTCATGATAATCATCTCATGCCGAATTCCACACCTGGCGCATAGCATCCAGAAAGTCTCCTGGGGCAATGGCTCCTCTCCATTGGTTGCCGATATCATGGCCGAGCTTCTGCTTCAGCCGCGCCTTGACCGCGGCAAAATGAGGCGGGTTCCAATGCAGGTGAACAACCCAGTAGATCAACCGCTTGATATCCACTTTTCCAACCCCAGTAGGCAAACACTTGAGGATCTTCTCCGCGTCATGACCAACAGGATCCTTCGCCTTAGACAGCATCGACAGCAACGCATCTTCCAGATGTCCCGAGAACTCAGCCTTGATCACCTTTTCCAGGCTAGTATGATACTTTGTCTCAAAGGCCTGCGCGATCGCAACAAGTTTCGCATCCGACGCAGCCATAAAAACGGCAAAGACCCCAGTCTCATCCGTCCCCTTGCGCGCCTGCGTCGCCTGGTGGATCTCACGCACATCGGCGTCAACAGAATGCGCATCGAAAAATGTCCCCGGCTCGGGCCTCGTGCCGTTCAGCAACATGACAAAGAATTGCTCCGTCTTTCCGGACAAATCGCTCTTGATATCCTCGACCAGCGACTTCTGGTACTTGCCGACATACGCGTACTTGATCGCACGCAGGTCGGCATTCGACCGACCGACCAGCACATCCGTGAGGATGTCTTCGTTCGTTCCGATCCCTGACAACGCATCGCGCACGGCAGCGACGTCCTGCTCGAGCGGACCTCTGGCTAAGGAGAGGAGAACATCTTCCAGGTCGCCTGACAGTTCGGACTTGAGGTCTTTTTCGAGATTGCGGCCGATGCGATCGGTGTAGGTGTGTCTGATGAGTGCCATTTGCAGGGGGTCGGGCTTGGTCAGGATATTGATGAGGGCCTTTTCATCCGTGCCGAAGCCTTTCATCGCTTTACGGAGAGCTTCGGCTTCGCGGGTTGCGTCGCCGGGGGCGCGTTGGTTGGGATCGTAGCCTAGGGACGGTGGGGTGGGCATTGGTTGAGGAGCTTGATGGGCTGGATAGCCGGGTTGGCCTTGCGGCGGGTAACCTCCTTGGGGAGGATATTGGCCTTGGCCTGGTGGGGGGTATTGGCCATGTGGAGGATATTGGCCCTGGGGAGGATATTGACCCTGCGGAGGGTATTGACCCTGTGGAGGGAATTGATTCGGAGGATATGCCCCCTGAGGCGGATACTGCTGCGGTGGTGGATGACCTCCTTGAGGATATTGTTGCGGTGGTTGGCCCGGCCATTGTTGTTGCGGCGGAGGGGCACCATATGGCTGTTGTTGGTACTGACGAGGGGGAGGATATTGCTGCGGGGGAGCTCCTTGGGGCGGATATCCACCAGGCTGTTGTGATGGATAATAGGGGGCCTGTTGCTGCTGTTGATGCGAGCCAGGCTGAGCATACCCAGCACTGTTGTAGGGCGGTTGCGGGGGTCCGCCGTAGGTATTCTGGGGGTGCGACATGACAGAAACGTGAAATGGAAAAAGCAATGACAACAGAGACTTATCAAAGGGAGCGCGTCAGCCTTATATCCTCAGCACGGGGTTTTTTAGACTTGTGTAGCCTGGGTCAACACAGCCACAATCAGTTGTAAGATTTACCCCTCTATTTCTCCCACTGATTGGCACCATCCCAAGCCAAATTACGAAATGCACAGCCACTGGACGGACTTGAAATGTAACGAACCAATAGTGATGAGGGTCGAGACTCGGCTCATCCAATAGAGCACTCGACAAGCCACAGTGCACCGCCATTCTGCCAAGCTTAATTTCCCCATCACCCACTGGACCCCTCCCTCTGCCTTTGACACGTGCATGATAGATTAGAAAACCCTGGTGATTTGGGTTTTCCTTTTGGCTTTCTGGTCTAGAAAAAAAGGATTATGTAACCCTGTATAACATAACAATATTCGACCACTGAACCAGATTCTCAGTATGAGACCTTTTTAGGTTGGTACGGCTCCTCCAGGTAAGCCACTTTTAGTCAAACGGAAGCGAACTGCTCCCACAACTTGGTCAATCTGTTCTCTGCGTCCCGGCCCTGTAATCAGATAGACCTTTCTTCAAGCACCAGGACAGAGCTACTGGTGCCATTGGAACTCTTATCTTTTCTGCGACATCAGCCACACGGTGGACCATCTCTTCGTCGGTTGGATTATCCTCTTGGCCATGCACGAGGCGTTCGAGGGTCCTATCTGTCTACTATCGCTTTGAGCCTCGATCGTCCCGTTTGTGCGAAAGAATACCACACGCGAGAGCCGAGGGGATTCCACGGCAAAAGACCGATACCCAGATCCCAACTAACAGGATGTTCTTCCTTTCTCTGGGTAGAACAGATTATAGTAATTCTGCATCGGGATGAATTTCGGCCACCCAAGCTGATCGACGAACTACTGAGGATTGTGGAACTCCCATGCAGCCATCCAGCTGGCTTCTAAGTAGTGTGCTTGCCCACTCTCCACAACGTCGTTCAATGCTCTCATGATTTCAACACGACACTGTCACAGACATCACGATTCAAGCGATGGATCTGCAACGCATCAATGTATGTCAAGGTGACCGTAGCCAAGGATAGTCCAATAACTCCCTTACCGACTCTCTCTCCTCTGGCTTCCATTTGAGCATCTTGCGCAGGAATTGGAGGAAAAGCTGCTGCGGTTCACCCTCCAAATTCCCTTCCAGCTTCTCCAACGATATAGGAGGGATTTCAATGCTCCCCTTCCAATTCCCTATTTCATAATCAGCAAAAACCTCGCGATCAGGATAACGCGACCTTATACTGACAGGTCAACACGTATGTTGTAAGGCCTGCTCATCGCTTCCCCGCAGGTGCAGTCACATGATCTGAGTCCTACATTATTATTGCGAATAAATGCCTATCTGCACGTGGCTCAGCTTTGATCTCACCCAAGCAAGATTTCCCCACCTTGTTGATATGCCTGTTTTCCCTACCACCCTCAAGGATGGTTAACAACGACGGGCCGGTTCGGCTTACGCCGTCGATGATCCCTGACTCTCTCAACTTTGATATTAAAGACTCATCATTTTTTCGTAAATGGAGTGAGCTACCTTCACCACAAGATGTCCAAGCCCAAGCCAAATCTCAACACCTTGCGCGGGCCGGCCCGGATAGGGAAATCCACCCAACGGCTTTTCCTGATCCGAGACCACCCCCTGTAGTACTTGAAGACATGGACCTCTTTGTCAAGTGGGGCAAAGCAGTGAAGATTTCCGAGGCTAAGACGCTATTTGCTCTCCGCCGACTTCTCAACGGCCGTGTCCCTGTACCTGAGGTATACGGGTGGCGCACTGACGGAGACGTAAAATACATCTACATGGAATACATCCGAGGGCAGACACTGGAGCAAGCATGGGATAAATTGGAGCCCGATGATCTCGTTATGATCTGCCGCGAGCTACGAACAATATTTGACAACCTGCGTCGTCTTGAGCAGGACCCTTCAGATCCGTTCGTGGGTATGCATTCGCGCTCTACAAGCAAGATTCCTCTATGATCTAACCCGTCCCAATAGGAAATATTGCACGAGCTCCTCTTTATGATAGAGCTTTGGACTCAGATTACATACCAACAGAGGGACCATTCACGACAGCGCGAGAGTTCCATGATTGGTTCACATTTCTCCCCAGAAGACCAATGCCAGATCCATATTCGGTACCAATCGAGCCATATCGCTATGAGCTGCCAGACGACTGTGCCATCAAGTTTACCCACAGTGATCTCCATCGCAGTAACATTATTATCACTTCCCATCGGCCGTATCGTACACTGGCTATCGTTGATTGGGAGCAGTCAGGCTGGTTTCCTGCTTACTGGGAGGCTCGCAAGGCGCAATATTCTGTCTCGACGAAAGAAGAATGGTCCGCGAGGTATTTGCCGATGATTTTAGATCAGTACGATGCCACTTGGGGACCATGGGACTACTATACTACGTCCTTGGGCTGTTAGATTATATTCCATCAAGCGACATTCCACATTCATGATCAGCGGTTAGACTAGCATTTGCAACTTTGATTGGAGGCTATCAGCCCCATTCACACCTTTCCACCTCGCGTTCTATCTCGTCCACCGACTTATCACCGGGGATGAGGTGATGTATGGCTTACATCTGATGGTTCCTGTCCGGCAGCATCGCAGGCTCAATGTTCCCAGGCATGCGATGGAATTTGCGCTTGAGTCTTTTTCATATCCAAATCATCATCCACTTCCGTTAAACATCGGTGTACAAATGTCTCTATCTCGATTTGAAAGTTTTCCCAGACCAACAATCCTCTAACTTTTCCCGTCAGCTGTATCGTTTCGGGAAGGAGTCATAGCCGGTTATTGCTTTTCGTACATTCCACCAGCCGCAAAGTGCAGGTACGGTACCGTTTCATCCTCATCACTCTTAAGTGTTCTGCGCAAGGGTGCGCCAATCTGCTTCATCTGCATGGCGCGCGGCTAAACAAACCTATTAATGTATCGGCGCCTAAGCACAGTCAACAGCACACTCCTGACCACTGGAGCTATTTCACTCTAGCCTTTGGCTTTGGTCGAAAGCTGGGGAGGGTTTAGTGTCAACTCCGCGTTTAAATTTGGATCATCCAAGGCGAATAGATATTTTATCCTGGTGGTTGATTGCGACAAGCCTGGCCCCCTAGAAGGGAGTTTGGGCGTGTAATCTTGAATCTCTCAACTCATGTCTCCATCGGTCTGAGAAAGCAGTTTATATAAACTCTGAAGATTCAACCGTTGAAGCCATTTGGACAGCATTTTTGAATCATACTTCGTTTGCCCTCCAACACCTCAGGGTCCTCACCTGTGAACTTTCTATTTTGGGTCCCAGAGATAAAGACGATGCCTCGGACTGTTTACTTAGCCGTCCTTGGAAATGTTGCCAGGCCTGCCCACTTTGCTATTTTTATCCCCACTGGTAACGCGGGCCTAATCGGGAAACTTATCCATGTGACTGGTAATCCTGCCCAGGGGTTCTTCCTTCAATTCAAGCGCAACTACAACTTTGAAGAAACGAAACGCAAACACCAGATCATCCCACTTGCTCAAGTCGATGACCGGTACATTAAAGATACACCTGGCGATGAGTCCTTAGACACAACAGCCCGTGATTGGCTAGAGTCAGTCGCTACGGTTGTGCCGCCTCCTGGCCCCAGTCCCAATCCTTTTGACCCATCGGTAGGTCCTGTCCTCCTTACGGATAACAATCCCCTTTACGGATACTAATCGATGAAATAGGCTCGTAATTGCCAAGACTGGATGCAAGACTACGTCGAAAAACTGATTGAGGAAGGCTTTCTTCCAAGTAGCGCTGCCTTGGTCGTACAAAATGCCCCAAAGATGCTGCAGTGAAGTTTAGTGACTTGTGAATGCTTTGTTGGGTTTTTGGTTTGTTTTTTTCCCCTTTTCGTCTTTCTTTCTTTTTTTCTGTTTGACAAGTATCCTGTATATGATGCTTTATACGGTATAAGGGTTGAGGAGGCTTTCCTGGAAAGATCCACCGCTCATTATGTATTTGCCAGTTGTATGGATTTCAGTTCATTGTTCAACCTCCCTCTTCTAGTTACGGGGCTATAGGACTCCCCGGCGTATAGTAGGACATGATCCTAGATTGTAATACCGTCACCCCGCAAGATTGCAGGGACTAAGGGTACTCTATATTACAGTAGTATGGTGTTAATAAAATAGACTTAAACTGGTAAAGCAGAGATGATCTGAAGAAAGCTATATACCCTATAAATGATGTTAAAACAGGTGCAGTAAGAGATATATCATACAGTAAAGGTCACGGTCCATTTAGAATATTCTTGTCAAGAGGTTTGAAGAGATTGGAGACAGTAGGGGAGAGCTCGGTGCTTGTTGTGCCTGATGTGAAGGATGACGAAGGACCTGCTTAGGGGCTGATACCTACTTAGTTCTGCCTTTTAATTCTAGTTGTGTTCAAAGCTTGCCTGTATCAATGGATAAAAGCAATACGCATCGGGTAGTGTATGCATGCATCTTCAAGCAGTCGAAATGTGAAGTTGTGAAGCGAATCACTACAAGATTCAGGGCCCGTATACTCCAATCAGCCGCCAGGGGTTGATTTGCATCACGCAGTCTTCGAGTATCAATCTCAGCATTATGTCTCCAAATAGTAAAACGGTTCCACTAAAGCTCTCACAATGTGTTTCTGGCCTAATAGGTACATGGAGGAGATTGCGGATCATGGACATTATCTAGGAACACCAACTATTTGAGACAATCAAGCCTCAAGACAAGAGTCGGTAGGATAGTTGCAGCTGTCGCCGCTACCACCGGTAATGCTGACATTCTCAAAGACAAAGTTAGAGCAGCTGCCATCACCACAGAGAATGTAGTAGTCCTTGCCGTCGCTCATAGTGCCAGTGACATCGATGAAGGTGATGTTATCGATCTTGACTCCGTTGGTAGGCTCGCCGGTAGGACCGCCGTTCAGGTAATCCTGCTGGATATCGATACCGTAGTCGGTGATGTCGGAGACGGTGATGTTCTCGTAGCTGATGTTGTAGACTTCACCGGTTGTTCCGGAATTTGTCTTGATTCTGCATCCATTCTCGCTGTTGATGACCTGCGAGTTAAAGATGGTCACCCCGTCAACGGTGTTGTCGCTCTTGCCGCCGATGGAGCCGATGCTCAGCCCGTGGCCGCCGTAGCAGTACATGTTGTCCACGACGATGTCCGTGCCGCTTGTGACGGCGACGCAGTCATCCTGGTTGTGGACCCAGCTATTCTGCAGGGTGAGGTTGGTGCTGGACTTGATGTCGAAGCCGTCAGAGTTGTGAGCGGCCGCTTCGCCGTCGCTGGCGCTGTTGGGGGCGTCGCCGGCGGAATTGTTCAGCGTCAGGCCGGAGATGATCAGGTTCTCGGTGTTCTCGATGTCGAAGCAGTAGACAGGCCAGTTCTGGATGTAGAGGTTCTAGATGCGCGAGTCGTACATGTGCTTGACGACGATGAAGTGGTCGGGCTTGGAGGAGCCGCCGTTGGAGCCCTCACCATCCCAGTAGGCGGCGCCGTTGCCGTCGATGACGTGGCCCTCTGCTCCGGTGATGGTCACATCGGTTCCGGAGATGACGATGGGGTCGAAGTCGTCGTCGGGGGTGTCGCCGAATGTTGTGGTACCGGCGAAGATCACGGCAGCGCCGGTCTGCAAGTTCTGAAGATCGATTGTGCTGGAAGGAGGGGCGTAGACATCCGACAGGAGGATGTTCGAGCAGGATGCAATGGCCGAGGAGATGGCAGCATACTCGGTGACGGTGCAGGTGGTGCCGCCGTTACCAGAGAACGTGGAGCTCTTCGTAGGGGCAGGGGCTTGCGTGGTGGGAGCCACAGCATCGGTTTTCGAGGCGGTGGGAGCAACAGTGGTAGTGGGCTGAGCAGTAGCCGTGTTGACCTGAGTCTGTCAGTAGCAGGTCACTCATTGAGATACTCGCCAACTGGATACTCACAGCACTGGTCTGAGTAGGAGCAGCGGCAGTAGCAGGACCCAGACAGCTACAGGCGCTTGACAGGTGCTTAGTCTTGTAATCGCAGTTGCTGAGAAGAGCGGCAGGCACGCCGGTAGTTTCTGTCACCGTGCTCGCGGTAAACGTGGCACAGAAGCTGGCAGCAGCAGCGGACGAGACCGAGAACACGGAGGCACAGGAATGAATGGAATCGCTGGGGTCGACACAGGCAAGAGCCAGGGGAATGAAGGGAACGAGGAGCGCACTGCGCTTCATCTTGGACAAAGGAGGGACGTTAAACAGACTAAAACACGCAAAAATGAAAAGTATGGGATGGAAGTGAATGGATATATGACCAAACCTGCGCTGTTGGGGTTGTCAGGAACGAGGGAAATGGGCATCCATAGGTCTTTATATCACTGACCGAGTCAGGAGACGACTATGACTATTGGAGCGTGGACGACTGGGCCATGCACACTCTGACTCAGTTACTCCATATAGACATCAGATAGATGGATCGCGCATGTTATTAGTTTGCATAACGGCTGTTTCAGCTTGCTTCGGGAACACAAAAGCCACAAACTCCTCGGAGACCACTTGATTGCACGGAGAATTGAAATGAACTGTTTAATTGCTTAATATCCATTACACTGGGGCTTGTCTTTAGCTTGTCAGTCTTGACTCGGTGGCATTGTGCTCATTGGCGCTCTCGGCAATTCCAACTCCACCAGCCAAAGCATTCACACCTCATTACGGAGCAAACATGGTTACTGGGGCTTCGGAAATGTTTCATCAGTGTCCACTATTTGATAGGGGCCTCGCTTGCCTTAGATCCGAGGTTCTGTCATTATCATTATCCGCACATTCCAAGTTTTATTCCCCGAGTTCATAGTCCTATTCGGCTGCAGACTCTATTCCAGGACCTGATGGATTCCATTGTACTCCAATGCGTGTGCAAGGACAATATCTCTGCTGTTGACGGGATTCAATCTTCGATATGTATGTGCAGCATTTATGTGTATCCCATATCCTCCGTGGTTCTATACTTAAATCACTTTGATGTAGGCGTTGATGGAGATCAGGTCCTCACTGGAATATCCGTGCTCATATGTCATATTCACTCATAAAAAGAAATGTTGTACAACCCCACGGGGGTAACAGGATATCATTCAGCATGACCATTCTCATTCTCACTTCCATTCGCTCTCACCCTATGCGTCTCCTGCAGCTCTTTCCACCGCCGCACCACCATGGCGCGTTCATCAGCCGAAGAGGCGCACATCTCATCGATCCCCTGCTGTATTCGCGAGGCCAGAATCTCCTTGATTTTGCTTTTTGACAGAGAGTTGCGCAGGCTCTTGTGGAGGCCGTCGAGGGGATATCCTGCTAGGCCCCAGAATCCTAGTATCGTCAGCACGAAGTAATCGAGAGAGAAAGGATGGTCAAACCTGCTGCGGGCTTGAGGATGACTCCCCCGAGACCTTTGCCGATGCCTTTCACAAGCCCGATTGGGCCGGATCTCTCCAGACCTTCTGCGGGCTGTATGACGAGTCCGGTGATGCCTTGGTAGAATTCCTGGGTGAATTCCTATTTGCACGTATTAGTTTCAGTCAATCCGGTGACAGAAGAGAATAACGACGTAGTATCAACCTTTCCAGCGGCTCGAAACCCACCCCGCACGCCCATCACCGTCGGAGTTTTGAGCACTGTCCTGTCGTGGTACAGCTTTGGGGCATTGTGGAACCCCTTGGATAGACTCAGCGTCACATCAGTAGGGACCGTAATGGCCCAGTTCAGCAGTCTCTTGCCCCACCGTTTACCGTGATAGCCAGTCTCGGACAGCACCACATGTATGCCTCCCTTCGCCTCCCTTGACGCACGTCGGCTGATCGTCTTCTCGAGATCCAGTTCACCTCCGTCCTCGTCGCTCTCGACTCGTGTATCTGTAGATTCCGATTGGGCCGTGGACTGGTCCGATATTCGACTTCTTGGCTCCGTCCCGCTATCCCTGGATATGCGATCGGGAGCAGACACAAAACTCGTACTCTCACCATCAAATTCCTCGTCCTCCTCGTCGTCCACGTCCTGGTCCTCATCCTCGTCAACTTCCTCCTCGGCGTCGCCGGAAGGACTCGATATCGGTGAGTCGGACTGCGATCGCCGCATACTCGCTACAGCACCCAGCTGCGACCGTACCCGGTCTTCCGGGGGAATGCCGTCCATTGACTTCATATTCTTCCGTATACGTGCCTCACAGTTGCGGGTGAGCTCATCGTCGTGACTATGACGCCACCCATGTTTCTTGTGGTGATGGTGATGGCGCGAGATCGCCCCGGCTAGGTCCACCGGCGCAGTTGTGAGCGCCGCCACAAAATCCGTCATGATGCCGTAGAGCACCGCGGCTCCCGCAGTGAGGGGACCCGCCGGGTCGCGGTTGGTATCGTATTCTTTCGACCGGTACAGGACGACATCACGCGGTTTGAGGAAGCCCGCCTCGACGAGTATAGCCGCTGCAAATGAGCTCAGCCTGAAGTGCGAGTGGCGCACCCACCATACCGCCGGGCGGTGCGGACAGATCGAGCATCGCAGCGTCTCCAGGTCCAGGTGCCGGTGGAAACTGGCCACGGCGCACTTGACCCCGTTCTCCTGTCGCATCTTCGCGCCGATCTCGCCCGCTTTCTCCTGCATCTCCGGCCCGAGCGCCTTGTTGATCGCGTCTGCGAGCTTCTCCACGTTCAGCTGTTTATATGGGATGGGCGCCGGGCCTGCACCGGCTCGGTACACTATCGAGCCCCAGAAGGGCTGGTCGCCGAAGAATGGGATGATGATTGTCGGACGGCCGAGCGCGAGCCCGGCTGCTGTGGTTCCTGCTCCGCCGTGATGGACCACGCATGAGACGCGCTTGAACAGCCAGTCGTGCGGAATGCTGCCGACCATGAATACGTTCTTGGGGATTTCGGCTTCCCCGGCGCCGATGTTGCCCCAGCCTTTGTTGACGAGTGCGCGCTGGCCGGTTTTGACGATCGCCTCGAAGACGATCTTGGTCAGTTTGGTCGGGTTATCGACGACGATGGAGCCGAACCCGACATAGATGGGTGGGGGCCCGTCTTGTAGGAACTTGACCAGGTCGTCGGGCGGCGTGTAGCTGCTTGGAGCAGGGAGCATGCTGAAGCCACAGATGTCGACATTGCTCAGCCAGTCGACTGGTTTGGGGAGCAGAGCCGGTGACCTGCTAGTGTCAGTATTCGAAACCCAAACAATCGAGGATACGAACCAGAGATAAGTGAAGGGAATGCGAAGTCTATGAACGATACCCGGCGCGCGAAAGGCGTCCAACGGGTCGAGCCCCAACTCTCGCTTGCGGAATTTATTCAGCAGATCTCCCAACCCCTCATAGAGCATCATCTCGACAATCGCATACGAGGCGAAATTCGCGACGGATCGCTTCGTACGGGTCGGACGCACATTGGCCAGCGGATGCGGAAAAGCCTGCGTGGCCGTCCAGGGCATCGTGAACATGAGAGACAGTGGCACGCCCAATTTCTCCGCGCAGCTGAGATGTGCAAAGCTCGGCGGGTTGGCGATGATTGCGTCTGCCACGAACGGCTGCTCCCGGTAGTCCACCGCCTCGCTCCACGGATCCTCGGGGATATGATGCAGTCCCGTTCCATCGCCCATCTCGAAACACGACCGCCAGCAGCCAGAAAATATCGCTGCCATTTCCCTCCGCCGGCGCCGGATCGCCCCGCTGCGCAGCGTTTTCATCCCCGGCAGCAGACCGGGGTTCTTCACCATGAACGCCATGAGCTCGGCGGGATCGCCGCCAATGCTGAAGAATTCGAGACCGTGGTCTTGGACGAAGTCGCGAAAAGCTAAATGAGTCGCGAGTCGGACGCGATGGCCCCGTTCTTTCAGGGCCATACCGAGTGCGACAAAGGGTTGTACGTCGCCGCGCGATCCGACGACATGGATGACGATGTTGAGGCGGAGCGGGAAGGGCTCAGTTTTCTCGATGGAGGGCTGGGGAAGGGTTGCCTTTCGTACATCTTCCGGCGTTGGTTCGATTGGCTTTTCTATATGCCTGAGGAGGTTCGTGAGGCTAGATTTTCGGCCGCGGAACTTGATCTCGAGTCGTCCGTCGTCTGCAGCAACAATCACATCAGCTTCGCTATTTATCCGTTGATACAGAACTCGTACCCATCACCCGCACACCCGTGTACATCCCATGGTCCAGCAGGGGCGTGGCACGAATGTCCACCGAGACCGGGTCGCTGAGGGTCTCCTGGGGCCAGTCGGCCGTTGCGATGCCACCTGTGGAGTGTTGCAGAGGCATCGTGTCCTGGATGGATCAAGATCCCAGGTTTAAGGACTAATAGATTGAGAATATTCATGAGAAAGTAAGGTGCAACTCATGTCCTCTTGCATAGATTTGTGGTCTCGCGATGCGGTGGCCTCACCGATGATGTCATGGCCCGTTCATCTTTGCTGGTGGGTCGATAGAGATACCTCGGCATCGCGGTCGTCTTCATACTCGGTAAATTATCTCAGGGTTGATCAACCCATTCAGCACAGTAGATGACCTAAAATAGGCTATGACGATCCTTTTCTTCCGCCATAACCGGTTCGGCCTCGGGATGGAGACCTTTGGCCGATGTAGATCAATCCCGTGGTGTCGATCATTTCCAATTCAACATCTATATAAAACATTCAAATACTCCGGACCCTTGAATTCCTTGTTCTAAATATCCATGAATAAGAAATTCTTGACAGCTTCCATGTTCGGGGACATTCATGTTTGGCCAGCGCCTTGGCTCGCCATATCTTGGGGAGTTGACGGAGATTCCGTTCAATTCGTACTTTCGTTTGTATTCGAATCTCTTGGGGATAGACTGGCTTATCCAACCCGCAACTAAATGGGTTAACCATACCCAATCCGCATGGATATGGATAACCCATTGGGTGCACATGATCTAAGAGTAAGGCCTCTCAGAACTGATAGACTTATCTAATCATATCTAGGCCTGTATATGGGTATATTTTTATGTCTATAGATAGAGAATGATTATATCCATCTATATATAAAATACAATACTAGATTTACTAAGAAAAATTAGAGTTATGATAGATTTTAGATCTTAGATGGTGGTGATTAGGATGGTAGTGGTAAGATATATATATACCTGCGCTACTCTTTATGCTAAGCTTAGGGGGCACCCCTACTCCCTTATATAAGACTATTCTACCTTTTATGATAGGTAATATATAATATTTATATAGTGAATTATCATATGATAAAATAAAATATAGATATCCTAGTTGTGTAGCTAGAATACTAGAACAACAGGTGGTAATTAGAATACTAGGGGTTACCTGACTGGATATATCCATTATCCATTATCCATAATCTGCATGTGTTGGATCAAACATAGTGCGGATCAATCCATATCCAATCCACAACCAGTCTACCCAGAGATACAGATTGCTGCGATTTGGGGGAGAGCTCATAGACTACACTTTGTTGTAGAAGGATAGATTATTATTTATTAATGAATGCTTGCCTTTGGCCTGAACTAACTGTTATATGATTGTATGTTAACAATATTCCAGAGGGTTGTGACTACTCAATTACAAAGCTATGGCGGCGATCGGAGAAGCAAAAACATGAGCTTATTGAAATTGTACATTTCTCTGTGTGTACTTAGGTTAGGAGGCTACTGGAATACATACACAGAAGCACATGGACCATGGTAAATAGAGTTGTAGTGTACAGTATGGGAAAAGGGAATGTGGGAAAATGCAGGGATAGAAACGGAAGAAAAACAGCCAGCAGGCCATGAAGAGAAATCGGGGCCATAAATGCTGTTGAGTTTGCGGCTCAGAATCTCTCCTTTGCGGCTCAGAATCTCTCCGTTGCGGCTCAAGATAGCGCGCTGTTTTCTGCTTTGGATTCTATGGATTGCGGATTTTGCCTGTCTATTGGGCGGATCTGCATAGAGAAATGCCATTTTCGGTTTTGGTCCCCAATCTCTGATTGGTTGCTCTTGGATCCCTTCTAAAGCAATGTAGGTAGTGGACAGCAGGAGTTGTTCGTGAGTCTCAACATGCTTGAAGTACATATCAATTATTTAAAGAGCCCATCCCGTCTCTCGAGTACTCAGTATTCCATATCTGAATACAGACCGATCAGCTTTACTTATATCTCGAAGAGATTCTAGTCCTTGAACTCCGCTCTCATTCGCCAGAATGTCCAGCCCTGTACCTTTCGTCTACAGAAATCCACTAGATGATGTATATTCTTCCAATTTTGATACCATCTCTTCCAATCAGCCTACAAACTTCGCTCTCCATTACCCTGTTCAGGAGGAATCACTAGCCCTTGCAACCGATCGAACAACTGCCACATATCCATTGCAAGACTTTGCTCTTGATACAGCTTCGCAATCCGATTGGCATATGCCAGTGTCTGCAGTGTCTCAACCAGGGTTTACTTCGGATCTACTCCTTTTTAATCCAGGGACGGAGCCATTTCTGAACCAGCTAAGGGACAATCAATATTTTGTGGACAGACACTCTCGTCAATCGCAAGGCTATATCATTGAGCACGGCGAGCAGGGAGGGTCAATTCCACCCTTGATGAATCAATTTCATTCTTTCCAGTCTGTGACCCAGGATGGGGTTTGCCAGACTATGGACAAAGTGTAGGTTCCCCAGGCTGTCGGAGATACTGCCGCTGATTGCTCTCGCTCATAGACAACCGGCTGAAAACGCTCACCTAGTCTGCAAGTGGGAGGGATGTATCTACAAAAAACCGTTCAACAGAAAGGCGGACCTATCTCGTCATGTTGAGTCAATGCATATTGCGCCACGCTCATACGGCTGTGTCGTTGAGGGGTGCTCTCGCCTTTTCAGCCGGAAGGACAGACGCGATGCGCATATGCTGCAACGCCATTTGGTCTCGAGCATACAAAAGCAGGCTAAGGTGTAGGTAGCCTTGACGAACGCTGCTACGGTCCTTTTCCTTGCCACCGCTCTCTTGTTTGCGCTTTAGCTTAGTCCGCCTTCTGTCCCTTCCTTTTCCACAGTGTTAACTCCCGTCATATCGATAAATTCTATTGGTGGTGATGCAAATGATGACCCTTCTCTGACTAAAACATTGTATAGTAGAACAGCTGCTGGACTACATCCCGGCGAGCTAGGACGGCAAGGTGATGTTGTATCCTGCCAACATCAGGATTCCTATCCGCCGCCTTGTGGTACCAGTATCTGGCGACGCCAGCCCAGGTCTCGCGGTCACGCAGGTTCACCTTTTCTACTGCCATTCTGTATCGTGCTAAATTGCCCAGGCATTCGATCCAGGTCTATTCAAATGCGCGGACACTTACTAATAGCAGAGTGATCATCGAGTAAGCCATGTAAATGAAAGTCAGCATATGCTCCAGGGAGTCGGATGCCGTAACGCCACATACGAGCCGGCATGGCATATTTCTCTGCCAGTCTTTTAAGCATAGGACTTGCGGACGGATGTTGTGATGCTAGAAAGGAGTCGTGATGCTTGTTCAGCAGATTCGAACATCGCGTCCACTCTGAATGCTCCCGTCATTGATGTGGCGTTGGCCAACCAACAAGCACCTATGGATTTCTGCGCTTAAGGCCCCCAGACTCTGTTGGCTGTTGGATCGCTCCCCACGGGAGATATTTTCCTCCTGCTCAATAGTTGCACCATCTGACCGAGTGCATCCCTGCTTTTTGGTCTGGGAAGCCACACCAAGCGCGGAGGCAGTATGCTCGATGCGGCCATCTCGAACAGAAATTATTTCAACCTACTTTACGAGTACTACTACCTCCGCTCTATCCCGAGCGATCGACTAGACCGGAGAACCCGAATCTACCATGCTTACGCCCATGTTCACCTATGTTCAGTATCTCTGTAACGAGGAAAGTGATACAGTTAAACGTAATATCAACATGAGTATTTGCTTCCTCTCCGCCCACCTGGCTGACCTTTCTTCTGGTTACCGAGTGGATCTCTTTTCAATTAACCTGTAGCACGTCCTGGCTAAATGGTAATTATAACCAATGTGTACACTGGTAGTAACCCTTCAGATCCTGTGCATCATGGACTGCAGCTTGAAATATATTGAATCGTTCGCCTGGGGTAGTTATTTGTCTATAATCAAGAAAGCATTATCAATGACCAGACTATTTCGATTCCTTCACTGTTCAACTGCCCAAGATGAGATTTATCTTTGCCGCTTGGATCTGTCGATTCGATCGCGTTGTATTTGGGCGTCACGGGTGTTTTGAATAGTTGGTGATTCGTTTGAGACTGCACGGTATGCGGAAAAGGATCATATGGTCGCAGCCCAACGAAATCAGAAGATATATGGTTGAGCTGAGTGGTGTAAGCGGACACGACCTCAGTTGCATCTTCCGCTAGCCTCTCTCTAGGTTGGCCTCTCGAAGTAGCTGGGGAGAAGGTTGGGTGTATGATTTCCACAAGAGTAACCCGACAAAAAACCGATCCTCGGAATGGTGGTCATTTTGCAGCCATTCCCCACAGGCAGTGATCAATCCGGTCTCAGCAGTGGCGGGATTTAGCAACGGCCAGAATGCCGTCTCCCATTTAGTTTTGAACTCTGCTTTCTTGTCTACCTGGGTGGTGGGTAGCATCGTTGAAAATCCAAACGAGACCAGCTCGAGGTGACATGCAAAACCAGAGACATCAATGGGGAGAGCAAGCTGTATATAACGATTGGATACCATTGAAATGTACCCCAGCATCATACTGAATCCCAGAGAGGATTGGAATAGCTTCCAGGAATATGGGCTACTCCACTGGATCAGGACGATGATCTGCTGATATGGTGAGGAATCGTTTACCGGTGCTCAAGACAGGCCTTGAAGCCCAGGAATTGTCGACACGAACTCCAAAGACCTCGACCATAGTTGAGAGGCAGACTGTGATGGCTCCAAGACATCGACTCCCGGGTGAAAGGAAAAATGAAGGATACCAAGGACTGAATGAGCCGGCAGTTGGTCGACCTCTTTTGAAATGTAAGGGATGCTTTGAAAGCAAGGCTTGATTTTCACGCATTGGCTGAGCATTTGGAGGCCACCGTGGGGGTTATTTGAAGATGAGCGGTCGAAAGAAGGGGTTATGATATTTCCGAGTCGGCAAAATTTCCCGGGCACTAGGTTTCGCTATCCTTCCTTGATCTTGACCTCTTCCGGTAAGACAATCGACCAGGCGTTCCAGATCATCTTAAGCTAAGATGTTTCGCTGAACTAGAAACGCGGTGGAATCACGGCAAGCTTTGAGCCCGCATTGTGATTTGTGTGGCCTTTCGGGAAGTGAGGGGAATAATGCCCGAGGCCGTCACCTGATTTTATATACAACGATTTCGCGTAGAATGTTGCGCAGAGGATGATCAGCTTATATTTTACAAGGTATTCTTGATTAAAGGAAAGAATATATGCAAACTCTATATGCGATTCATCTATATCCATGTCATATCTCAGAAACCCAAAATCCTTTGCAGTGGAAGACATGTCCTAGCCCAGCCACGGCATGTCCTCACAATATCACCCCAGTCCACGCATCCAGACGTAGCCATTACCGTTAGTGCAGGTATGCGATGTGCTGCTGATGGTTTTGACACGCAAGTACTACAGGCCCTCAATCCCGTTTCAAGCCAACCTTCCCGGCCTTCCGCAGCCCAAAGTACCCGAGAAGAGTGCAAAGAACCATAAACCCAAACATCGTCCAGAAACTAGCGCGATATCCAGCCATCAGCGCACCCGTCTCATCAGCGCCAGACTCCTCCGTCACAACCGTCGAGATAACCTGAAGAATTGCCAGGCCCAGGGCACTCCCGAACTGCGCGGCCGTGTTGAAGACGGCACCCGCCAGCGCCTGCGTGTCATCCGGGAAGCTATCCGTGATGATTATTAGGCCGATGGTGTAGAGCGCGTTGAAGCTCACGGCCTGCAGGAGCTGCGCAACGAAAGCGTTTCCCCAGTAAGGCCAGGACGGCTGGATGACGGCCATGAGTAAGGGGGATCCGGCGCAGAGGAGGGACGTCACTGTGGCGATCCAGAAGGCGGGGACTTTGTGCACGAAGACGCCGATGACGAGGTTCAGCAGGACGCCGACTATGAGGCTGGGGAGGATGCGGACAGAGGCGTCCAGCGCTGATAGGCCTTGGACTTCTTGGAAACTGGGCCGGGTTAATGAGTGGCCACAGGGGGATGGAGGGAAGGCTTACAATAAGCTGGCAAAGAGCTCCATTGAATTGACAACTGTTGTTGAGATAGCAATGGCAGCGCAGATGCTCGAAAAGGCTGTGTTTTTCCACAGTGCATTAGGAATGAGAGCTGGCTTGTGCCTCTTGACTTGGTAGTGGACCCAGCCGACAAATGAGGGAAGAGCAAGGGCAGCCAGGCACAGAATGACGATGTTATCGGCAGATTTGATCCGTGATGGATTGGCGCTCACAATAATATCCTCGGGTTAGCTTCAAACGATGTTGTTGTCACAGGATGACCTACGCCAGGAGATAACAGAGCAATGCCATGAACGCGGAAGCCAGCCCAGCACCAACCCAATCGATCTTAGTCGTGATGTTGTGAAGGAGATCCGAGTACTGCGTGGTCTTACTCCGAGGCAAAGCCCAAAGACCGGCAACCGAGAATACGAGCGTGATACCGCTAGAGAGAAACCACCCCGATCTCCAACAGATAGTGTCGACCAGGACGCCCCCGACCACCAGGCCCAAAGAAAATCCAAGGGGTTGGCTGACCCCCAAGCACGAAAAAGCGACATTGCGGCTTCTTCCTGGAGGCAGAAGCTGCGTCACGATGGAGATGGACGAGGCCAAGTGCATCGCCAGACCGACACCTTGGAGTGCTCTCAAAACCACCAACTCCTGCCCGGTGCGAGCCAGGCCTTGACCGATCATCAATGCGCCACTGGCAAAGGAGCCGACAAGTTCGACCCACCGTGGACCAACAGTGTCTGCCAGGGACCCCGCCAAGAGAAGCGTCGAGGCAGTCGCGAGGCTACTCACCGATGAAGGCCAGAAGGATAGAGAAGGGGGAAGTTGAAGCTCCTTGGTAATAGTTGGCAGACCGACAATCACCAGCCCATTGATCACGCTGGCGGTTAGAGTCACAGCGAAAAGCTGGCTGAGTACCACGACCTTTCGCAACTGCGATTCTCGGGACGCTGGCCGTGCATTTTCTGGGGACCGAAGATTCGTCGCTTCCAATACGAGAGAGTTGATGGGTCTAATCGTCGCAGTCGTGGTGGTAGACATGTTGCCGACTGCTGAAGTATCGCTACAGTTCAAAATCCTTCAGGGCCTTTATTTAGATAGGAGCTAGTTAATATAGCTTAGGGCATATATGATATATGACTCAGAAGACTAGACTGCGCCCTGGGAAGTACATTTTTTCCTTTAGTTGAGGAGAAGCGAGACTAAGAGACATGCCACGCGACGCTAGGGCACGCTAAAGTCTAAAACTGGGGATATTATCATATTAGGCAATAGAAACGTATTCCTCCGGTGTCGCCCGCTCCGGTTCGTGCGCCTGAGCTTGGGGATTTTCTCTCATAGCCGAGCCAGACCCACTCAGCGGACTATAGACTGCCAGTATCAGATCTTGTGAGTTACTTTGCGTGCTTGGAATGGTCCGAATCCTTGAAAGTCAAGTAGCCGATTCCAGCTTCTACTACTCGGTACTGTGTACAGTCTGCAGATGAACAGCACTCAATAACCCAATGGTGTAAAGCGGACTAACTGATCTGCTATTTAAGAGATAATAGCTTTGAGAGTATCTCGTTTCTGTAACACTCTCAAGTCACTTGCTATTCCGTGGAAAGGCCCTCACTTTCAAATCAGTAAGGCACGTTGGTGTACATGATGCAGGCAGCGGCCTTGATTTTAAGGCTTCAACCACTACTTGAGGCAGGCTCAGGAGTGCACCTGCTGGTCGCTGATACAAAGTGCATTATCAGGAGAAGGAGCCGGTTACAACTTGGCAGTAACAACACGAAGAAAGAACTGTGAGAACCATCCTTAGGGTCACTCTCACACGGCCCTTCCTGAAACTGTGCTCGTCTGACCAAACACTACTCCCCCGTCCGACAGCAGCATCCCTATATCTCCATCTCGAGCTCCCTTTCCGTCCTGCCTATGCCTTTTGCAAACAACTAAGTTGTCGCTTGAGATATTATCACCCAAATCTTCCGCTTCGGTCATTGTTAAATGTACAAAATGACCGACAATAACACCTCAAACAAGACGAGTCACCCATCCCCCTCCACTGCCAACGAGAGCACCGTCCAGCCACCACGCGGTATGCTGAATGTTTCCACCCATGGATACATGAAGACAAACACTCTAATAACAACAGATGTCCGCCCCTGTCAACGTTGCCCCAACCAAACCGGTCACCTGGCTGACCGTTGTCCGCTACGACCTCTGCCAACTGCCGTGAGAAACACTACCAGCGTTACTGCTCGACCTGGCCCCGTGAGCACCACAACATCCGCCTTTGTGGTTTCTGTTGGAGGAAATCATATCTGGCACTACGGCAGCCGCACCAATGCGGTTGCCATCCAGATCCCCACGGTTGTGATTGAGGCGCCCACAGTTGCGGTCCAGATTCGCGACAACCCGAAACGCAGGCGTAGAAAGAGACCAAACAAGGCGGCCAGGAGGGCTCGATTGGCGGCTGAGCATACCAATTCTCAGGACACAACCCCGGCAGCGGTGAAGACGGAGGATAGTGATGACAAGGTGGTCCAGTGAGGCACCGTATTCTGTGCGCTGAGACTCATTCCATGTTCAACTGTGGTCTGTCCACTTGTTACAATAAAAGCTGGAGAACGAAGATCATGTGGCCTGACGTTCGAATAAAGTTCCTGTCTTAGAAAGAAGGCAACAGAGTAGATTGAGGAGAAGACTTGACAGATGGATTCCACGCATGTACTTAGCTACGAAAGAAAGAAAGGGAGCGCTCACACGCCCTAAGGCATACTCTACCCGTTGAACAATTACGACCTGCTTCGATAGTAACATGCCATGTCCGCTAAACCTGTACTCGAGGACAGGAAGACGTTGGAGACAGTAAACAGGGGCTCCTGGTTACCCCTCTACCCGCGTCATGGTCCAGTGTGGAACATCTCGCCGTTGAACTTCGTGTGCATCAATGCTCGGCGGATCGTCAAGGCTAGTCCTCTAATAAAGATCCTCAATTGTGCATGAAGTCTTCAAAACACAGGATCCTTCTTGACGGCTACAGTCAGTCAATGACCATGCATTCAGTACTTCCACATACAATCACACGAGATCAAACGTGTTTTTCTAGGATTCCGTGGATTGAGTAGAATGTCTATTCTCTCCCAAAGAGTTATAATACTCGCCAATGTCGAATCCACTAGTCTCCTCGAGCTCTTCAAGAGCAATCTTCTTCACTTCATCCGGTACAGAGACACATAGCTCATGGCACCTCTCCCATTGTAGGTCAACCCCATCTCAATGTCCGCCTACGGTTCGTCGGGCACAGTGTCAAGGACAAGGGTGGAGGTATGCTCGACGCGTCCAAAGTCACGGCAACCACGCTCTGGAACCCTTGCTTCCAGATCACGGAGATTCTTTGGGCTGGGGCTCTCGCGAGAGTCCTCCATCAGATTGACATCCTGGTCAGCATCAAGCTCGTCCCAGTAGCCGCTGTAATCGCGCAGGATCAGACCCTCGCCACAGCCGGTTTCATGGACGGCACGCGCCGAAGTAGCTCTTTGCAAGTCGCGACGTGAGGAAAGGATGGGTACCACATTCAGTATGGGAGGTGTTTGGTCTCTGGCGTGATGCGAGAAAGGCCGTTATTCATGATGAAGCGTGCATTGATTGCTTCCTTAATACAGTATGGCGCTGCTCCCGGTTGAATGGACCACCATTTGGCGAACATGGAGTTGTGGTAGATGCCGCGCACGACACTCTCCACCTCGGTGGTGATCCAGTTATTAGGACGACGGAGGCGAGCGTACCGTTCGATATTACCGTAATACGTCGCCATGAGGATCAAAAGGTCCTTATTCATCGTCGGCAAATCGGCTGGCAGCGGTGTATACAGTAGGTGACTCACGTCGTCCTTCTGCGGGGGTAGTGGCTCTGAGGTGAACTTGTCGATCCGATCGTCTTCTGTAATGTCAAAAATGCCACGGTCTCGTATATTCAAGATATCAAAAATACTCCAGTCCTCGTCACCTCCGGTCGTGGGTGCTTTTCAAATTTCGTCTTGACATCCAGGTAGACCGCACGGCAGTGTCTGCGTTGAGGTACCCTGGACCTGGCTTGGGGAATACAGTCCTGGTGTAGTCGTCCGTAGCATTGTAGCGTAGATCTGCCGCCATGATGGCTTCGTAGATCTCCCACTGTTTGTTCTCGCGCGCCTCTTCTGCAATGTGCGCTTCGGGAAGGAGGTCCGCTCTGAAAAGGTTTACATAACCCGCCACAGCACATGCTCCACCGACAAGACACTTCATCTGCGGATAGCGGCTGGCAAGAGCCCGGTAGGTTTCCTTCTTGGCCGTCTCCGGGTACCAGATGCAGTAATGGAACTCGTCTAGCTCGCTCATCTCAGGGGTCCTATCGCTCATGATCTCTCTGGCGTTCAATGCACGGGTGAATTTGGGCAATAATCCAGGAAGTTCGGTGGCAAAGCCTGGATGGTATCGAATTCCGCGCACGACACATAGTTGAGTGATTTCTTCTCCCAGGGCTCTGGGGATTCGTTGACCGCGGACAGCAAGAAGGCAACCCTTTTCATTGTATTTCTTGTTCGAGAGACTGTCACTAGATGAGGCTCATCTCCAGAGAGCGAGCGGTGAAGAGGTCAATCACCCTACTATGGCAAAGCCCGCCGTGAATGTAACCGTGACAGGGGCTTAGGGACAGGGAACATTCTATCGTCTGGGGTAGCTATCTCATAAACCTGGCATTATCTGCATGCCAAGCGAACTTTGGACCAGAGAGCGGAAATGAGGCGCAGTGAGTTTAGAGCTGTTGGATCAGGACGAAGTAGGTCCTCCATTTTTCCGTCTATTCCAGCCAGGCCTCTACAGCCACCTTGAGATGACTCGACAACCACTCCTCCTCAAGTGGCACCTCCACATCAAATCCATGATCTCCCTCCCGCAGCGTCAAAACAATCTTATCCCCACCAGGTTTGCCCTTCATGACCTCCCGCGCCTTGGCAACAAACTTCTCACTCTGCTCCACCGGCACAACCGCATCCTGCAACTCATGCATAATCGCAATACCTCCCCGCGGGATCTTCACATCAGGCCGATCAAGCCACTCAAGCGGATACCGCAGTTCCCGCGGCGAGCCCTCCGCGCCGTATTCGTAGAATTGTCCCAGGCCACCGTAGTATATAGCCCCTACCATCAAATCGAATCGATCCGGTATAACGGCCGACGAGCGAATCGCGCTTCTGTCCATTTCAGCCAGATAATCATCCACCGTGGACGCAGGCACATCCGGTAAGGGCTCAGAGCTTGTAGCTGTGCGGAAGTACTCCGACGCCATGTCGACGCAGGGATACGTAGCTGTCGTCGCGCGGATCTCGTCTGCGTGTGCCAAGCCAACGAAGATACTCAATAATCCGCCTGCTGAGTCGCCAGCCGTTAGGACCCGGTCCAGATCGAGCTGTATTGGTGTGGAAGATGTTTCGAGCAGCTCCGTGACGGCAGAGGAATGCAGCCAGGCCCAGAAATCTTCAATGTCGGAGAAGATCTCCGGGCTGGTTGATTCGAGGAGGAGCCGGTAGTTTGGGCTTATGATGACCGCGTCGTGCTTTTTGGCGAGCTCCAGCAGCCAGATCGGGAACCAGTCCATCATGAGGGAGTCGCCAGTTATCTGGTCGTGTTAGTCGTGCAATTGATCCATGAGGGGGTGGAACTCTTACCAGCCCTCCGCCGTGGAAGCGGACGATTACTGGGCGTTGGCCGGTGAATGTAGACTGGGGGATGATAAAGTCGGCGCGGATGGCGTGGTCTTCAATCCGTTTATAGTGCGTCTGGATCAGGTTGAAGCCAGCGAGTTTTTCGTGAGTTTCGATTGAGCCCATTTTCGATGATAGATGTGTCGGAGTTTGAAGGATTTTTTTGTTGTCTGGAAGTTATCTTGATTTGGGTGTCTACCAAGGCTATATAAGCGCTTCTCGCGGATTAATCATGCACATATAATCAACCCGGCTAATGTCATACTCATGGAGATATTTCCGGAGACCGTGGCACTATCTCCAGCGATTAATAATGATTGTTTTCATCGTTTGCATGCTTTGCAGCCCATTTAGACAGCCAATTATAGTGTAGATTTATATTAGGTACGGTGAAAGGACACTGACGATGGCAGGGCAGTCTATGTACGGAGCCGCTTATGTTTCAATACAGTCATTTATTTCTGCCCAACTGTTTCATAATGCTAGACATCCAAGTAACTCATCTGGGTATTAGCAAATAGTCTTTCACATGACGAAGCAAAACAAAATACGCAGATGTTCCCAATATCAAGATAGACAACCACCACAACAGTTCAGAAAAAGTTAGGGTCGAGCCAGCAGCGGTCCACCATAGGTATTCCCTGGAGCTCAAGGAGAATATCCTCGTTCCATCCTGCCTTGCTAGCCTCAATAAACTCCCTACTCCAGCCCCAACTGTTGTCATCAGCTCGATGGGCACTATCGGGATTCGTCGACTCTCTGATCCTATCCCGGACCGTGTGAAACACCATGCTCCGCCAGAAGGCATTGTTCGGTTTGCAGAGTGTATCGCAGTAAAGGACCCACAACCGGTGTAAAATCAGAACGTTCTGCAAGTGATAATCGCGGATTGCTTGTCTGAGAGGCCGCTCTTTGAAGACACCATCGCTTCCTCCCTTTGCTGGATCACGCAGTTGACTCACAGTGCTGTGCACCTGCTTCCATAGCGCTAGGGCCCTCGCAGGAGGGCGCGCGTCTTCCTCGACGCACATTTCCAAGCTTGCAGCCTGAGCTTGCTGGGCGCGTGGATATTGCATCGCGAGTTGCATAACCTGGAGGTCTTTGATTGCGTTCAGGCGGATCCCGTGGTGATTGAACAGGGCGGCAGAAGCGTTTCCGACGTCGAAAAGGATCTTGGACACGGCGGGTGATTCAAGCAGGAGCTTGAGCGAGTTGTCGGCGAGACTGGTAGTCGTAAATGCATCCTCGCCTAGCGTGAGCACGTCGATCAGGGAGACCTTTTTGATTGGTCGAACAAAGAGGGAGATGATTGAGATTGGGCCGTCTTGTCTTGGGTTTATGGTCTGGACGTCGAGGAAAAGAGCCGCTGGTTTATGCGACTGGTAATCGAGCTCGTTGAGTAATTTCTCCAGAGCACCGATGGAGTCGATCATCTGTATAGCGGAAGTCGCGATTTGCAATGCCATAATGGATGTAGCCATACGGCTCCGGCAACAATGATTTGCTTGATATGTAGTTCAGAAAAAGATAAAAACAATCTCTGATCGATTCTCGTAGATTTGTATGTTTGTAGTTCGAGGAAGTAGGACGCACCACAACGTCACCTCTATGGACATAAAGGTACCGAGTTGTTGAGAACCACGGGTTGCAACCGAAGTTGGACCTGGGTTCTGGATACAGCCATCAGATAATAACAGTGGAAGCAAGGATCGTGAATGTGAGCTCATCTTTCGGGATATTCCGTAAGTGCGCAGTCTATATTTCTAAGATTTGTTAATACAGATGCATTAAGTGAATAGTGAGTTAGGAATTCTCTCACGCGAGGTCACTGTAATCATTGATGACATATAATGACGCAAGATCGTCCGCCTATTATGATCATCCTTTGCCTTTGTAGATGCCAGCATGTAGAGATAATGGCAGCTCAGTGGTATGGAATATAAAGCCTGCTGGATCTGGAGTTTGTCTGCTTCCGTCTTCGAAAGCATAGGATGTCGATTTGAGTACTCTCCAGCCGACTCCATAGCATTCTGCTTGTACTGGGCTGGGTCTATCATTACCTCCGGAAGATTAACAAGTGTTTACTATCAACGTTTAACTACACCGTAGATAGCAGAAAATGACTGAGATGCAGTTGTCACGACACTAGGAAATAATGAAATAGTTCGCTGCCAGTTATCACACGACAACTAGATCTAGGAGTTAGTAGCTTGTATACTCAGTTAAGTGACAAATGAACTGTTCTAAGCCCCAACTGCGAATTAACGATGTATGAGCAGACATTTCACATTAATCAAGATAAAGATAGGAAGTCGGGGTCTGCTGGAGAACCTCAGTACGAAGCCCCTGCTGCCCCTTTACTCTGTACAGCCTAGTCAGGCCCTGTCGCTTGATTCCGCTCTAAATAGCCCATTCGGAAAAATTAGCGTGTCAAAGTAAGATATAAGGGTCTCGGATTGATCCCGAAGTCTGTCCTCTAAGTCGAGGATAGTGTGTAGATAAAACCGTTTTGAAACGCCGGCGGCGGCTACGGGGCAGCTGTACGATATACCACGATTAAGGCATGAACCGACGAAATCTTGCAGTAGTTTGCTAAGGGAGAGACACCGTACATTGTGGAATTCTTCTACGTTCGTTTCGAAAAGATAATAATATAACTGCCAATTGATGCCAGCGCCTGCGCACAATATATCTAGCTAGAATAGCTCACGACTCCGTCAATCGTCGGGAGCGTATTAAATACAGGATATGAAAGGTAGACGGTCAGGTCCAATGCAGCTCGACATTAAATGCTTAAGCCTGGATGCACTGGTGGTAGAAAGGGTTCCACTGCTTGCAGACGAGACCAGCCTCGCAGCTTGTGGCGCCGGAGTAGTTCTGGCCTCCGCACTGCTGGTAGATCTTGACGGAGCCGTTGGCGCTTCCGGAGCTGGAGGAGCTGGAACCGGAGCTGCAGCCAGAGTTGGAGCCAGTGTTGGAGCCGGAGCTGGAGTCGGTGCTGGCGGGAGGAGCAGCAGTGGTGGTGGGCTTGGCGGCAGTAACCAAGGTGGTGGGAGTGACTGTTGTGGCGGCTCCCTGCTTGGTGGTAGTGGAGGTTACGGCCGCATCGGGGGCAGTCTTAGTAGTGCCAGAGGAGCTAGAATAGTCGGAGGAAGAGCCGTCCCAGACAGCAGGGCCAGGAATGGGGTAGCTGGTGGAGGAGTTGGAGTTGTAGATGTCGAAGAGAACGCCGGGGTCGGTGGCCTTGTAGGCACCGGGGATGGAAACACCCTCAGGAAGGGCCTTGGTGCCGGCAGAGGTGACCTTGACCTGCACACACTCCATGTAGAACTGAGCGCCACCCTTGCGGTCACCCTCATGCAGGGCAATGATCTCAGGACGCAACAGGTACTCGCCGGCGGGGACGTCGGGAACGGTAATCGAGTGCTTGCCCTTGTTGGCGATTAGATTATCAACCGCCCATTTGCCGTTCGAGTAGCCCTCCTCAGCGATCTTGACCCAACCGTTGCCAGCAGTGCCCTTCTCGGTGGGAGCCRTGTAGACCATGACGGGACCATGATGAGAGGAGGCGATGATATCGTCGGAGGCAGAACGAGAATCGTGGTGCCACTCGAAGGTGACCTTGTCACCGGCCTTGATGGAGAGGGTCTTGGCGACTGGATTCTTGCCGTTGACGTTGCAGGTCATGTCGGGGGAGGTGACATCGAGGAGAGGGCTGTTGTTGGGGGGACTGCGAATGTATCCGTCAGCGGAGTTTCCCGTGCCCTGGTCCACGTCGTTGATCCAGACGGCGTAGACAGTGGCGTGGGCGCTGACAAGTTTAGCTGCTGCTGCCAGAGCGAGCAATCCGAAGGTCGACTTCATTTTGAAAGAGTGTTAAAATGTAAAGAATGACTGAAATGAAGGAGAGAAAGAGAGAGAAGAATGAAAGAACGCAGATAATCAAGGAGAGATGAATGCTGAGCAGTCCAGAGTTAGACGATTCATGATGAATTGGGGGGAAGAAGGGTTTATATAGCGTGTACGGAGTACTGGTGAGAAAATAATATACCACTAAGCTAAAAAGGCGTCCGGACTATATCCTCATCAGTATAGGGTCATATATAGTCATGTATCTTGAAATTCGAGCGGTAATCTATTTTCTAACAACTGGCGATAGCATCAACAGTCTAGTTGGAGCGACGGGCTACAGGAGATGAGCGAGACCCTGCCAAGACATAGGAGCCTCTTGGCTCCCCTGTCACCAACGGTGCCAAGAAGGGATTTCAATCTATATGTTTCACTGTCTGACTCCACTTTCGATCTATCCTGTTTGCCATTGACCAGTTGTGGTGTCTTGTCGGCTAAAAGAACCGGATGTCCTCCGAATAGGCAGCGGGGTTGGTAGTCATGTACCGATAGCCCCTACCTACCCCTGTTGATGGTAAAGTGCGATATACCATCTTTGCCGCCCAATAAGCGGCCATTCTCTCACCATGGCCCTCTCCGGCCTGTGGAGTGGGCAGAATCATGTAGTCCAGCACTTCTGCTTGGTCATATAGAAATATATTAAGCCATACTGCTTTGTCTCACTGTGGTGTCGTCACTTTGCGTTTCCGGAATATCCTCCGATGCTAACAGCTTACCGCGAGCTTCTAGCTGGAGCTGTCTCACTTGTTCTCCTGGTTCTAGGAATTAAGCGACCTTCTTCTGCTAATTCTGGGCTCTTCCATTGAATCGATCCGGCCTCATTGCACCCTGAGCCGGTACAGCGTCACTACACCTTAAGCCACCTCCCTAGCCGAGGCCTAGAATCGGAACGGAGGAATGGGCTATGGATGATGAAACAGACCCTAATAGAAATTATCCGTAAGAAATTTCCGAAAGATACTCGTCAGTAATCCGTATTGCTCTCTTGTCTATACAAGTTCGTTGAACGAGCCCAGGGGAGGCCGTCATATGGTATTAATAAGCGCCACTCGGCAACTCATGTTTCCAAAATATGAATCCTGAATCCTGATGTTCCCAGGACTACGGTCTCTTTAATTCTAATAGTCCGAGTGCCTTGGCCTTTTGTCATTCGACTGTGTATATGGGTCACCGATTCGCTATACTAGTACTTCAACAGGGGTAATTAGGCGCCATTGTTCGTGACGTAGGAACATACCACCTTATTTTTGGCGGGCTATTTTACACGACTCAGAGATCATTAACCCTGCCTGAATGTGACCAGGCGTCAACCTCGCGGTGAATCCATTATCCAGGAATGAGTGATTGTCGGTTTGTTCGTGGTGTCATCTTTCCGGATATATATATGTTGACTTCGTTGAGGGTGGAGCAGAGGTCATGGTCAAATACGTAGCTGGATTTACTGGCCTATATCTTAGTCGATTCTTCAATAATTTATCACAGCGTAGAATATTTCCTGTTTTCCCTTTTTCCTCATAACTGTTGTTAATTCATTTATCCCGATAAATTGAGATGATTTACTGCAGCATATCGTAACTGTATCGTGCTGGGTGATAAAACAAAATGAATGTGTCAAATTCAACAACAGCATGTTAGCTCAGGGGAAGAGCGCCGGGCTCATAACCCGGAGGTCCCTGGATCGAAACCAGGACATGCTATTTTTCTTTTTCCCTTTTTGTTGGTTTTTGTACCCCATTTTCTTTTGCTTTTTTGTCTGGGCTGCTGCATAATGATTGGTTCCTTTCCGTATGCCAAGTCCGGCCAACCTACTTTAAGCGATCGTGCATAACTACTCGCTTCGGCTTTCAGCATGTCACAAAAGAAGCATTCACCTCGGACAATGAACGATTAAAGCAACTTTTCAAAAAGATAACCAGCCGTGACTCTGGTTCATGGTTGACAATGGTGAGATCGCATTCAATCAGTGATATGCATCATGTCGCAGTTCGACTGCCATATCGGGACAACATCAGATGCTGAGACTGTACAAAGCTTGCCTCTACTTATACCATGAGTCATACTTCGCACCTAGTTCATAACGCTTGGATGAGGGAATCCCTATACAGCATTAATATCCCATTGAGGGGAAATATTGCCAGCTTCATAAGTCTGCTTATCTTGGATTGAATATGCGGATGAGGATTAACAGCAACAGGCAAAATAACGTGTCGCCAACTCCAATCATGAATATCTAGATAGCGGTTTACCTCCACTCATCGCCCTGGCAAAATCGTTGACTTCCGGCTCGGATATAGCCAACCTGCCATCGTCAAATATCGCCAGTCTCTAGTCGGTGTCCGATACGTGTGCTAATGATCTAACCGCAGAGTTCTGTTGAAAAATCTCCAGTCCAAACGAATGTTCATCCCTGATGCTCCGTGGGTAAACCATAAAACCATCTGGGCCATGGCTGGGAAGCTGTACTGCTGCTTGAATGCACCTACTACTCACCATCCGTTGAGTCAGTCTACCTCGAGGCAGTGCTATCCTTCCTCGACACTACGGCCGAAACGAACGACACCATCAGCACTACAAGCATGCGCGCAAAGACCTACCGGCACGGACCTTACAAGATCCCAGTAGATCATGGTAGCGGACCTAGTCAAGGAAAAGATGGTCTTTCTGTCTTCGACAGTATCTACCAAGGGCTTGCGACTGGGGTCGTTAGACCAACGCCTAAGCCATCCGGTACTCCACTGAGCGGATGCTTCGACGTGACTTAAAACTCCCCAGAGTATGTGTCGCTCAATCCTTGTCGAAGAACTTGGGGCGGTATGGTGAAGGCGTGGGCGCTTTGCATTTGGTGGTTCCCCGAGGCCTGTCTGCTGACGGCACCGAATCCAGAATTACTCTCATGGGAGAGTGGTGTACTCGAGTTCGGTCAAGTTCGGGGCTAGTATTGTTGACACTACCGTTGGGAATCCGGAACTGAGAATGAAGGAGATCTGATCAACGCTGAGCTCGAGGATCAAGACTACGCAGTCGCGGCTGCGTGGCAAGCTGGAGAGTATGGGGCCTGCGGTGATTGGTCGTTTATGAGAGCCAGAGTACGATGTTCTGCTATCCGAGATTGAGTCAGGACCATGTGGGCAGGTTACGGGAGGAATATCACGTATATCTGATTGCATCGGGCACGGTGAGTATTTGTGGCTGACAAACGGCAACGGGGACTATTGCGATGTCGCTGGTCTCGGCGTAGCGGTGTTTCGGACATATCAGTCGGTTTTCGAGGTGGATACAATACAAGTCCCCGGTAGATTATATTGTCCATTTGTCATCCAATTCCCGTCCTTTGGCAAATGCCGGAAAAGCCGGCAAAAAGTACATCAATCTTGGAGATCCGCACACTTTATCTCCGCATTAAATCCGGATATGATATTCAAGTAGTATAAATCTCCCACCACGACATCATTAACAATCAAGAGCCTTGTTCTGAGGACTAATAAAGACCAAAATGCCCTCCATCAAAAACTTCACAATCGTCATTTTCGGCGGCAGCGCCGGCATCGGCTACGGCGTCGCCGACAAATGTCTCTCCGAAGGCGCCATCGTGCACATCGCCTCCTCCAACCCCTCCCGCATCACTCAGGCCGTCTCCTCCCTGAAAGAAAAGTATCCCGCCGGGCAAGTAACAGGCCACACCTGCGATCTCTCCCTCCCCGACGTCGAGCAACGCCTCGTCAAACTCTTCGAGGAAATCGGCTCTTGCGACCACATCGTCTACACCGCCGGGGACGCCTTGGCTGTCAAGCAGCTCAAGGACGTCGATCTCCAGTTCATCCAGAAGGCTGGACACATCCGCTTCCATGTCCCGCTGCTCGTCGCAAAACTTGCCCTGCGCGTCCTGAAGCCAGGGTATACCTCGTCGCTGATCCTGACGGGGGGTGCAGTCGGGGACCGGCCGCAGCCGGATTGGGCGGTTGTTGCGGGGTATTCGGCTGGGCTGCATGGGATGGTGCCCGGTCTGGCGTTGGATATGAAGCCGCTGCGGGTGAATTTCGTGAGTCCTGGTCCGGTGAAGACGGGGTTGTTTTCGGATGAGGTGGCGGAGATGTTGGCGAAGAGGACGACGCTGGGGAAGGTCGGGAGTGTGGAGGAGGTGGCGGAGGCATATGTCTATCTGATGAAGGATACTAATGCCACGGGGAGCTGTGTGAGCTCAAATGCAGGGTCTTTGTTGGTCTGAGCGATCTAGTTCATGCAGGGCGTATGCAAAAGGTAGAGGGTTATTACAATGGATATTCCCGCATTTGTTGGTAAATTCAATGAGACGGAGTTGTCCGGTTTAGTACCAAGGCGTGATCATCATGTTTCTTCACACGAATCATAATCTGTTCAAGCTCTGGGATATCAGTATATTCTTGATATGATAGATAACATGTTGATAGGCAGTGGCTGTTTTATCTCACTCTATATCAGAGATAAGGACGGAGATGCCCTAATAGGATAATCTGATAACCTGGTCCTATCGTCAACATACTATGGAGACTAGCTTGACATGCCACTTCAGCATGCGTGATTCTGTTAGTTAATGGATACAACTCTGCTGGTGCTGACCTAATGTCCTGCAGCACAACAACCCCGCATCCTAGCTTCCTCGCTCTTGTTCATATTGACTCATTCCTGGCCTGGTACAGTAACATCAAGGATAATCCTCTACATTAGAAATCAAATGGATCCAGAAATACAGTACGTCCTCGGGCTGAAAGCTGTCCGTGAACGAGCCCATCGAGTTCTACAACTCGCAGAGGAAAATGGCCTGAACCACTTCGAGTACCATCCTGATCGCCTCCAGGATGCAGTACAATACGTGATAAGCATCATCAAAGTTCGTTTATTCAGATCGGAACAGGAAAGATACTAACAGCCTTTAGCGCGACTTTGGACCAAACAAGTACCACCTCATCCCGCCTCATGGCCGCTGGCAACACTTTGAAGTCGGCGGTATCAACCGCCCTGATAATTTGCTGAAGCAGTCGAAGAGGAACGGGGCGGACGCACTCGAGCAGACGCGTAGTTTAGTGGACTTATTCTTCGTCTCGGTGCTGCTTGACGCGGGAGCAGGTGACAAATGGCGGTTCACCGAGCCAGGGACAAATATCGTCGTTGGTCGTAGCGAGGGAACCGCATTAGCTTCGTACAATATGTTCCTGAATGGCGACTTTACGACTGCCCACAGTGAGAGAAGGGATATCGTTCTGGGTTGGTACAATCCTCCTCTAGTGAGTGCAGTACTGAGCATCAACAGGGCAAGCCCTCAAGGACTTTGACGCTGCAACACTGCACCGCGGTTTCCAGATAGAAGAGAAGACGAATCCCCTTGTCGGAGCGTCGTCGCGCGTCGAGCTACTCCGAGCCCTGGGCCGGTCACTCCTCAACCTCCCAGAGATATTCGGTCCGGCGGGCCGCCCAGGAAACCTAGTTGGTACGTTCTCGTATCCTTATCAACAGATACAGTCTAATGACAGCAGACTATCTCCTTTCCCAATCCCCAACGCCAACAGAAATCAACTACGAAACCCTCTGGACCACTCTACAAACCGTCCTCCTGCCCGTCTGGCCGGCAACCCGCACCCACATCGACGGCCACCCCCTCGGCGACGCATGGCCCCTCCAAGTCCTCGCAGACGACGCAGAGCGAACCGCTCAAAAGTCAAAATGCGCGCACATTCAGCCCTTCCACAAACTCACGCAGTGGCTCGCGTACTCCCTGACCGTCCCCTTCGAGCGCCTCCTCGGCGTGAAATGGGCAAACATGAATCTCGGCACCGGGCTCCCCGAGTACCGCAATGGAGGCCTGTTCGTCGACCTTGGTGTTCTAACCCTCAAGCCTGATGCTGAAGAACGGGGACTGCAGAATTCCGGGGCGAGACTTCCGGCGTTTGAGGCGACGTCGGATGAGATTGTGGAGTGGCGGGCGATGACAGTTGCCCTCTTGGATAAGCTGCATGCGCGAATTATGGACAGCGAGGAGTTTGCTGGAGTGAGGTTGAGTCTTGCGCAGGTTTTGGAAGCTGGGAGCTGGAAGGCTGGACGGGAATTGGCGGCTGAGAAGCGGCCGGTGACTAGATCGAGCCCGATTTTGATACTGGGTGATGGGACGCTATTTTAGCGATTCGTACATCGAGTGTTGAACGTTGGAAGTATTTCTAGAGCTAGACTAGTTGTGGATTGGATATGGGTTGATCCACTACCTATCTAACCCACCGTCATATCCATCCTAGGGTCGACCCCTAGTACTCTGGCCACACAGCTCAGCGGCAATGTGTCTGATGCTATGTGGAACCCCGAGGACTAGGAATACATACATAGTCATCTATCTTATTACTAATCTTTCTTCCGACCTTGTACCCTCTAACCTGCTTAATGCAAGTACTGGGTAATGTGACCAATGCATTTCAGATCCCCGTTGACGGTATGGACCTAATAACTATGCTAGCTATGTATAACAAGTGAAACTGCTAGTAGAGAGACAATAGAGGTGTTAGGTATTGGACCACTTTGCCAGCAGTACTTATGACAAATCCAAGGTGAAGCCGCACCTGTACAGTAACGGCACAAGAGGATTGTCAGAATAAAATAGATAAAGACAACTAGGCAATCCCACTGAGAATGACGGGCCTATAAGATCTACAGATTGTACCGGTTCTTCAGATGACGCCACCAGTCACGGAGCATCCAGATATCAAACTCGGTAATCTGTGTCGCACTGCCTGCCAGCATGATGAAGTTCGTCTGGCCGGTGGGAGTCCAGTCGTAGAAGTCTGATATGCAGTGTCAGCACATACTTAACCAAGGGAACAATAAACAACTGACCGTCCAAGCCAAACGTATGTCCAAGCTCATGCAGATAAATGTGGATATTCTCCGAATTGACATTCTGCATGAAATACTCCTGGCCCACGCGCTGGCCCCAGTCGCCGCCCGCGCCGCCCTGGAAACCATCCGTGAGCCACAGGCTCTGGTCTACGATCGTTAGCCATAGGAGTCTCGAGCAGGGAGGGCGCATACCGTAGTGACGACTCGCACCCGCCGGACAACCACTGTAATCACCGTCCTGGTGGAAGAACCGTCCACACGCCGGATCGCACTCGGGAATCCCGCCTTCGTCCTGGTTGGTGTAGATGTCCAGTCTCGAGGTGTCGCCTTCCAGGAGGGACCGATCGCGCACGGCGTATCCGACGACGTTCACCTCGACGGTTTTATACGGCCAGCCGTCGAAACCGGCGAGCCCAGCGATCCACTTATTGAAGGAGCGGCTCACCGCAGCGGCGATCTGCGTGCGTTGTGCGGCAGTCACCTTCTGGTTCGAGTCCCAGCGCACGCAGTAGTTGATTTTACCGCCGGCTGCCATAACCTGGTCGTAGCCATAGTTCTTGAATCCCATAGGGTTGCTGTACGTGGCCATTTGGTGCTCCCAGACCTGGATGTGTGCAGAGGGTTAGCTGGTGGGCTTTCAGGCTAGGGGTGGGAGGGATGTGTACCTCGTTGAGAGGTTGGACGAGATTAGCTGGGGGATTCCAGGACGCAGTGCCCTGGCGCTTCTCAGCCCATGGGCTGGCAGCTGGGGCGTCGATATGTCCAGGGATCTGGCTGTCCTGCAGCGGGAGAGCGCAAACGGAGCTGGCCAGCAGCTGGATTGCGGCGAGATAGAAAGTAGCCTTCATTATATACAAGTCAATGCAATATAGAGAAAGAGAGCTTGATTAAAGAGAGAACTAGCTATTCAATACCTATGGAGGGATAGTGAAGGCATCAAACATGGGTCCGGGACAACTATATATGCCTGCAATATGGCGGAAGATAACGCCAAGAATCAGGGGTTTATGCCTTTGGTCGGACGGTAAGACATTTCCTCCTAATTGTTCCCTCCATGGTCATCTTCAGGGTCATACTTCAGGGTCATCTCCGCCAATGGAACTGCTTCTCTGTATGTCAAAACGGAGCGCCAAGTGTTTGAGTCAGGAGGGCAGGCTCTATGGGGCTCGACCATTCATGAACTAAACAAACTCCAAACAGCGGAAGGGACATGCCAAGCGTCCGTCAATCTATTAAAAACAGCCCCTGACTCCAACAGGCGCATGACTCGTAGAACATGGAATTTTTGCCGTCAATGAGGACAGGTCAATCTATTTCAGGACTGTGGTTCTGCTAGCCTCCATGAGATTTACATGTCTTCAGTCAGGATGTCCGCTTCCTCAACCCACGCAAGCGCCCTTGCATCATTGGCCTCATCTCGGTAGATGGCGCGAATGCGGATCATGCCGCTTGTGTCATACACTTCATCCCATTTGAGGGACGCATACTTCGGTCCCAGCTCATCACGGATGCACCTCCGAGCCTCCTTGTTCGCTTGCTCGATTGTGGCCCTCGTTTCCACCTCAGCTGGGTAACAAGCCGCCATCATGGGATCGACAGAAAAATCTTCTTCAATCTGCATCTTGACTTTGTACACCTTCCTATACGAAGGGGTATTTAGCTTTCCGTGAAGGAGCAGTATGACCGTTGACATGGGACCTGTACTTTGGCCCGTCAACCATTCTGCAAAGATTGGTTCAATATATTCTGTATAGGCCCTCCATTCTGGCGAGGCCATTTGGCGGAAGCTCCGTACCATGGCGAGAGGGTCGACTGGAGGGCGCTCGGCATCTTGATCAATCCAACTAATAGATACCTGATCCAGGGAGTCTTGTAGCTTCTTTTTCTCGGCTGGACTTATGTTGCCTGGAATTTCAATCCAGCGATAAAAGGCATCTTCCAAGACCAATATCCGAGCATAATGATCGATGGCTGCGAGCTTCTGAGAGAACGACAGCGTGTCCTGGAAGTCTGCCACCGTCCAGCGGGGTTGGTCGTCTAGGACTTCAGTCTGGATCAAAACGGCCAGCCACCAGACCAAGGGGTTGGTGTGAGGAGTAGCCGTAGCGTCTTTGATGATCTTCACAAAGAAGGTAGTGGCCATCTCGCCGAGAACTTTCAGCGACCGTCCTGACTTGGCATAGTACCGAATGGCGTCAATGTCGTCTTTGAGAGTCCAGGATAGGTTCAGTCCATGAGGCTCTAGGGCACCGTCTGCACCATACGACTTCCAATTGAAGACAAGAAACGCCAGCAACGATGTCATACAGAGATGGCCTGTTTCCGCTTCTCCTGGTCCCGCGGTCGTGCCCATGTCTCAAACTCTTTGGCAGGCGGGGCAGCAGATCGCGAGAACTGGTTCATGAGGTTGCGGATTTGTGAGGGCCATCGTTCAACCATTGCATCGCTGTCAGTAAAAGTCTGTGTGATTGCGACCGCAATCCTGTCGTTGATGTGTTTCGTGGTCGGGCCCTTAGCTGCGTGGAAGCACTGCCGGGCTTCAGCGATTGCTTGCTGCTGAGCATCCGTAAAACCAGCGGAGGTATACCATTCTTCAAGGATCGAATCCATTTCGAATTTGATGCTGGGATAAGGCTTCTGATGGTAGCCTGTTTATACGAGCCGATGATTGCCAGTGAGTAAGTCGACGTGTGGGAACACACCGCGTGAGGGGAATTAGCCAAGATGGTTACCCCTCCATCATCCATGCATCCTGCAGGCTTACAATCATCCAGGAGACAAGATCGCTGTATTAGCCGTCAACTCTTTCATGCTATGCATAAGCATAGCATCTAATTTAAACCAAGGATTGAGTGCGGACAAACCTTCGCATTGACTAGTATATTTGATCCCCCTTTACCAATGGCAGGCCAAAAGCGCAAAGATACGACGCGATCATCAAAGCAACCATCTACAATGCCCCGAAAGGTTTCAAACAAAAAGAACAAGAAAGACAGCACCTCCGACACCCAGCGCTGCAATCAACATGCGTCTGTCTTCGTCCGTCTCCCACGCGAAATCCGCGACATCATCTACCGAGAAATCTTCGTCTTCCCCGTAACCGTCCACCTCGCCTACGTGGGAACTACACGAACACGCAAATTCCGTAGCTTTCTCTGCGAGTTATCCGAAGATGAGCAGCCCGAGAAGCGCCCGCAGCCGCTCTGTCCATGTTGTCGAGTCAACCACCACCGCTGCTCACCACGGAAGGGCACGTCTGACGACGTCGTGGAGCGTCCTTCGTCCGAGGCTCGAACCCAAGCTAGGGTTCTGGCGTTGCTGCGGAGCTGTAGAAGGGTGTATGTTTGCTAACTCTCTGTTGCTGAACGACGTTGCTGAGAAAGGTAGGTACGACGAGACGGTTGATATGCTCTACCGCGAAAACACATTCTACATTGAGAATCCGCGCACCCTGCTGGAACTCCCGTCGTCTTTATCCCCGGCGCGACTCAGTTCGTTCCGGCATCTGTACCTGGAATCGGCACGGTATGGTGAGAATACCCCGGCTGACCGTTTGGATAAATGGGCAGCGGTTGTTGCTGTGCTGGAACGACTTGACGGACTTGAAACCCTGGTTGTTATTCTACGGCCGATGTTTGGGTTGGAATGGGAGGTTGAGGAGCTGATGAAGCCACTTGAGGCGGCTGGGCTACCGGTGTTGAGGGTAGTGAGAGATCCCATGATCTACATGGCTCGTGCTAGTTCGACGACTCGTTGTAATCTTCATGCGCTGAGATGATACTTGTATATCTCGAAGCATAGCTATGGCACATGTTAATTAGACGTACAGCTTTACTGTCCAACTACATCTGCATTGGAAGATAATAGCCTAGTATTTAATTCAACGCAGTAACCCCAGATATATCCAATCAGACAAGATTAAGTGAGTGAATGATACCTAGGTAGTCTGCAATCCAGGAGTCTAATCCAAGCCTAGACGTATCCTTTACTATGTGGAGACCATCAATCTATGATGCAAACACTGGCACATCTCGAATAAAGAATGTAACTGTTGAACCTTGCCGGAGATTTGTCACATTCATTGGTGCATCGACGACAACTGTTGGCCATGTTCCATTCTTCCAGTCTCCACTGCGGATGCCCACGGAAGCATCTTCCATATTTCCATTCCCGCCTTGCATTCCCCTGGTAATGGTCAGGGTTATCTAGGGCATTCCAGGTTCATGATTCATGAATTCTGTTAGAGCAAGGTACGTACTGAGACATAGGTGGACATCACGATGTCGGGGTCGAGCGAATAGGATGATTCATCTTGCCTCACTGAGTCAGTCTGCGCAGTAATCCAATGCTTAGTCCAACTCGACCAGCTTTGGCCTGGTCTGCGAGGGACGAATTGACTTTGCTTGAGCATATCCTGCGCCCCTTCTGAACTTTATAATCCACAGCCTGCCTGCCTACCTACAGAGGTACTCCTCTCACATGTGATTTATGATTGAATGCAACCGCAGTGGACCAGCTTAGTGCCAACCATGACAGGATTTCAGGGCTGTGAGGGTATTGGACGTCATAATCCTCTAATCGTTGGATTTGAGTCAGTGATTAAGAGCGAGGATCAGTGGATAAATAATGTAATGAGCAGAGGTTTCTTTTACCAGAAACTATCGCTTCGATAGCTTGATTTATCTGTAGATACAATATCCTCCCACGCCATGAGGTCAGGATCCGCCCGAAAACGCCCTTCAGACGCTGACGATCACTGCCAAGCGACCCATGGGGCGCGGAGACGGATCAGCAGGGCCTGCGACCGGTGCCGTGCGCAGAAGGCCAGAGTAAGTCAATCGTTTTTGTGACCGATACAACAGCGCTGACTTTTCAGTGCGATGGAGGAAAGCCCTGCATTCGCTGCGGGGACAACATCCCTTGCGTCTATCAGGAGAAGAAGCCGCTGCGACGCAAGTATCCCGCTGGGTGAGTCCTCTACCTCGTTGTTAGATGAAGCTGACAAATGAAGATATGTGGATATGTTAGAGGAACACCAGGCGTATCTGATCACCGGTTTGAGGAAGTTATACGAATGCATTCAGCAGGATGCCAAACTCCCAGAGGTCGATCGCGACGGCAATAACCGACCGATTGTCCACGAACTGCTCGATAAACTGGGTATCTTTGAGGAACCGATGAAGGAGCATAGGCCGACAATGACTGGAAGCAAAGCGGACGCAAAACCGTCTCTGGGACGTCTGGATGGAAACAATATCGTGCGCGGAGCCATAACCAGGTTGCCAGAGTCATCTAGAGCCTGGTCATCCACTCAAGACGTTAAACCCACTCTTGCCTCAAGTTCAAATGCAGGGCTGAATCTCCCCCGCCGCTTGACACTACCGAACCATATCCCTCTCAATACGGGGATGGCACAACAGCGGTGTGCGCGCTCGCGCCACGGTCAAGCCGGTGCGGCGGGGTTCAATCGCCGTCAACGACCAGTCGATCTCAGCAATGGATTCTGGAGGTGGTCGTTTGACTTTGCCGACTTTCTGGCTGTCTCGAGTCGGGATGGATTGTGATGATCCCGCTTGTTTGGTGGGTGAGAGTCTGCGATCATCAAAGCGTAGCTTGATAATAGTGTCACGAACGCAGAAGACTACAGCCTAATGGCTTGCAGTCGAAAAGTACCGGATATGAAGTTATCCATCCTACTGGTGAGTGAAAGCTCGAATAAATTGACCATGAATACTAATCCAGGTAAGGTATCAAAAACGATTGAAGCGCCTAAGGACTATCCACATGCACAGAGTGCAACATATCCAACATCTACAGCCGGCAACAAACCTACATCGCTCTGCAGACGGCCAAGGAAAGACAGGTCTACGACTCCGTCAGACCCTCCCCCTCGTAAATCTTGGGCAACGGCTCGAGCTTCTGCCGAAGAATCCAAACCCGAAAATGCCAGACGGCGTTCCTAAGCTGATACGCAGCGTGCTTCCTGGTCGGAACAGAAAAGACCTGGTCCAGTTCCTCCAACGTAAGAGCTGCAGACGTTAGTATTAGCACCCATACGAAACTAGGCGACGCAAACTCACCCTTCGTCTCGGGAACAAAAAGCAAGATCAACCCCCAGCCGATCAAACACCACGCCGCGTACCACCCAAAGGCACCCTGCGGCTTGAACGCCTCCAGCAGCATCGGCCACGTAAACGAGAGGATGAAGTTGAAACACCACGTCGTCGCCGTCGCCCACGACATCCCCACCTCGCGCACGTGCAGCGGGAATGCTTCCGCCGAGTACGTGAACGGCACGGGACCCTCGCCCGGCGAGTAGAAGACCTCGAACAGATACATCCCTGTCGTGACCATCGCGACGCGCTTCTTGCTGAAGGGATTGTCCGGTTCGATCCAGAAGGAGAAGCCGGACCAGAAGAGGCAGATGGCGAGCAAGGGGAAGGTGAAGAGGAGGAGGTTGCGGCGGCCCCAGGTGTCGATTGTGAAGAAGGCGGGCAGAGCGAAGACCCAGTTGAGGATGCCGGTGCCCATGGATGCGAGGAGGGCTTGTTGGATGCTGTAGCCGGAATCGACGAAGATGGTGGTTGAATAATACGCGATTACGTTGACGCCGCAGAACTGTTGGAATTAGCTACTTGTCTGGACTGTCGTAAAGGACCGAAGAGGGATGGAATGATTTTCGAAGATACTATTGGCGTACTTACCTGCTGCATAAACATGACAATCCAGCTAGCCAGAGTAGCCCGACGATTGCGGGGAATCGTAAACAGTTCGATAAACATGGTGAAAAAGTTCTTGCCCTTGTTCACCTTCCTCTCCAGCTCCACTCCGACATATGCGTAGTACAGATCCCGGGCGGCTTGCAGGTCGGTCGGCCGGAGGATCCGGAACGCGGCAAACGCCTTGTCGATCTTGTTGTGTTCGATCAGCCATCGAGGAGATTCAGGACAGAAGTAGACTTGTGCGCAGACAATCAGCGGGAGGACAACGGTCGAGCCCAGCATCAGACGCCAGGAGAGGTCGTCGGACAGCCCCATAAATGCGACGCCCATGATGTTCCCCAACATGATACCGAACGCTGTCCACATCTGCCACATCATGACCAGAGCGCCTCGGATCGGGGCCGGTGAGCATTCTGCCGCGTAGACGGGCACAGTCGACGACTTGGAACCGATCCCGAGACCGAGCACGAAGCGAGCGATGAAGAGGTTGACCCAGGAGTTGGCGACTCCCTCCCAGATCGAGGCGACGGCGGCGATGAAGCAGGAGAGGAAGATTGTACCTCGTCGGGCGAGATAGCGGTTCAGAGGTTCGGTGAGCCAGCATCCGAGAATGGCGCAGGCCAGGTACGGTGCACCGACGATGAGGCCAGTCAGGTATCTCTGCATCGACGGGGAAAATCTCGAGTTTTCAGGGTGATCCTTGTCCGTGATGTTGAACTGCTTCAGGTAGATGGCCTGCGCACCATTGTTGACCGTTTCATCCATGCCTTGGACTGCTGCGGCCAGCGAGCACATGGCTGGCGTAGGTCAGCTCTGCCTCGAGTACTCTGCTATCCTTTGGGGTATACCTACCAGCCAGGAAATAAAGTCGCCATGGCTGGGACCATTTGTGGGTATTCTCCCGGCGAAGAACCGCTTTCTCGTCCTCGTGGAGCTCCGGCAAATCCAGAGCACCAGCGGGATTCTGCGAGATGAGGGCTCCTTTGCGAAATACATCGATGTGGTCCATCAAACCATATTTCTGACAAAAGTCTTCCACATTCTGCAGCAGTTTATCACGGGGAACATTGGCGAGGGGATTCGCAAATACCGCATTGAGCCTATTGGGCGATCGGCCTTCCAGGTCGAAAATGTCCTTTCGCTGAGTGGGATCCTCGTCATGTTGAAAGGCCGTGGACTTTTCTCCTTTGGGACCAACCATCTCATCCGAGGGGGAGGAAGGCAAGTCACCTTCTTTCATGTTGTTCGTGGTAATTTCCAAGATAACAAACTAGTCGAGAGATAGTACTGAGTCTGCAGTGTCTCCAGCCGTGTTTGTCCAAGGGACATAACCTGGGGTAATGCGGGCACAATTTCTCCACTGGATCAGTTGTGGGGATAGTTCCAGTCTTATATCATCTGGGGAAGATTGTTTGGAAAACAGGAGAAGTCTCCATGAAGGCTGATTCACTCGCTGATGGAGACGCACATTGGACGCTCAGTTGACTGATGAGGCATTTTCTACTACAGTTCCAACACTGGAGTAGATAGGTGACAGCCAGACCATCGCCATGCTATGGATAATCCCGGAAATATAGTCGACCTTTGTCTCTGACTGGGCTGTCCCGGCCACAGAAAGCCGGATATGCTGTCATAATCCCAGGGATCCCTGTCCTCTTAGACGGTTTGCTTTGAGTTCAGTCGACCAAGCACGAAGGATAGCCGAGTAGCTGAGTGCAGGCGAATCGGAGAGGGCATCTTCGAGGGTGGGATGAGATCAGTGGCTGCATGGATATTCGCTGGTCCATCACTTGACACTCATCTCTGCCAATCATTGCAACTGTCGGTCTTGCGGGGAGAGTTCTGCGCCCATGCGGGGGCTGAAGCCACCCGTCATTAGCATTTGGGCTAACTGTTAGTTGGCTACTGGTTACTGGGTAAAGAGGTACTGTGGAGGTACTTGAGCCAAAACGCCTCCCGTGCGCCAATCCGGCTCAAGCATACCCAAGCAGCCTCATACAGTCTTAACTGCCTTGTCATGTATTGGCATCACAGCAGCTGTAGACCATGTGTAGAACACACTTTTCTAGATTGATCTGAGTCATACATTATGCTGGTTGTCTGACAGGTTAATTGCACAACACGAGCCATTTCGCTATGCCAAGAAGCTATGATGCCATCGCCTAAGGTGTAATAACATGCACAATTTGCATGCAGTCACTGTTCTGAGTCAGGCATGTTTCAGTTTGTAGTGGGCCAATACTCACAGCTAGGATTGAAATCATAAAATAATAATATTATCTCAGCCGCGCCCATAGATATCCATCCATGAATTGGTGTCAGCATTGACCCGGTCAATATTTATTAATAAGGCTGTCGTAACACCACAGCCATTCAAGAATGAAGGTGTCATGCTTAATCGCAGTATTTGATATGATCTTTTAGAACATGACTGATAACTTCCTATTTGATTGGGACCCATACCTGTTGTCGCTAGATCGCAAATGATGTAACTGGCCATGATATATAATGGGAGTGAGTCGCTTAGCCATCCCACCCAGAATTAGCAGCAGGCAAGGGAGACAATAACAGGCGTTTACTGTCAATCTGGAGAGAAATAAATAAACATATAACCCAACAAAAAATTACCCCTTTCCTCTTTTCTTCCCATTATGCCCAAAGAGTACCTAGTAGAATTAAGTGAGTGGTCACATGATACACCAGTAGTGGTGGATAGCCACGTGACAAATAACTCAAACAGGTTAATGGTCATGTGATATAAACACTGGTAGAATCAACAGATCCGTCCTTCCTCTGTTGTTGCACAATCATCCGCGTTCCGTCCAAGCATGCTGTTTCCTGCAAGTCAGTTCCACTGCAGAGGTGTTTCTTGCATCAAGGGTGACAGCAGTTTTGCTACCATAGAAGCTCAACACATCGTGTTGGAGGCAGTACACCATGACGCGCAGGAAATTTCATTGGCTCGACGAAAAGGACAAGGCTGAAATGATTCTCTGACGCTGTAGCTGATGCCAAGCCTAGCCTCGCATCCTCAAAGCTGACCTACCCCTCCTCAACACCCCGTCGCACCGATTCAAGGGTTTTCAAAAATGAGTTTTGAGCACAAATTTCTCTTTCAGATTCCTTGAAGTCATGCATGGATCGCGATCGCACTATGATTATACCGTGGCATGGATCAGCGCGCTGCCGCTGGAGATGGCCGCCGCGAGACAGATGTTCGACCAATTCCACGACAGACTACCCCAGCCGTTGACCGATACAAACACCTACACGCTGGGCAGTATCTGCGGCCACAATGTGGTTCTGGCATGTCTTCCGTCCGGTGTCTATGGTACTACTTCGGCTGCTACAGTCGTCGCTCAAATGCGCTCTACCTTCCCTAGGCTTCAATATGGGCTGCTGGTGGGGATCGGGGGAGGCGCGCCCAGCGAGAAAGTTGATATACGGCTTGGCGATGTGGTAGTTAGTAAGCCCACGCGCACCTACGGCGGAGTAGTGCAATATGACTACGGCAAAACCGTGGCTGGTGGGCGGTTTGAGCGGAGTGGCATGCTCAACAGGCCTCCTGAAATACTTCTCACCGCGATGTCGAAGCTACAGGCAGAGCTGCACTGTCACGAGAACCCAATATCTACCTTACTCCTGGAGCGATCCCAGGCAAATGGAGGAATTGGCTCGAGTTTTCCCTGTCCAGGCCAAGGCCGCGACCTGTTGTTTAAGTCGACGTATGCCCATGTGGGTTCAGACGATACATGCCAGAACTGTGATGCACGCCATTTGGTTCCCAGGACAGCCCGTGCATCTGACGAGCCCGAGATTCACTATGGTTTAATCGCATCCGCAAACCAGGTTATGAGGGACGGCCCAACACGCGACATGCTGACTCGGAACCTCAATATTTTATGCTTTGAGATGGAAGCAGCGGGGCTGATGAATCATCTTCCCTCCCTTGTGGTTCGTGGTATTTGCGACTATTCTGACTCCCACAAACATAAGGATTGGCAGCCTTATGCAGCACTAACGGCAGCTGCTTATGGCCGTTTACTACTATCAGTCGTTCCTGTTCCATCCTCCGGGAAGGATGATCACTTTCTCACAATGGAGGAAAAGGAATGTTTAGAAAAGCTTTTCCTGACAGACCCCGGAGATGACCTAAATGCGCTCAAGCGCAGGAAAGGAGGTCGAGCTGCGGGGACGTGTGAATGGATTCTGGAATCACCAGAAATCAGGCGATGGCTTGGGAAAGAAAGTCGAGCTGCAGGGTATGAATCGGATATTCTGTGGCTTCACGGCAACCCAGGAACAGGCAAATCAACGATGGCTATCACACTCGCCGAAAAGCTGCCCGAAGACCCCTTGCTCGCACGTGGAGATGCCATGCTTGCGTACTTCTTCTGCGACTCGAGTTCTGAAAACCACAGAACTGCCACGGCTGTATTGCGTGGTTTGCTCTATCAAACAATCCAGAAACGTCCGTCATCACTGGGATCCCTTGTATCAAAGTATCGCGGTCACAAGGATAAGTTATTCTCCTCTTTCGATGCTTTGTGGTCAGTCTTGATGGAAATTGGGAATAGCAGCGGGATGAAATTGTACTGTATTATTGATGCCTTGGACGAATGCGACGATGAAGTGCTGGAATCTCTCCTACCACAGCTGAACCAAAGCTTTCAACCCAGTGATTCCCGACACAATCAGTACGGAATTCACATCTTGATAACAAGCCGTCCGTATGAAGAAATCAGAGTACATTTGGCTGAGTTTCTGAACCAAGACCTTGCTTCTTATCCTCAGGTCCGCAACGATCTTGCAATTTTCATCGAGCAGAAGGTCGAAGAATTGAGTGTGAAGAAGCACTACTCTGCAAATATTCGCCGCAATGTTGCCGCAATCTTGAATGATAAGGCTGAGGGAACGTTCCTATGGGCTGGTTTGGCGTGTGGTGAATTAGTCAGAGTTCGATCGAGGGACGCAGTTGCGACACTAGAAAAATTACCGAGTGGCCTTAGTTCAATGTACAAAAAGATGCTTGACATGGCTGTCGAAGATCGCCAGGAGGACAAAAGCACGATCTTCCAGTTATTGACCGTCATTGTGATTGCCCGTCGCCCATTGACTCTGTTAGAGCTAGCGGAAGCTTGCAATCTCTATGAAGCCGATGACCCGGAAGACCGGGTAGCATTTGTCCGTGAGGGTGTCTTCGATTGCCGTCTACTGGTCGTTATTCAGGATGACAGGGTGATGCTGCTCCACAAATCCGTCAAGGACTTCTTAACTCATTCTCAGAATGTCCATGTCATCAGTGAGCAGCTAGCTCATGCGGAGTTCGTTGGCCGTTGCATTCATGTCCTGACGCAGGAATTGGATGCTGAAAGATCGGTAATGTCTTCAATTCTGGAGAATGCTACGGGCGACCGTTTGTTCCTGTTTTATTGCGTGCAACACTGGCCTGAGCATGCTCATTTGGCAGGATCCGAATTCAAAATCTCAGAACGCCACGCCGCCTTCTTCGAACTAGACTCCGCAGCACGAGAGAGATGGTTAGACCTTCTTCGGCAATCCAATCTGTCCGTCAGCTATGTTCCATTCAAGTTCTCCATTTTTCACGTTGCGGCGAGATGGGGCATTCCTGCCCTCGTTTCCCATGCACTATCCAGACAGAGTCGCCTGTGCGAGCCAGGGAACGCAGAAGCGGAAAACTTCCATCTGCTGCGTGATCACCTTATTAATTCACGTTGTTCGAATGGGACCACCCCGCTCGAAGAGAGTGCTATCCAGGGCCATCTCAACGTGTTCGGCGTTCTGCTGGATTTGACCAGTGACCTAACGCCCCTGCCCGACGAAGTCATCGCCGCGGCGATTAAGAATCGGCGCAGAGGGGCCGGCCTCGTCAAGCTTTTCATTGATAGTAAAAGACTACAGGCTCTCCCAAAGAAATGTACACGGATAGCTTCTACCGAAACATGGGATTTGCTGCTGGATTACTTTGGTCTCGACTTTCATGTTTCTGAAGAAATGCTTCGGCATATTTGCTATAGTGAAAATGGCGCCGATATATTGAGGGCATTGTCAAGGAAGCTGCAACGTCGATTACCAATCACCAAGGAATTTCTTACAGTCGTCGCCTCGCACTGCGACGCAAGGTGTGCGGAGTTTCTGCTGAATTACGTCGGAAAAACGATCCCAATCAGTGCAGACTTCACCTATGCCGCTTTGATCAATAGTAAGCATGGCCCAGGTATAATTGACCTTCTGCTGGCTCGTTGGCAGAGGTGCTTGCTAGTCCTGGAGTGTCCAGAAGAAGACCCCGTTCTGCTAATCATGCAGCAGCTGCAGAGGCCCACTTTCAGACCAGAGAAGGTAGCAAATGTCTTGCGCGTGATTCAAAACAGAGGGTTCAAACTTTCGCCCTCGATGGCCCTCGTAAGACTGGTGGCAAACACCGGAGACGCAAATCTTTGCAAGGAAGTTCTGCAGAATGGGGAGGCGGTGGCCTTGATAAATGAAAGCACCCTAGTCTACGTGGCAGAGCGAATGACTGCAGAGATGTTCGACTTCTTCTCGGACACCCTGGGCAGTGAGCTTCCTATCAGCGCTCGCCTCGTTGAGGCTGCGGCTGCGAATTTGGAACATGGATGGCAGATTATCCAAAAACTGTTCAAGCTCTCAGGTGGTAATCTTCCTGTCTCTGACTTGACTGTTAGCCGTGCAGCACAAATAGCACAAACGCGGCGGCATGGCGGTCAAACCCTCAACTTCCTGCTCCAGCATTTTAAAGACCGCATTCCGGTCTCACCAAGTGTCGTTAGATTTGCTGCTGCCTCGGGTAGAGAGGGATACCCTTTCATTGAAGCAATACTCGATCGCTTAGGAGACAATGGGTTGACTGCGGAAGCCGACTTGATTCCCACTGTCATATCCGATGGCAGTGTAGAGCTACTGGTGTTTATACTGGATCGAACTGGCGCCTCACTCCCAATCACCGAGGAGACACTTGCTTTGGCAACCGGTAATCATTGGGATGGCATACGAATGGTTAGACTCTTAGCGCAGCGTGTTTGCGGGCTATTGCCCTGGCACGAAGAAGCGTTCAGAGGATGTGATGAAGTCAATATCCGTCCGATCTTCACCGAATGGTCAAATGAAGGCACTTTCACACATGAGATGATCCATGCCGCAGCGATCTACGTAGCCCAGGAGTCTATTACACTGGGAGACTCCGTGCATAAGACTCTCATCAGTTACTGGAAGCGAGTCGATTTTGCCGAAGATATTGCCCGAATACTCGTTCAAAGCAATAATATGAAGATTTTAGCAAATCTGCTGACTCTATACAATGACGTCTCGCTCATTGACAAGGAGACGATGCAACTCGCAGCGAAGAAGGATTCACCTGGGCCCTTGATCGATTTAATGATTAAACACCGCCGGGAGGATCTCATTTTGACGGAGGAGGTTGTCGAGACCGCGGCGGGGCATTCGTGGATGAGAAATGCGGCCATCACCTTCTTATTGGAGCAGTACGGAGAGATGACCCCTGTCTCGGAACAAGCACTCGTCTTTATGTTGCTATATTCCTCCACCAGAAATTCGACTGTAGCGCGCTTCCTCGAGGGTCGACCGGATTCAATCTTGAGGTCGCCGACGATGCTCAAAGCTGCCGCTGCAGGGGGTAATCGGCAAATCGTCGGAAGGATCCTTGAGTCTTATCCGTTCGAGATCACGGATGAGATTCTTGAAGCAGCAGTAAGGAATTCTCCAGGTGTGAAGGATATCTTTTGCATGCTTCTTGCCAAAAGCGGACGTCACATTACTGAGAGGATGATTCAGATTTCGTCCAAAAGAAGGGTTGAGAGCTATTCATTCCTTCTTGACGAGACCAGAGATAGGATTCCAATTAGCACTGAAACACTGTTTGCTGCTCTGAAAGGGCCATTGAATGCAGTCGAAACGCTACTCAGATATCCCATTGATGTGGACCAGATTACGGAAGAGATCTTGGTAATGGTGGGACGTTGTTTGGAGCCTGAACGGGTATTCCCCCTTCTCTTCGAACGATTCGAAGACCAGATAAATATCACCGAAAAGGTCGTTGCAGCCACAATCGAAAGTTCTCGTAACAGTCTATTCATTGCAAAGTTACTGAGCCGTCTCGATCGCGCGACGCCTCTCACTGAGGCAGTGCTAGTCGCCGCGGCAAAAAGCAAGCTGCCTACACCTGAGCTCATTGAGCTTTTTACTCGACTCCTGAGCATGCTCGGAGATGATAGGGTCATTACAGAAGCGACATTTGTTGCCGCGGCCGGCAACAAATCGAATGGTGCATGGATAATGCAGCTGCTACTCAGTCGTAGGGGTGATTTCGAGATTACAGCATTAGTGAGCAAGGCAGCCGTGTTCAAAGAAGACGATGCGTTCGGCGATATACCTCCCTACGTAATGGAAGCGCTTCTGGATCTGAAAGGAGACACAGTCCCAATCACCGAGGAGGTTCTGCTGGCGGCCACTAGGAACCTCACTTATAGGTACAGCATCTTCAGATTATTGGTAAGAGAAAGATTCGACTCTGTGCGCGCTTGTCTCGCCCAGAGGCTGTTGCTCACTATCGCGGCGAGTGGGGATATGATGACTCTGTCACTCTTGGAAAGGAGGTTTGGAACCACAATCACAAATGAGCTGCGCTCGATCTGTCGGTTGTATATTGGCGCCCGTGATGGCAACAGGCGGGCTGTACAGTCCCTTCTCCATCAAGGGGTGCCGCCAGATACACGAAGCGCCAGTGGAGAGACTCCCCTTTGGATGGCAGCAGCCCTTCAGCACGATTTGATCGTCAAGGACCTCTTGGCAACAAAAGCGGTAGACGTTGATGCTGTTTCAATGACCGGAGACTGGCCACTTATCAAAGCAGTGCAAACTTACAATGTCCCTATTGTACGCCTTTTACTGGCTGCAGGTGCGAATCCGAACCTGGCCGACAAGGACGGAAAGACAGCCTATGATTTAGCAGAGGAGCGGTCCTTCTTGCGAATGATGGCTATCATGAGAGAATATGGGGCTAAGTGAAACACATAATAAATTGGCGCGTCTGCTGTTGGAAAGAATGGAACTATGCATATCTCCTCAACACCAATGTACTACGGCTTCCCGCCATTCAACCATTTAATACGTGGTATCAATCCAGGTCTTCCAGCCGCTGCCAAGGACCGTGTCCTTGGTAACAGCAGCAGAGATGGAAGTCTCATACACTCTCGCCGAGGTGTCCGATCCAGCACCCGTGTTATTGTACTCATAGTAGAGCGGTGTTGCGCCCGCCGCCATGGTCGTCCAGCCCTTGGCGTTGATGATGTTTGACAACGCGGAATTCTGGTAGATGACACGGGCAAGCACACGCCATGGACGACCGAGGTAGACTTCACCGGCAAGACTGAGGCCGGATTTCCCATAGATGTTGCAGTGGTCGAACGCGTACCAGGTGGTCTCGTCGGAAGTCGTGCGCGACATGGCGGTGATGTAGCCGACGCCGACGGAGACGATGTCGCATTCGCCGAACCAGGCCGAAGCGTCACCGAAGATGTAGTCTACGGCTCCTGCAGGACATTAGCATACGTGGATGGACATGGATGCCGGGGAGAATACATACCCTCGATGTAGCAGTTAGAGTAGTATTGGCGACCGGCTTTGGCGTAGAGAGTGTCCTGGTAGCCGAGGAAACTGCATCCGTAGAAGCCAAGTCTGTCGGCATTGGCAACGAGACTATCATATCTTGTCAGTTACCTTCGGTAGATGGTTCTTGGGAGGCAACGTACGCCACGGCCTGCGAGCCCTCGCCGTAGCCATTGACAACATTGATGTTGTACATCTTGAACCCGGCCGACACGACGTTGACCGTGGCACTCTTATCGAGCGTTCCCGCCTGAGGAGAGGAGATGGTATGGGTGATGGTGACCACGTTCTTTTTGTAAGAACTGGTGTCGGTCGTCTCGCCATACATGGTCAGAATTCCCGGGTAGTTGATGGTGATCTGCTCGCTATACGTGCCAGCAGCAATGTAGATGCAGGCAGCGGACGTGGACGAGCCGAGAGCGCTCAACGCAGCGGCGATGGTCGAGTACTTGCCCGACGAGCCGACAGTGAGGCATCCGGACGGGGCGCTGGTGCGGCTACTCCGTTTCTCGAGGGGGGTTGCAGAGCCCGTGAGGGCAAGGCCAAGAAGGCCGAGGACGAGAGAGGGAAGATGCATTCTGGTGATGTCCTTGAGAAACGATTGTTGATACTCCAGGAAATCTCAAGAGCGACGATCGTCTTAAAACAAAAAGAGTCTTGCAGTCTAGTACAAAGCTCGACCTGGAGAAATTATCTACATGGCGTCGCCCCTTGAGACGAATTTCTCCGTGGTCAGGACCCAAGCTGTTTCATTTTTTTTTTTCCATGAATCGGTTGGCCAATCAACCATACCTCCAATTCTTCACGATCTTGAGGATCCCCCGGAGAATGCTAAAAGAAGCCAAGTTCGCTTTTATTGATCTATTTAGCCGGGTTTTCTCCACAAACCCCCTGTTTTTCCATCGGGCTAAAAACCCCCCTGTCCAAGCTGGGGACATCGTGATCCTGAAACGGAAGAAATACGGATAGTAGCGAGATGTAGTTAGTCTATCACACTAAGGGTTCGCTAGTTGGGAATGCGTAGATGAAGACGTAGATTTTCCGCGAATGGCGCGGAGTATGCATTGATTTAGATATCCCGTGCCCCAGACGCGTGGAGTCCAAATGCGAGTTGCGCCCATCGTGATTTTGGCTGAATGTAAAATCATCAAAGTTAAACGACGAATGCTTTGAGTCCCGAGTTTGTAATCTCTCTGCCCCATAAATTTATCCGCCTCGTCCAATGTAGTATATATGTGTCTGCGATCTCTCGTCGCCAACGCCATCTCAGATATCATTGATTGTAGAAGGAATTGGACAACATGGCAACGTATCGCAACCTCGCTCTTCTCTCTCTCTTGAGCCTATGCAGCGCTGCTCCCTCGCAGGTGGAGCGCTCTCCTGATGCAGTCATCCAGCCTCGTGCCGTCTGCACTCCCACCGCTGGTGGAAGCTCGTCCATCGACGATGTACCGGCCATCACCAAGGCCCTTTCCTCGTGCGGCAATGGAGGCACGATAGTATTTCCCGCTGGCTCGACCTACTACTTGAACAGTGTTCTGGATCTTGCTGGGTGTTCAAACTGTGACATTCAGGTCGAGGGTTTGCTCAAGTTCAGTGGCTCGACCGACTACTGGGGTGGCAAGACCGCTATGATCAATATCAACAAGATTAATGGCTTGAAGCTCCGATCTTTGACTGGCTCAGGTGTCATCGATGGCAATGGACAGAATGCGTAAGTATCATCTGCCCTTTTGAAGCAGGAGCTAATCGATGGCTATAGATACGATGTTTTTGCCTCCAATAGCAGCTATAAACGTCCCACTCTCCTGTATATTACCGGTGGTAGTAACATCGAAGTATCCGGCCTCCGCCAGAAGAACCCTCCGAACGTGTTCAACTCGGTCAAAGGCGACGCGGCGAACGTCGTTTTTACGAACCTTCGCATGGACGCAACCTCCAAATCCACCAATCCCCCGAAAAATACCGACGGCTTCGACATCGGTGCCAGCACATATGTCACCATCTCCTCCGTCAACGTCAGCAACGACGACGACTGCGTGGCCTTTAAGCCGGGCTGCAACTACGTGACCGTCGAGAATGTCACCTGTACCGGGTCGCACGGTATCTCCGTCGGCTCACTCGGCAAAAGCAGCGACGATACGGTGCAGAATATCTATGCGCATGGCATCACCATGATCGATTCTACCAAGGCAGCTGGAATCAAGACCTACCCCAGCGGTAACGGCCATGGCTTGTCAACAGTGAAGAACGTCWCTTTCTCCGACTTCACCGTGCAAGGCTGCGACTACGCCTTCCAGATCCAGAGCTGCTATGGTGAAAGCGCCTCCTACTGCACGAGTAATCCGGGCAATGCCGTCCTGCAGGATATCATTGTGAAGGGGTTCTCTGGAACCACGAGCAGCACATATGATCCCGTTGTCGCGAACTTGAACTGTGGCGCCCATGGCACTTGCGACGTTAGTATCAGTGATTTTACGGTCAAGGCGCCATCTGGAAAGGCAACTGTTCTGTGTGCCAACACGCCTTCAAGCCTGGGTGTGACCTGCACCTCGGGTGCTTCGGGTTGATTCTTCAGCAGATGATTGTTTCTGACAGATTGGTAAGAGAAATTCGGTCGTTGTGGTCTGGGTTGACCTGGATGTCAAAGGTCACACGCGGACCAGTCACTCTCCTATGTCTTCTTTGCTTCGTTCGAATGCGTACATGTTGGCTTTCTTGCCTTTTCTGCTGCGATGATTCTCGCTTGGCTATATGACTGTTCACAGATATTTACCCAGGTCAACTGTACTTTCTATAATCGTAATTTGCGCCATTTTATGCGACGTGTCCCGAGCACAAGACTCGGACAGTATCACGCTGTTACTGCCCGCAAAGCGCAATTGTTCCATAGCAAGCCAGTATGATGGTTGAGATAAGTCCGGCATTAGAGAATATGCCGCCGGTTAGAGAATTAGACACCGTTCTCAGCATTATCATAACCGCATCGACGACTATCTGCAATGGCTCGGTCTTCAGAGCCGCTCCCATCTCGACAACAGTACAAGAGAAGGAGCCAAGTCGTAGTGGAAAGCAACTATTTATACGCAATGCCTCCCCAGATCACTCCTCGAGCATCGATCGATCACTATTTGCTGCTTTCATTCACCGAGGTCCTCCGAGTTCCTACTCCAATCTAGTCCACCGGGGCGTGGGATGTACCCACGGAGGGGCCAGTGAGGCTTGAGAATGCCGACTCGGGCCGGTGCTCTCGTGTCATCTCACCGCCGTAAATAACAATCCGGTGTACAATGACTCGGGATCCCGGTCTCGGCTTGTTGCATCACTCTATGCGCTTTGTCCCTGTTTTCGGAGGGTGTGGAGGCTTGGATCGTCATGGGCCCACGGCTGGGTCGATCTCGGGGGAGTTCCGAAACCGTGATGTCCCTTGGCGGGCCAGGTTTGGGCTGGGATCCTTTGGTATACTTTGATATCATGGATATGAGCTTTATCATCCACCGTTGCAAGAGTTGTGATTCAGTTCAGTGAGGGCGGGTGTGCGTAGTGGTATAACCTGAGGTGACGGTTGCAGTTTGGGATGAAGTGAGGCAAAGTTTTTTCCGAAGCTACGCAGGATATGAAAAATCTTCGAGGTGACCCACCGCAGTTGGAGTACGGTGTATCTGCCCATCAGTAAGGAGAGATCGCGCCTCATCTCAGAGTAGTGCAGTTGGAGACAGACCTGATGCCGTGGCCGGACTCCGTAAGCACCCGAGACAGGCCATTATTCACTGCCAGAGACCTCGCACTATGGAGCACAAATCATGCATTGGCCTGCTCTGGCACTCTAAAAGCAACTCACCGCATGATTTATGCAGCTTGATGACGAAGCACGCTGGCCTTCCATATTTAAGCAAGCTGTCCCAGACTTTGCACATCCACCGAGACCATCCACCCCTGCCCATACTCCCGCCATGGACAAGACCGACAAGTCTCAACCTGTCCAGGCGTCTCACGCTGAGAATGCCCATTCCCACTCTCAAGCTCAGCAGCACCAGCGTGGTCGTGTTGCCGGGGGAAAGTACCTACAGGAGCTCTACGATGACCATGCATTTGCTCCTAACGATGGTCCAATTCAAAAGGTCGACGTTGATATGCCGCTCACCATGACGGAGACAATATACCACAACGGGAATCAATACATTGTGCTTGACTTTGCGGAGGGAGACAAAGAGAACCCTTTCAACTGGAGTCCGAAGCGCAAGGCGTTCATCTCTTTGCTTCTCTGCCTCATGACCCTGTTCATCGGTCTCGCAACCACAGCATACAGCTCAGGCATTTCCCGCATGACGGCAGAGTTCGGTGTCTCCTCTGAAATAGGCCAGTTCGGCCTGTTTACATTCAACTTCACCTGTGCCCTG